CTTAGCGGGAACCGAACCTGGGTCTCTCCGGACCGCAGGCCGACGCTCTAACCGCTGAGCCAAACCGTCCAGGGCTCAGCTGACAGTCTTATGGGAACTCCCTTGTAGGTAACTAACTGCTTTTCTCTTGCTGCTTTTGAGATTCTCTCTTTGTCTTGAACCTTTTGTATTTTGATGATGATGAGTCTTGGTGTGGGCCTCTTGGGGTTCATCTAGATTGGAACTCTCTGTGCTTCCTGGACTTGTATGTCTGTTTCCTTCACCAAGTTAGGGAAGTTTTCTGCCATTATTGTTTCAAATAGGTTTTCGATTTCTTGTTCTCTCTCTTCTCCTTTTGGCACCCCCAAGATGCAAATGTTGGCACGCTTGAAGTTGTCCCAGAGGCTCCTTACACTATCCTCATTTTTTTGGATTTTTTTTTTCTTTTTGCTGTTCTGATTGGGTGTTTTTTGCTTCCTTATATTCCAAATTGATGGTTTGCTTCTTGGCTTTACATACTCTACTATTGAATCTGTGTAAATTATTCTTTATTTCAGTTAGTGCCTCCTTCATTTCTAAGACTGTGCATTGTTCATTTCTGACTGGTCCTTTTTAATGCTCTTGAGGCCCTCACTAAGTTCGCTGAGGTTCTCACTAAGTTCACTGAGCATCCTTATAAGCAGTATTTTGAACTCAGCATCTGTTAGGTTGCTCAGCTTCATTTCACTTAATTCTTTTCCTGTGAATTTTTTCTGTTCTTTCATTTGGGACCTGTTTCTTTGTCTCCTCATTTTGGCTGCCTCCCTGTGTTTGTTTCTATGTATTACTTAATGAGAGATATGGGGCTAGCTGAGACCAAATACTGCTTGTTTGAAAGAATAGAAAAACCTGAAGCAGGATCCAAGACAAGCCAATCCTATGGTAAAGCAACTGGCAACAGCTTGGGTGGGCCTGAATGTTGGGTGGGGCGGGGCCTTAGGGAATCACCAGGGCAGGGCAACCAGTATGAGCCAGGTTGCTGGAGTCCCAGATATGGTGACTCTCTGCCGCCCCAGGGCAGGGCTCACCAAGGGAACAAAGACCTCTGACAGCACGTTTGTCCCGGTGAAAGCCCCCTCTCCAGCCCTCTCTTCAATGCCAAACAGCTCAGTTCTTCCCTGTATGTCTCTGGCACCCCTTGAGCTGCCTCCCCTCCAAACTTAGAGGGAGTGAGTCCAGTAAGTCCGTGCATGGGCTCTTTAAGAGGAGTTGCCTGAGGCTCCAGCTGCCTCAGCCTCCCTGAGCCTTAGTTCCCACTGGTTTTTCCAGCCAGAAGTTATGGGGACTTCTCTTTCTGGCACTGGAACCCTGAGTGGGGCACCTGGTGGGTGATGAGTACCCCTCAGTCCTCAGGGAGGACCTTCCCAGTGGAGGTGTCCTCCTGATTTTTTTCTGCCACATGTGGGTGTGGGACCAGCCCGTCTCCCTCGGCCCCTCCTACCAGTCTCGATGTGGCTGTTTCTTTAATTCCGCAGTTGTAGGACTTCCATTCAGCTTTATTTCAGGTGGTTTTGAATGATGGTTGTTCTGTAGTTTAGTTGTTACTTTGATGTGGCTGTGGGAGGATGCAATACCAGGTTTACCTCTGCTGCCATCTTGACCAGAAGTCCCCAAATTCATTTAAGTCTAGTATATTTTTGATGGAGTCTTAAGGGTTTTCTATGAATAATATCATGTCATCTGCGAATAATGACAGTTTTACTTCCTCCTTTCCAATTTGGATCCCTTTTATTTTTTCTTCACATCTGATTGCTGTGGCTAAGATTTCCAGTAATATGTTAAATAGGAGTGGCGAATGTGTGCATCCCTGTCTTATTCCAGTTCTTAAAAGAAATGCTTTTAGTTTTTGCCCATTGAGTATGATGTTGGCTGTAAGTCTTTCATATATGGCCTTTATTATGTTGAGATATGATCCCTCTATTCCCAGATTGCTGAGCGTTTTTATCAGTAATGGGTGCTGGATTTTGTTGAATGCTTTTTCAGCATCTATTGATATGATCATGTGGTTTTTACCTTTCATTTTGTTTATGTGGTGATCACATTTATTGATTTACGAAGATAGTACCATCCTTGCACCCCTGGGATGAATCCCACTGGTCATGGTGAATAATTTTTTTGATGTATTACTGGATTCGATTTGCTAGTATTTTGTTCAGGATTTTGGCATCTATGTTCATCAGGGATATTGGCCTGTAGTTTTCTTTCTTTGTAGTGTCTTTTTCTGGTTTTGGAATTAAAATTAAGCTGGCCTTATAAAATGAGTTTGGAAGTCTTCCTTCTTCTTGAATTTTTTGAAATAGTTTGAGGAGAATGGGTGTTAGTTCTTCTTTGAATGTTCAGTAAAACTCGCCATGAAGCCATCTGGGCCTGGGCTTTTGTTTGCTGGGAGAGTCTTGATTACCTCTTCAAGTTCCTTAGTTGTTATTGGTCTGTTCAAGTTTTCTATCTCTTCCTGGTCCAGTTTTGGGAGACTGTGTTTCTAGAAATTTGTCCATTTCGCTTAGATTGTCGAATTTGTTGCCATATAATTGTTCACAGTATTGGTTAACAATCCTTTGAATTTCTGTGGTGACAGTTGTTACTTCTCCTCTTTCTTTTCTGATTTTGTGTATTTGGGTTCTCTCTCTTTGTTTCTTGGGGAGTCTAGCTAAGGGTCCATCAATCTTGTTTATCTTTTTGAAAAACCAGCTCTCTGTCTCATTGATCCTTTGAATTGTTTTTTGGTCTCTATGTCATTTATTTCTGCTTTGATCTTTACTGTTGCCTTCCTTCTACTTGCTCTGGGGTTTTCTTTTTGTTTGCTTTCTAGTTCTTTAAATTGTTAGGTTAGATAGTCTAATAGAAATTTTTCTTGCTTCTTGAGGTAGGCCTGTAGTGCTATGAACTTCCCTCTCAAAACTGCTTTCGCTGCATCCTATAGATTTTGTGTTGTGTGTTCATTTTCATTGGTTTCCAAGAAGTTTTTAATCTCTTCCTTGATCTCCTCGGGAACCCATTCATTGTTTAATAACATGCTATTTAGCCTCCATGTGTTCAAATATCTTTACATGTTCTTGTTGCGATTGATTTCTAGTTTCATGCCATTGTGATCTGAGAAGATTCTTGATATGATTTCAGTCTTCTTGAACTTGTAGAGAATTAGTTTGTGCCCTAGCATGTGGTCTATCTTTGTTAATGTCCCATGTGCACTTAGAAGAATGTGAATTCTGTAGTTTTGGGGTGTAATTTTCTATAGATATCTATTAAATCCATTTGGTTTATTGCTTCATTTAGAGTCTCTATTTCCTTGCTAATTTTTTATCTGGAGGATCTATCCAGTGATGTCAATGGGGTGTTGAAGTCTCCTGCTATGATTGTATTGCTGTCGATTTCGCCTTTGAAGTCCTCTGGAAGATTTTTAATATATTTTGATGCTCCTAAATTGGGTGCATATATGTTTACCAAGGTTATATATTCCTGTTGGATAGATCCTTTCAAATATTATGTAGTGACCTTCTTTGTCTCTAGTTATGGCCTTCATTTTGAAATCTATTTTATCAGATATGAGTATTGCTACCCCAGCTTTTTTTTTTCCCCCGTTTGCTTGGAAGATTTTTTCCATTCCTTCACTTTCAACCTATGTGAGTCTTTCGTTGTGAGGTGGGTCTCTTGTAAACAACATATAGATGAGTCATGCTTTCTTATTCAATCAGCTGCTCTGTGTATTTTTATTGGAGCATTCAATCCATTTACATTTAAGGTGATTATTGATATGTACTTATTTATTGCCATTTTTGTTTAGTATGGTTATATTTTTCTTCCTATTACTTCTACTAATTACAGCAGTCCTTTTAACATTTCTTGCAGTGCTGGTTTGGTGCTAATGTATTCCCTTAGCCTTTTTTTGTCTGGGAAGCTCTTTATTTGACCTTCTATTTTGAATGATAGCCTTGGTGGATAAAGCAGTCTTGGATTCAGATCCTTGTTTTTCATGACCTTGATTACTTTATGCCATTTCCTTCTGGCCTGTAATGTTTCTGTTGGGAAGTCAGCTGATAGCCTTATGGGGTTTTCTTTGTAAGTAACCTGCTGCTTATCTCTTGCTGCCTTTAGGATTCTCTCTTTGTCTTTAATTTTTGGCATTTTAATTACTATGTTCCTTGGTGTGGGCCTGTTTGGGTTCTTCTTACTTGGGGCCCTCTGTGCTTCTTGAACTTGAATGCCTTCTTCCTTCACCAAATTAGGAAAGTTTTTGTCACTATTTCTTCAAATATATTTTCTAACCCTTTCTCATTTTCTTCTTCAGGAACTCCTATGATGCGAATATTATTACCTTTCCAGTTGTCCCCCAGTTCTCTTAAGCTGTCATCCTGTTTTTTAATTGTTTTTATTTTGGTTTTCTGATTAGTTGATATTTTTCTATCCTGTCGTCTAATTCACTGATTCGGTCCTCAGCTTCCTCTACTCTGTTGTTTAGTCCTTCCAATGTGTTCTTTATTTCTGCTATGTCATTCTTCATTTCTTCTTGGTGGTTTTTCATTTCCAGTTGGTTGATTTTCAGTGTTTCTATGTCTTTACTCATGGTGTTGATGTCCTTAGTCATGATGTTGAGCTTCATCAAGATCATGGCTCTGAATTCTACCTCTGATAGCTTGCTTAACTGCATTTCATTTATTTCACCTTCGGTAGAGGTCTCTTGTTCTTTCGTTTGGAATTTGTTTCTTTGTTTTACCATTTTGGCTATCTCAGTGGGTTTTGGAGCTTGCCAAATTTTCCCTGTGGGTGTTGGTGTGCTGCTGTTTGTGACTCCCTCTCCTGGGTTTGGATGAGTGTGGAAGGACATGTTAAATACCACTGTCAAGTCTTACTTTCCTGGGTAGAGTTGCAAGCCCAGGAATAGTTCATTTCTCCTCTAGCTTTTTGCCTGGAGACTATTAGTCATGGTTACTTGAAGAGCCTTGGTTTCTCAGTTGAATGTCACTCTCTGTCTTTGCTACCACCAGGCACCGATGAAGACGCCATTATCAGTGTCCTCGCCTACCGCGACACGGCCCAGCGCCAGGAAATCAGGACAGCCTACAAAACCACCATCGGCAGGGTAGGTCACAGTCTGTCTGACCTAGAGTCCTGAAGTGGCCCTGTGCTTTTGAAAGATGATGCTTTGTCTTGTTTAAAGATGTTCTTAAGCCCTGGCCAGTTTTGCTCAGTGGTTAGAGCATTGGCCTGCAGTCCAGAGAGATCTGGGTTTGGTTCCCACTAAGGGAACGTACCTCAGTTGCAGTTTGTTCCCAGCCCTGGTTGGGTCGTGTGAGTGGCAGCCACTTGATGTGTCCCTTTCATGTCAATGTTTCTCTCTCTCTCCCTTTCTCTCCTTCTCACTCTATCTGAAAAAAAAAAAAATATGGAAAAATGTCTTCAAATGAGGATAAAAGGAAAAAAAAAAAGATGTTCTTAAAAAACACACACACACACACACAATAGTTTCAACATGTTTTCTCACCTATCCTTAGCAAGAAGTGATTTCAGTGAGCTCCTGATTCACAGAGCTCACGGCCAAGCTTGGTCTCTTTCCACCCAAGTCCTCATAGGAGCTTAGTTTTTGAATGGATTCAACCAGCACCCTTTTGTGCACCAGGCAGGGCTGAACTTCCAATGTTGCTTCCTTGACCCTGATTAGGCTTCTTTAGGGCCACTATGGATGAAGACCCTTCACACTGACTAAATTATTTAAATCCATTTTGTTTTAAATAGGCTCTCCTAGGATTAGGGTCTATTCCAACTCTTCCACATAAACCCATTGGGTAGCATATGTGCATTCCATTGATGATCCTCAGTTGAGGAACACCCCTCAGATTCTATCTCTAGAATGGGGCTTATGTGTTTGTGTAAATGTATATAGTTTATTAACATATGCATTCAGAGGTGGTTCACTCATCATGTATTCCCCTTGAATCCCACATCATGAATCCCACACCCCTCAAGAACACTCTCAGTCTCTATTTTAAACAACTCACCAGAATCATTACACTGTGTCTTTCCACATCACTGAAAACTTATCTGTGTGATTAGCAAGAATCTTTTTATTGAGAAAGCATCAATGAGTTCTCCAGATCTCAGAGTACAGGAACTCTGATAGGTATTTCTATTCTTTTTTATTTTTATGGGAGGGAGAGGAGGGGAAGAGAGAGAGAGAGAAACATCGATGTGAGGGAGACACATTGACAGGTTGCCATCTACATAACCCCAACTGGGTCTGGGGACAAACTACAACCGAGGTACGTGCCCTTCGTGGGAACTGAACCTGGGACTCTCTAGTCTGTGGGCCGATGCTCTAATTGCTGAGCCAAACTGGCCAGGGCAGTGTTTTTATTCTTGAGATACTTTACAACCAGTCAGATTGTGGCACAGTCATTAAACTGCTAGGTGGGACAGGGACAGGGCTGGCTCAGCCGTTCCTCTGAGCGTCCGCAAGCAAACCTTGCTGGGCACCCCATAGCTCGGACTATCTTCTGAGCATTTTAAACTCTTCTCCATTCCCAAAGAAATTTAATAGTTGTGAGTGTGCATGCAATGGGGGAACTAGACACCTAAAGCATGTTGCCACACACATTTGGGGTTGATTATTCTAAACTTCAGAAATAAACTACTCTAATGCCAGTTTGTTACAATGACCAACCTTAATGGATTAAGCACTAATTTATTTGTTCATTCATTCATTTGATATGTGGATATAACATAGCAATATTCACAATAGATTGAAATATTGTGCTATGGAATCAGGTTTGTGAGGGTCAGAGGTCTGAACTTGAATAGCAACTTATTCCTTATTGGTTGGTTGATCTTTTTTTTTAATTGTTTTTTCTTTATTGATTTAGAGAGAGAGGAAGGGAGAGGGAGAGAGATAGAAACATCGATGAGAGAAAATATCAATTGGCCGCCTCCTGCATGCCCCCCACTGGGGATCGGGCCCATAACTTGGGCATGTGTTCTGACCGGGGATCAAACCGGCGACCTCTTGGTGCATGGGTCGACGCTCAACCACTGAGCCACACCAGCCAGGCTTAATTGGTTGATCTTAAGCTGATTCTTAAACTCTCTGACCTGGAAATATGAATAAATGTCTTTAGAATTTGGTACTTTGTCCAGATAATTACATTTCTTTTTAGGAACTGAGCCTTAAGAAATAATTATGAATGATCAAAAAGATACAACTAAATGCATCTGTATACAACATTAAAAAGACAGGAACAGGAGACTGGTTCAAGAAATTATACTGCATCTACATATAGACATTTCTGCAGCTGTTAAAAATGTCATAGGTGGCCCGAACACGGACAGGATTGACAGACTGATTCCATGGGTGATGGTGCATGGCCATTCTTAGTTGGTGGAGCGATTTGTATGGTTAATTTTGATAACAAACGAGACTCTGGCATGCTAACTAGTTATGCGACCCCTGAGCGGTCGGCGTCCCCCAACTTCATAGAGGGACAAGTGGCATTCAGCCACCCAAGATTGAGCAATAACAGGTCTGTGATGCCCTTAGATGTCCGGGGCTGCATGTGCACTACACTGACTGGCTCAGCATGTGCCTACCCTACGCCAGCAGGTACGGGTAACCCGTTGAACCCCATTTGTGATGGGGATTGGGGATTGCAATTATTCCCCATGAATGAGGAATTCTCAGTAAGGGCGGGTCATAAGTTTGCATTGATTAAGCCCCTGCCCTTTGTATGCACTGCCTGTCGCTATTACCAATTGGATGGTTTAGTGAGGCCCTCGGATCAGCCCCTCAGGGTCGGCCCATGGCCCTGGCGAAGCGCTGAGAAGATGGTCGAACTTGACTATCTAGAGCAGTGGTTCTCAACTTTCCTAATGCCTTTACACTCTTAAATTATTGAGGACATTTTGGTTTTGTTGGTTATAGCTATTGATACTTATCATCTTAGAAATTAAAATTTAGGACACTGTAAAATATGTATTTGTTAATTTATTAGGACAATAATAAACCTATCACATGTTAATATAAATAACATTTTTATGAAAAGTAGCTGTAGCCCGGCCGGTGTGGCTCAGTGGATTGAGTGTTGTCCCATGGACTGAAAGGTCCTAGTCAATTCCCAGTCAGGACACATGCCCGGGCTTCAGGCTTGATCCCCAGTGGGGGACATGCAGGAGGCATCGATCCATGTTTCTCTCTCACATCGATGTCTCTCTCTCTCTCTCCCTTCCTTTCTCTCTAAAAAAATCAATAAAAACATATTTTAAAAAAAACAACACTACAGCCCTGGCCAGTTTTGCTCAGTGGTTAGAGCGTCAGCCTGCGGTCCAGCGAGACCCAGGTTCGGTTCCCGCTAAGGGCACGTACCTCGGTTGCAGTTTGTCCCTGGCCCTGGTTGGGTCGTGTGGGTGGCAGCCACTCGATGTGTCTCTTTCACGTCGATGTTTCTCTCTCTCTCTCTCTCTCTCTCTCTCTCTCTCTCTCCCTTCCTCCCACTCTATCTGAACAAAAAATGGAAAAATGTCCTTGGGTGAGGATAAAACAAACAAACAAACAAACAAACAACAAAAAAAAACCACTACATATTCCAAATCAAAAAGTTTAGTGAGAAGATTGGCATTGTTTTATATTTCTCAAGTTTCTGTGATGCCTGGCTTAGTGGAAAACAGTAGATTCTCATGTCTGCCCCTTCATTGATATTTATCATATTAGAAGTTAAAATTTAGGACATTGTAAAATATGTATTTGTTAATTTATTAAGACAATAATAAACCCATCACATGTTAATATAAATAACATTTTTATGAAAAATAGCTGCAGCCCGGCTGGTGTGGCTCAGTGGATTGAGCGTCGTCCCATGGACTGAGAGGTCCTGGTTCGATTCCCAGTCAGGGCACATGCCCGGGCTTCAGGCTTGATCCCCAGTGGGGGGCGTAGTATGTGGTTTTGTGCTGTAGTATGTGGTATGTGCTATAGTATGTGATTTTGGTTGAAGTATATGAAGAAACCCTAGTCTTGTATAGATATGTAATTGGAAAAGGGAGAAGTATTTTAACAGCCTTTTAACATACTTGTAGATAGACGTGTAGATATATCAACTAGTCTTTGGAAAACTCCACTGAACAATTGTGAGAGACTGACAGTGAAGAGGCAAATGCCTTAGTGTTATTGTAAAGATAACTTTGACTTTGCAGGTCCCCTGAAAAGGTGGCAGAGACCCCAAGGACCACACTTGGAGTGCAGCTAGTTTAAGTTCCTGGAGTGGTTAAGCAAGAAACTATCTTGTGTTGCAGGACCTGATAGATGACTTGAAGTCGGAATTGAGTGGCAAATTTGAGCGTGTGATCGTGGGGATGATGACGCCCACTGTGCTGTACGACGTGGAGGAGCTGCGGAGGGCCATGAAGGTCTGTGCTTTTCCCCTCTGGTGCTCTCGTGCTGTCAGTGCAGACGCTGCCCAGCTTCCTCAAGAGCTGGTGACAAAGGCCCTCTGCGAGTGGGGAGGGGGTGAGGGATAGGAGAAGGATTTTCCTTCATTGATCACAACTTGAAAACATGACATTATATTATAGCGATTGTCATTTAAAAGTTGTCTTCCAGAAAGGTATGGGATCATCTGTCTTTCCTGTGGCTCCGAAGGGAGTGATCATGGTGCTTTCTGTGCAGCTCCAGAAACTCTCCTGCCGTGTTAGCTACTTTTGAGACATGAAACTTGACAACAGGCACCTTGGGGGCCTCTGGGTCTGCTGTAGGCTCAGAACTGGCAGAAAAGGGTTCTCAGCCTCCTGGATACCGATTCACTGTGCCCTAGACCAGGGTCCTGCTGATTTTTAATGACCAAGTATGATATTCAAATCCAGTTACTCTCCTCAATCATGTCAATATTCAGTCTTATGGACGGTTCCAGGCTAGGCTCTTGAAAAACAAAGACGTAACATCCTTTGCCAGAAGATTCTGCCCTTCAAGGAAAAGTACAGATGACATCAAGGGAAGATTAAGCCCCCAGAGGGCTGAAACTGGACCTAACCTGGCACAATTACCCACACACAGAAACAGTCCATAAATGTTTGTTATTACTAACAATGATTACAGTAAATATATTGGAATTTGGGCAGGACAATTAAAAATGAGCAAATTCTGTAGCTGGAACCCTGCGGGTTATCTTTATTCTCTGCTGATTACTGACTGTATTCCGTCTCTTTGTAAACTGACTCATAAAGCCCTCTCCTCTGGGTTTGCGTTTAGGGAGCTGGCACGGATGAGGGATGCCTGATTGAGATCCTGGCCTCCCGGACACCGGAGGAGATCCGGCGCATAAACCAGACCTACCAGCTGCGTAGGTAGCACCCTCAGTGGCCCTGGCTGAGGTTTCACTGTGATCTGAGAACTAGACTAGCAGCAGAGGGTTACCCACTGATCAGACTTTCTTCACAGAAACACTGACTATGAGGGATCCTCATTTCTAAGCTCTGCATTAAGGCAGATCCCTGTCCAGCCAAATGATTGTCTGTTGGCTTCTCAAGACTTCTCAGGTGAACTGCTACTCTACTTAGGCTGCGCAGTACCTAAGGTACTTAGTACGATTTGTTACCCTGAAAGCTAGAAATCTGTCCCTTATTATCAGAGAATGAAAAGTGCTTGTTCAAAAGTGGTGGCACCGGTGAATCTTAGCATTCCAGGGAATGGCCTGGAGGGGCTGTCTCGCCCCACTTATTACCATCATGCAGACTGGACTGGACCTCCTCCAGCCATCTCAGAATGATAGCCATTAGTCCCCTCTTAAAAATCTCTGGAAGCTGATACCTATGAAGAGCCTTTAAAAGATGCATGCCTTTTTGCTCTAAGAATATAATAAAAAATTGCAAAAAGGTTTAGATCTCTCTTTGTTTATTCAGTATTTGTTATATTGGCTAACAATGTCCAATAATTTAGCAGATTAGCTAAATCAAATATGGTACACCCACAGAGCAGACTATTATATAGTTATCAAACGTATATTTAAGGATATTATTAAGTTACATTAGATGGTCTGGTATACAGATAAGTGAAAAAGAAATCATAAAATAGTATGGCATGGTCCCCCCCCCCCTTTTTTTTAAGAAAAAAATAACATGGGTATGTGGGGGAAAGTAAGGATGTTCATGAAAATGTTATTGATAATTATTATTTGTGGGTGATTAGATTATGATGAGCCCCCCCCCATTTTTCCTAAGTTTTCTGTAATAAACATGTACTACTTTAATAGAAAGAAAACAACAAAACAACAGTAGTTCTTTGGTAAGTGTTTAGAGAAGGCTGTTCTAAACGGTGGGAGTTTGGTTCTAGCGCTGGATCCTCACATCTGTCGGATGCAGGCCCTGTCCATCTAGAGGGCGCTGACGGGTTGGAGCTTCTCTTGGGGAAGCCCCAAGCCAGTGACATGGCAGAAAAGGCACATGCCAGAATGTAGGCAAACACAGTTCAGAAACCACTGCATTTGTGTTTCGATGGTTACTGTTCTCTCCATCACTGAAAACTGTGTTTAGAACAGACCCTGAAGAGTAGGAACAGTGAAGATTATAGCCCTAGCCTCCTCCACCTCCCATTTTAAGGAACCAGAACATCTTGTTTCCACTATAAAAACAAGCTAAATTTATCTTGACCATTTTACCAGAGTTGCTTATGAAAAACTGTGCATGAGGTGAAAAACAGGAGGACCTGCTTCAGTAAACAGGCCGGTCCTGGAGAGCACAGAAGGCTCCGGAGTGTGACACAGTGTTGAGCAGGACTCTATCCTAATGTGGCTAATTTTACTTTCTTACTAGAGTATGGGCGGAGCCTTGAAGATGACATTCGCTCTGACACGTCCTTCATGTTCCAGCGCGTCCTGGTGTCCCTGTCCGCTGTGAGTGGCGCCCTCTGCTGGCCAGTTCTGATGGGAGTTGGATTTCTTGACTTGCTCATTTTCCATTCCCTTTTCCAGGCTTTCTCTTCCTTTCAACCTCCCAAATGTGAACTTGCCTCAGGTGTTTTTCTTGAGCCGCTCTGTTTTATCTTATCTCCTTGAGAAACTCTGTTTAGACATGTACATCTATTTATTCTAATTCGTATATACAAGTATATACCTCATTATCTGCCTGGTCTTATTACTTAGTGCATTGAGAGTTATGAGGATGATTAAGAGGCAGTTCCTGGGCTTTAGGAGTCTATATTGTCATAAGGGAATATATCAGATACACAGTTACTATGAAGGCTTGAAACCTAAGTACCTAAGGAGAGACACAGAGTAAAAGGAAGGTTCAAGGAGAATTTTGGTTGCAGAAACAAAAAAAAGGCTTGTTGGTAGAGGTGCAGGTTCAGAGAGGACTTGGAAGGTTGCTGGGACTTCAAACAGCAGAGGTGTGGGTGGGTGCATTCCACACGGGAAGAAGGCAAGGAGGCAGGAAACAGGGTGTGATCTGGGAACAGTGGGCTAAGCAGTCAGGCTGATTATTGTAGCAGCGAGGTGGAAGGATGACCTGGGATTCTATGTCAGGAGGAGTTATACTTTCTTTGCAGAGCAGTAGGGAGCCACTGAAGGTTTGGGAGCAGTATGATGATGTGATTAGAACCACATTTTTACAAGAGTAATATAATAGTTGTGTGTAAGATTAATTGCAATGGCAAGGAATTGGAGGCTGGAATACCAGGTAGAAAGTTGCCTCAATATTCCATATGAGAAATAAAGCAGAACAGCGTTAGTGTGGGAGCAGGGGTGCCAGGAAAGAGGAGATGGATACACAAGATGTTACACGTGACTTCCCAATTATATCTTTATCCCCGACCTCCTTCTTGAGTGTGAGACTCGTTTCTCACTGCTTTTTAGATATTTCCTTATGCATAGTCTGCCATCACTTCAAATTAATCCTCCTAAACTAAACCTGAACTCATTTTCTCTCCAAACCAGCTCTTCTTCCTGACTTGTCTTTTTCTGTTAGTACTGTTGCTGTTGTTTTTCTCCTGGATTTACCATTCTGCTGCGCCATGCCTAGACCATAGAGTAGTGAGATAGCATAGCAATAAATATACTCTGACACCCTGGAGGAAAGTAGCCTGTTTTGCCGTTCTATAGCATTCCTCCAAGGGGTCAACTATGCCCTTGTGTTGGTGTTTTCATGTACTCCTTAAGCCCCACTGCTGGTCCCAGACACTCTTGACTCTCTCCTCTGTTCCAAACCTGTTTGACAGAAGTGATCAATGTAGACGTGCCAGTTCCAAAGGCATGCATCAGCTGGAAAGAGGCTGGAATGGGGCAGGAGGTGGGGAAGGGGAGGAGACAGTAGTTGAGTGAACAGCCAACAAGCAGCATTCATTCCCCTTCCCTTTCTAATGTTGCAGACAGTGCTACAGGGGCTTTCCCTCTGGTAATGTTCTCTAGGCTCTGATCAGAGCCATAGGAAAAATGCAGGCACACTCAAAGGGCCTTCTGTCCTTTCTCCCTAGGCTGGAAGTGTCCCCTTGTGGCCTTCTGCCATGTTATCATGGCATAGGGTTCCCAGGCGTTCGGTCTCATCCAGCTCTTCATGACTACTGTATGTCATTCTCTTTGGTTTGTTTTTCTCATCCTCAGGGTGGCAGGGATGAAACCAATTACCTAGATGATGCTCTCGTGAGGCAGGATGCCCAGGTGAGTAGAACTGCAGCTTCTTTCTTTTGCCAGTAAAACAGTCCTTAATTGGTAGAGCCCCTCTTATATTTCAGTGTATATTGGCCTGGCTAGGATATGTTATGGGGGGGGAAATCCTCACAGGTGACTTTTTTTTTTTATCCTCACCTGAGGACATTTTTCCATTTTTTGTTCAGATAGAGTGGGAGGGAGAGAGAGGAAGAGAGAGAGAGAAACATCGACGTGAAAGGGACACATCGAGTGGCTGCCACCCGCACAACCAACCAGGGCCGGGGACAAACTGCAATCGTGGTACGCGCCCTTAGTGGGAACCGAACCCAGGTCTCTCTGGACTGCAGGCCGACGCTCTAACTACTGAGCCAAACCAGCCAGGGCCTCACAGATGATTTTTAATAGCAGAAGCTTCTTTCAGAAATACCTGGGGCTTGAGGGTGGCATGAGGCATCATTATATAAGCACTCCTGGATTCTAGATTTCTTGACATTGGGACCATGGTCACCCCAGTGAACCATGGAATGTCTTCTGAATCACTTGGAGATGAAGGGACCTGCCTTTGTTTTATTTACCTGGCACTTTTATTTCCCCAAAGAGAACGTTGATAGGACCTGTGTGAAACAGCTTGGCACAGTGTGTACCCTATTGGGTAAAATTAATACCAAACCCAAAGAGGCTGTTGCTTTCTTGGTACACAGCTCACTAGTGTGGGCACCAACCCCTAGTCTATTTACTGTGGTCAAATAACACTAATCATAATAGCTAATAACAAGTGGGTCTTTTGCCCTGGCCAGTATGGCTCAGCGGTTAGAGCATCAGCCTGCGGTCCAGAGAGACCCGGGTTCAGTTCCCGCTAAGGGCATGTACCTCGGTTGCAATTTGTCCCCGGCCCTTGTTGGTCGTGTGGGTGGCAGCCACTCGATGTGTCCCTTCATGTCAATGTTTCTCTATCTCTTCCTTTTTTTCTCTCTCTCCCACACTATCTGAACAAAAAATGGAAAAAGTGTCCTCGGGTGAGGATAAAAAAAAAAGTGGGTCTTTTACCAGGTACCAAACACTGTTCTAGTTCTTGATATGACATGTCATTGAATCCTTGCAATAAGTAAGTGTTGTTATTCCCATCTTGTGGACAGTGAAATCGAGGCTCAGAGAAGTCGAGTTCCTTGCTCAAGTTCATACAGATAATAAATGTCAGAACTGGGATTTGAACCTAGGTCATTTGGATCTAGACCCTGTACTCTTAACCCAAAGACAACCATGGAGAAGGACTGGTCCCATTCAGTATGTGAGGTATGAACCACTCTGGATTCTGCAGGCAAGAACCTGCTGTTTTCACTAGAAGGGAGAAGGGGATGTGTGTCATAAGAGTTCTGAGAACTCAGGGAGGCCTGTGCCACACAGGAGACACAGGAAATTGCCTTCAGTCCAGAAGCTCTGAGGAGGCAGAATATAATGAAAATAATGGAATTCTTTTTTAAAAAAATGTTTTTATTGATTTTTGAGAGAAAGGAAGGGAGAGAGAGAGAAAAACATCAACTTCAAGATTAGCTGCCTCCGGCATGCCCCCTACTGGGATCAAGCCCATAACCCAGGCATGTGCCCTGACTGGGAATCAAATCAGTGACCTCTTGGTACATGGGTCAATGCTCAACCACTGAGCCACACTGGCTGGGCAAAAACAATGTGACTCTTGAATGCTTATGTGAATGTCACCTACCTCAAGGAGAGCATTTTTGCACATGCTGGAAGGAACCTCCATAGCCCAGGTAAATCCCAAATTAAATGAAGAGTTAGTGAGCAATTTATTCCTGAAACATTATATTCATTATCAATTTTTTGTGGGTTTGCTAGGGCCAGGCATTGTGTTAACGACTCTACCTTTTGTCCCTGCAACAAATCAGGACAGTAGGTGCTTCTGTTTTAAAGACTAGGAAATTGACGCAGAGATTTCAGTAACTGGTCCAAGATCAAAAAGTTGGTAGAATTGGGCTCTTTGAATCCAGAACTTCTCATCTTGCAAAACTGAAACTCTGTACCCATTAAACAACTCATTTTCTCCACTCCCCAGCCACTGACAACCACTATTCTACTTTGTGTTTTTATGCATTTGACGACTATAGACACTTCATATAAGTGAAATCATGTAATATTTGTCTTTGTGACTGGCTTATTTCACATAGCATACTGTCCTCAAGGTTCATCCATGTTGTAATACGTGTCAGAATTTCTTTTCTTTTTAAAGCTATATAGTATCCCATTACATGTATATACCACATTTTGTTTATCCGTTCATCTATTGATGGACATTTGGGTTGCTTCCACCTTTAGGCTATTGTGAATAACGCTGCTATGAACATGAGTATACAAATATCTTCTTAAGATTCTTATTTGAATTATTTTGGATATATACACAGAAATAGTATTGCTGGGTCATATGGTAATTCTATTTTTAAATTTTTTTGTGGAGCAACCATACTGGTTTCCATAGAGACTGAATCATTTTACATTCCCATCAACAGTGTACAAGGATTCCAATTTCTCCACAACCTTGTCAACACTTGTTATTTATTTATTTTGATTGTAGCCACCCTAATACATATAAAGTGATATGAACAGTAGTTTTGATTTATCAGTAGCATAGTTAAAGTGACCACAATCCACTTTTTATATTCCTACCTTGTTGGAATATAAGCAATTACTGATGGGTTCTGATTCTACTGTGAGACCTATGTAGCCCCAAGCAAAGCAGAACTCATTCTAGAACCTTGATGCCCAATAGAACTTCCTGCAATGTGTGAAGTGTTCTACATTTGCACTGTCTGTTATGCGTGGCCGCAAGCCACATGTGGCCACTGAGCACTTGAAATGTGGCTAGGATGCTGAGGAGTTGAATTTTTTTTTTCCCTCACCTGAGGACATTTTTTGTTCAGATAGAGTGGGAGGGAGAGAGAGGAAGAGAGAGAGAGAGAGAAACATCGATGTGAAAGGGACACATTGAGTAGCTGCCACCCACAGGACCAACCAGGGCCAGGGAGAAACTGCAACCGAGGTACGCGCCCTTAGCGGGAACTGAACCCGGGTCTCTCTGGACCGCAGGCCGACACTCTAACTGCTGAGCCAAACCGGCCAGGGTGAGGAGTTGAATTTTTTTATTTAATTTTAATTAACTTTATCAAAATTTAAATAGCCACATGTGGTTAGTGACTCCTGTATGGAACAGCCCAACTCTAGGACATGTCTTGTAGCTCTTAAGATAGAACCATGTAGTCTGAATGTAGGGAGCTACTGGTGATCGCCTTGACTCTCAAGGACTTGTTATAAGGTCCCATTAGTTATAGACCTAAGGAAAAATTCTGAGTCATACCACTCACTGCCAGTATCACTTCCACCCGCATCACCAGCAAAATAAAACTAAGCCATCTCAGCGCTTTAAAGTCCTGGAAATATGTGGATATGTTCTGGCACCTTCTCTGTGGTGGTTTAAACACGTGCTTTGTTTGGCTTCAGGACCTGTATGAGGCTGGGGAGAAGAAATGGGGGACAGATGAGGTGAAATTTCTGACTGTGCTCTGTTCCCGGAATCGAAATCATCTGTTGCATGGTAAGGCATTTGCTTCATCTTCCAAAGATGCAGTTTGAAAGATAATGAAAACTATACTGCCCATAATTAGTTGATAACCTTTCCTCCTTTACTTGGTACAAAACTGATTGCCCTGAACTGTCTAAGATGGAAATGTGTGAGTGCAGCAATGTGCATGAGGGCCAACTTTCTGAAAGATTCATTATGAATAATTAGTAGATGTATTTCTAGAAGTTTGGCGTTTCTGTTTATAGGAAACTGGCCTTCATAGTCCATCCTTTTTCTAAAGCAGCTCTATTTAAATTGAGTTACATAAGAAAAAATCTTCAGTATATCAGCAAGCAAGAAAATAGAAATGTTGGTTTACATTTATTCCTATTTAACATCCAAATTGTAAAACTAACAGAAGTGATCTTTTTAGGGGGGTATGTTGCATTAGATGAATAGTGGGGCATTTAAATTTTATTTCCTATGTGGAATATTTCTAATTTGCTTCTGATAATGCTAGTCTACATAATGTGCTTTTAACTTGGTTGGGGAAAAGATACCAAACAACTGTGGAATATTTGTTGTCAGGTTTATTTCCTTCTTGTAAACAGAAATGAGGGTTTAATAAGATATTTTATCTTCTTTATAAGCTCTTAAGTCTTGATGCTCTTATAAACCCACTGTGCCCTTATAATCACAATTTACAAAACTTGTGGGAAATTTGAGAATGAGTTTTTTAAATTGAAAAAAAAGTAATTGACAATTACAACACATTTGGAAGTTACAGTTATTTCAGATATTCCACAGTGACTAGAAATAGGTAATTACTCCTGTTAATAACTGTCATGGGCTATAGACCATCAGATGCACCCCTTTCTCACTCAGCTCCCTATTGCTTTGCCTTTCTTTCCCTGCCTGGTTACTAAAAAACCTACAAATCTCCCCCTGGTGGTACTTTCTAAAAATTGCAGGTCCTCAGACGTCTGTTTCGGGCAAACATTTGTAACAAATTTCACTTCCAGGCACAAGTCAATAGTTGGGCATTTATAAAATAATCTGCTTATAAGCCATTGGAAGAAAATATCTTAAGCACTATTTGGATAAAGAAAACTTCATAAGTTTCTTACCTACCAACAACAATAGCGACAATTTGTAGTAACTAAGGTTTTGTTACTTCTCTGTCCCCTAGGTACAGTGCTAGGCATATTGTAAGCATTGTTTGTTGCTGCATCCCAATGGAGCAGCCAGTCATTTTCATCCTCACCAGAGGACATTTTTCCATTTTTTGCACAGATAGAGTGGGAGGGAGAGAGAGGAAGAGAGAGAAACATCGACGTGAAAGGGACACATCGAGTGGCTGCCACCCGCACGACCAACCAGGGCCGGGAACAAACTGCAACCGAGGTACAGGCCCTTAGCGGGAACCGAACCCGGGTCTCCCCGGACCGCAGGCCGACGCTCTAACCGCTGAGCCAAACCGGCCAGGGCCATTTTCCAATTTTACAGTGGAAAAGACTGAAGTTTAGAAAATGTGTCAATTAGATTTTTAAAAATTGATTTTAGAGAGAGTAAGAGAGAGGGAGAGAGAGAGAGAAACATCGATGAAAGAGAACTTCTATTGGCCACCTCCTGAGGATTTGGCCCACAACTTGGGCATGTGCCCTGACCGGCAATCGAACTGGCAACCTCTTGGTGCATGGGTCAACACTCAACCACTGAGCCACACCAGCTGCGCTCAATTAGATTTTTTTATTCCAAGCAATATACACTGACTCCAACTTAAGTTAAAAAAGTGGGGGAGCCCTGGCCGGTTTGGCTCAGTGGTTAGAGCGTCGGCCTGCGGTCTAGAGAGACCCAGGTTGGTTCCCACGAAGGGCACATACCTCAGTTGTAGTTTGTCCCCAGGCTCGGTTGGGTCATTGCAGGAGGCAGCCACTGGATGGGTCCCTTTTACGTTAATGTTTCTCTCTCTCTCTTCCCCTCTCTCCTTCCCACTCTATCTGAACAAAAAATGAAAAAATAGAAAAATGTTCTCGGGCGAGGATTAAAAAGGGGGGGGGGTGCTACTATAGAATGGAACAAGAGGGAAAATGGAAAATATTGGTGGTTCATTGAATTGAAGGGAGAGCTGAATGCCTCCAGGAAGAGCAGAAATCAAGACAGTTCTGAGGATCTCACTAGAAGGGAGTCATGGATTTTATTTCTAAGGCAGTTTCCCAAAGTCAGGTCTCCACAAAAAATGTTGATTCTTGAACCCCTACTTCAGACTGTCTGACTTAGAACAACCTCTGAGAGTGACACACAGGACATTTAACAGATTTCCTAGGTGATTCTTTTGTTCTCTGAAGGTAAAGATGACTCAGTGCTTTTGGCCATCCCCAAGATCTATCTGCTCAATTTTAAAATTCCCAGGAGGGTAAGGCTGATTATTCCTGGTTGGATGAACTGCTCACTGATTTGGTAGAGCTTATGGTATATGTTGGGGGTAGGGGTGTCCTTGGATTGACAGCCCTGAGAGAATCACACACGTTGGAGCAGGGCATCACCCCAAAGAAGGTGATGCTAAAAAGATAAACAAAACAGATACCCTCTGTTCTTTTTTTTATTATTTGTAATTCCATTTTGTTATTGTTTGTAGTGTTTGATGAATACAAAAGGATATCACAGAAGGATATTGAACAGAGTATTAAATCTGAAACATCTGGTAGTTTTGAAGATGCCCTGCTGGCCATAGGTAAGCTGGTAGGGGTTGGGGAGTGGAGAAACAAATGTTTATAGACTTTTCTCCTTGTTATCAGTTTGTAGTTATGGGATGTAGAATTTTTTTAGGGATTAGAAAAAATTGTTTAAATCACTCATGATGTGATCCAGAATTTTAAACAAGAAATATTATATAGAACCTAATTGTTATTGTACCATGTGGCTTTATATATTTTATATCCTCTGTGCCTTTATATTTCAGGATATAGGAAAGATAATCATATACTAGCTGCATCTTATAGGTCTGTGAATGGTTAGAACAAATAACTTCATATGGTAGAGATGGTAATCATTTTAAATCATATGCTGCCTTTTGCTTTAATGGCCTTTATTAATTACTTCGCCAGGAATTTGACAATAAATTAAGAATACTTCTCATCTGTGAAAGTGCTTTCAGCATAGCCTGTATTCATAAAACATTGCCTGGCTACAGTTTTTCTGACAAAGATATATTGCTTCATAGTTTATAGAAACAAAGGGAACAGCTGTCAAGTTTTTCCTCATAGATTTTATCTGCAATCTTTTCTTTTCTTTTTTTTTATCTCTTGACAGTAAAGTGCATGAGGAACAAATCTGCATATTTTGCTGAAAGGCTTTATAAATCTATGAAGGTAAAAGGCTTCTTTTTAGCATCTGAATGGCTCTGATATGTCTTGTGTCCAAATGAGACAAAACCAATCTTATATATTCAGTTCAGTTGATCAAATACTTCAACTGAGTACCTGCTAATAATAATATTAGGCCATATTTATTGAGTACTTATAATGTGTGATCATTCTTCCTAATGCTTTATACATATAGATCAGTTTTATCCCTACAACAGCCTTATGGGATATGTATCAACCCCCATTTTACAGATAAGAAAACTGAGGCATAGAGAGGATACACAATTTTCCCAGGGTCCTCACTGAAGAAGTAATGGAGCAGGGTTGCAAACACTGGCAACCTGGCTTCAGAGCTCAAGCTCCTAACCATGCACTGTACTCTGTGCCAGTACCCTTGCTGGGAACCAGGCGTGGTGCAGGGAAGATCAAAATGTAGTCCTTGCTCTCAAAGAACTTCTAGCCTTGAGGGGAAGGCAGGTGTGTGCAAAACACCAATTAGAACAAAATGGAATGCAAGACCATAGCTGAGGATCCAACACAGGAACACAGAAGATAGGGTATTTTTCCTTTCAAACATTTGTTTTTTGTTTTGTATTGTTTTTATCCTCACCCGAGGACATTTTTGCATTTATCTTCAGATAGAGCAAGAGGGAGAGGGAGGAAGAGAGAGAGAAATATCAACGTGAGAGAGACACATCGAGTGGTTGCCACTCACACGACCCCCACTGGAACTGGGGACAAACTGCAACCAAGGTACGTGTCCTTAGTGGGAACTGAACCCCGGACTCTGGTCTGCAGGCCAATGCTCTAACCACTGAGCAAACTGGCCAGGGCACATTTGTTTTTTTATACGGTGTAGATCAGAAAAGAATATATAAAGAAGTTGTTACGCTCTGGTCAATTTGACTCAGCCATTAGAGCTTCGGTCCTTGGACCAAAGAATCATGGATTCGATTCTGGTCAAGGGCACGTACCCTGGTTGCAGTTCAGTCCCCAGCCCTGGTCAGGGTTATGTGGGAGGCAACCAATTGATGTGTTTCTCTCACATCTATCTTTTCTTTCTTCCTCTGTTTCTTTCTTTCTTTCTTTCTTTCTTTCTTTCTTTCTTTCTTTCTTTCTCTCTCTCTCTCTCCCCTCCCCCCCCCCCCCCCATTCTATCTGAAGATAAATGGAAAAATATCCTCGGGTAAGGATTAAGAAAAACAAAGAAGTTGTTATGTTTGAGCAGGACCTTAGAGGAAGTTTTACATTGGAGGATTTAAAATGGGAGGAAGGAATGGTAAGGCAGGAGAGGGGACGATGACTTGGGGGTGGGGGAGGAATCACTGCAAGTGAGGCTTGCAGGCTGGAGAACACGGGGTATGTCTCTGGAGTGGGAGGGGGTTCTCCTCTTGTCAGAACAGAGTATTGGAAAGGTAAATTGGTGAAAGCCTTGAACAGCATGGTGAGAAGCCATATTCCTCGTGCCTCTAAGGTCGTGGCATAAAGGAAGTCATCAGGAGAGTTATGCAAAGTCTGGCCTTGACAGACCAAAGAGCACGATCTGGAAACCACGTAGACCTTGATATGCTGGGATCTTGTTTTCTTCCCTAGGGCTTGGGCACCGATGATGACACCCTTATCAGAGTGATGGTTTCTCGAGCGGAGATTGATATGTTAGACATTCGGGCACACTTCAAGAGGCTCTATGGAAAGTCTCTGTACTCCTTCATCAAGGTAAGGGGCCCAGGGGAAAGCTCTGATTAAAGGATGGGGTTCTGACCTGAGTATTTGGATACCTCTTATCCTCTCCGTGGCAGATAACATTCTGTTTAAAGATGGTACTCTAATTCAGATATTTCCAGTCTCTCTCCTTTCACACAGATGTTTAAATCTCTGTCAGAAGCTGGAAATGTTTGCATTGTAAATATACCAATTATTTTATGTTGTCCCAGACACAGAAAGATTATATTTTAATGAATGCTTGTAAGAGCACAATTTCTCTGTCTACCAGCTTACAATGAAAGATAAGCAACTGACTTAGTCATCCAGAATTCTAGCCAGGGTCAGCGGAGGTCCGCTGAGACTATGGGAAAGCATGTTCCTTATCCTGGACTGCTCTTCTTTACCTGGCACCAGACTTCGAGGCATGCTAACAGGGCAAGGGAGTGATGAGGAATGATTCACATTCCTAAAAACCTCTCATTACTTGGATTTTGTCTCTTGAGGAATTATGAGACCACTTCCCTAGAAGCTGGTGTTGCCTGCACAGCAAACTTCAAATCAGGATATGATATGGGAATTAAATATTCTGAATCCTACTGAGAGATGCAGAGGTACCACTATTAGGTGATTTGAGCTGCAGATTTTCACAGTAGTAGTATTTATTCGGGAACTCGTTTCAATTTCTGTACAGCCTATGAGGTAACTTTATTTTGCAGAGCTGAAATATTGCCAGCTGCAAATAAAATACTTTAAAGATTCATAGATGACCATAAATTAAGTTATGGAAAAATACATTTATAGCATACAATATAGAGTTAATATCCTTGTATTAAGAACTTCTGCAAATCACTAAGGGGAAAAAACAGACAAAACCCCAAAAACAAAATTGAGAAAGGACATTAAACATGCACTGGTGTGACCAATGGACATGGACAACTAAGCCGGGGACAGGGTGGAGGGGGGGGTGGGGGGTGCCAATGGGGTAAAAAGGTAAAATATCTGTAACAAAAAAATAAATAAAAATTCATAAAATAAAAAAAAAGTAAAAAAAAAAAAAAAAAAACATGCACTGGTGAAAGATGAAACACAAATAGCTGATTTGTAATGAAAAATATTTAATCTCACTAATATTCAATTAGTTTAAAATAAAAACAAACCATTTTTCACCTAATACCATCACAAAACTTAAAGAGTTCATAACCAGCATTGGGAAGGGCTTGGGGAAAACTCACCATCTCTTATGGAAGGACTATAAAACTAGTCTAACCTTTCTGGAGGCAATTTGGCAATAACTGTTTGAAAGATGAACTCTATCTCTTGCTTAGCCATTGTATGTTTAGGAATTTCTTTAGAGAAAATAAAATAAAAGCCCATTAATACACAGACTAGGAGAAAATATTTGAAAACCATATCTAATAAATCAGTTTATTATCCAGAATATATAAAAAACTATAACTCGATAACAAAAGACAACCCAATTTAAAAAACAATAAAAGATTTGAATAGATATTTCTCCAAGGAAGTTATACAAATGACAAATAAGCACATGAAAAGATGGTCAATAACATTAATCATTAAGAAATACAAATCTATCCCGGCCGGTGTGGCTCAGTGGTTGAGCGTCAACCCATGCATTAAGAGATTGCCAGTTCGATTCCCGGTCAAGGCACATGCCCAGGTTGTGGACCCCATGCCCAGTGTGGGGTGTGCAGGAGGCGGCCAACTGATGTTCTCTCTCATCAATGTTTCTATCTCTCCCTCTTCTTTCCTCTCTCTCTAAAATCAATAAAGAAAAACATTAAAATAATAAATGCTTATAAAACTTTAGGTGCCAAATAGTATTGCATTGAAATATATAAATAAGAAATTTGGGGCTCCTAAAGATCACATACTATTCGAGGGAGATTTTAATATATCCTTATTCTTTGGCAGATCAATGAGGCAAAATATAAACAAGAATATATTACATTTATTTTAACAGATGTAAATTCGACTTTGAACCCTATAAACATAGATTTCATATTTTTTAGTGCCCATGAAGCACTAACAAAAATTGATCTATTGCCCTGGGCGGTATAGCTCAGCGGTTAGAGCGTCGGCCTGCGGTCCAGAGAGACCCGGGTTTGGTTCCCGCTAAGGGCATGTACCTCGGTTGCAGTTTGTCCCTGGCCCTGGCTGAGTCATGTAGGTGGCAGCCACTCGATGTGTCCCTTTCACGTCGATGTTTCTCTCTCTCCCTCTCATTCCCTCCCACTCTATCTGAACAAAAAATGGAAAAATGTCCTTGGGTGAGGATAAAAAAAAAATTTCGATGTAGAAATTATAGCACCTTCCAGAAGACTACTTTGCAACCCATATCAAAAGGCTTAAGTAAGTACATGATTATTAATACAGTAATTCCCATTTTATGAAAATTTATCCTGAGTAAATCACCAAAAAAATGCACAAAAATTTAATTATAATATGCTTATTGCAGCAGTGTTTATAATAGTGCAAAATTTGAAACAATATAAATATCCAACAATGGGGGGAGGTGATCAAATAAATTATTTTACCCATGTACAGTGGGATAGTCTATAATCATTAAATAATGATGCTGTAGAAGAATATTTAATGTGCCCTGGCCGGTTTGGCTCAGCAGTTAGAGCGTCAGCCTGCGGTCCAGAGAGACCCAGGTTCGGTTACCGCTAAGGGCACATACCTTGGTTACAGTTTGTCCCCGGCCCTGGTTGAGGTTCTGCGGGAGGCAGCCACTCGATGTGTCCCTTTCACGTCAATGTTTCTCTCTCTCTCTTCCTCTCCCTCCTACTCTATCTGAACAAAAATAGAAAAATGTCCTCAGTTGAGGATAAAAAAAAAAAAAAAAAAAAGAATATTTAATGCATTAAAATAGGGAAATATTCAGGCCATATTAAGTAAAAAATCAGAATACAAAATACTACAGTCCCATCACATAGGAATCTATATGCATAGACAAAAGTCTGGAAGGATATGCATGAACCAGAATATTAAGAATAGTAATTTCTAGCCCTGGCCGGTTTGGCTCAGCGGTTAGAGCGTCGGCCTGCGGTCCTGAGAGACCCGGGTTCGGTTCCCGCTAAGGGCATGTACCTCGGTTGCAGTTTGTCCCCGGCCCTGGTCAGTTGTGCGGATGGCAACCACTCAATGTGTTCCTTTCACATCGATGTTTCTCTCTCTCTGTTCCTCTCTCTCCCTCCCACTCTACCTGAACAAAAAAAGGAAAAATGTCCTCGGGTGAGGATAAAAAAAAAAAAAGAATAGTAATTTCTATACGGCGGAGTTATGAATGATTTTTATGTCTTTAGTTTCTTCATTGAACAGGTATTACTTTTGAAATAAAAAATAACAAATGTCTTTTTTTTTTTTTTTAATGCCCTGGCTGGTTTTGCTCAGCGGTTAGAGCATCAGCCTGAAGACCGAAGGGTCTCGAGTTTGATTACAGTCACGGGCACGTACTTGGGTTGCAGATTTGATTTCGGCCCCGGTCAGGGTCTTGTGGGAAACAACCAATCCATCTATCTCACTCACATAAATGTTTCTCTCTCTCTTCCTCCCTCCTTCCCTTCCACTCTCTCTAAAAGATTAATGGAAAAATATCCTCTGTTGAGAATTAACAAAAAAATACATAAAAATAAAAACTCCGAGAAAATCCCAAACAAACTTTACAAAGTTAACCTAGATAAACTTTGAGCTGTGTATTTCATTTTAAAAACCATTTATCTGACTGTAACTTTGCTTCCCTGTCCTCAGGGTGACACATCTGGAGACTACAGGAAGGTCCTGCTTATTCTCTGTGGAGGAGACGATTAAAATAAAATCCTGGAAAGATAAGAGGATTCTCAAAACCTTTATATTTTTTAACTTCATTTTTCTACACTGCTATTAACATTATCTCAGAATGCTTATTTCCAAATTAAAACGCCTACAGATGTCTCCTAGGATATAGACTGTTATTATTCATCTGTAATTATAACTCATGATGCTTAAAAGCTCTACTTGTATTTCAAAGCTTATAAAACCTAAAAGGAGATTTAAAATTAGAAATAATAATGTACTCCATGTTTTTAACAGATCTCTTCCTCATTTGTGTTTCACAGAAATTGGAATGTATTAAAATCATGTTTTCTTTTTGGTGAAAATCTATTAAAATAGAAGACCGGAAACAGACTGTTCTAAAATTAATTTTCTTCCCTAATTCTATTTTTAAAGTGGCTGTAATTTCTTGATTTGAAATCATAAGCTTCTAGTTAGCAAGAATATCTGTCCAGTGTGCTATTTCACATAGTCATAGTTTGAAATCATCCACAAATGTCCTTTGTTTAGGTTTTGTTGATAGCGCTAGTTACTCTTTACTGGGTTTGATGTGAGATACTTCCTCCATTACATCTTACATTAAAATCTTACTCCCTTCAAGTTGAAGTATACCAAAATCTCCAAGTTGTCTGAACAAATTAATTTCTAACTGTGGTTATACAGATCATATATGTCTGGTTAACAACATAAATGCTGAACATTCCACAATATTATGTTAATATCTTAATCCAGCTTGAAGATGAATGTAATGCTCTCAATTTTACTTAAATTTTTTTGTGCTACAAATAACTTTTAAGTCACTTTGGATTTTGTTGATTTGTAGTAATTTACATTTGCATTGTGCCTTTCAACTCTAGAATTATTCCAAAGTATATTTGGATTTAACTCAAAAGTTCAGTTTGTATGCATCATGGAAAAATAATTTTAATAAAACATAGTATCTTTAAAGTGAGGTATATTCTTTATCTGACTTTATCATGTGTGAGTTTTTTCATCCTGGACTCTGAAAGGTATTTTTAAAGGACTTGTGTTACCCAGTTTTTAATAACTACAACATGAAGCCCTGGCTGGTTTGGCACAGCGGTTAGAGCATCGGCCCAGGGACCAGAGAGGCCCGGGTTTGGTTCCCACTAAGGGCATGTACCTCAGTTGCAGTTTGTCCCGGCCCCAGCTGGGTTCGTGTGGGTGGCAACCACTCTATGTGTCTCTATCACATTGAGGTTTCTCTCTCTCTCTTCCTCCTTCTCTCCCTCCCACTCTGTATCTCAAGATAAAATGCAAAAATGTCCTTGGGTGAGGATTAAAAAAAAAATTTAAAATAACTACAACATGAAGAAAAAAATCAACATATTTAGTCTTATGTGCACCTACTTCTGTGAAACTAACATACACATATACCAAACGGTATTACTACTTAATGATATAAAATAATGTATTTGCCTGGCCTGTGTGGCTCAGTGGTTGCGCGTCTACCTGTGCACCAAGAGGTCACCTGTTGGATTCCCAGTCAGGACACATACCCTAGTTGTGGGCCAAATCCTCAGTAAGGGGCATGCAGGAGATGGCCAATCGATATTCTCTCTCATTGATGTTTCTATCTTTCTTTCCCTCTCCCTTCCTCTCTATAAATAAAATAATGTATTTAATTTACTCTCTGAAAATGAGTGATGCTCTCCATTCTAAGTGGAAAATTTACATTAAACAAGAATATTTGTCTTTTTTGTTCATTTTATACTACCTATTGTATTTTTTTTTTAATCCTCACCCGAGGACATTTTTCCATTTTTTTGTTCAGATAGAGTGGGAGGGAGAGAGAGAGAACATCCACGTGAAAGGGACACATCGAGTGGCTGCCACCCACACGACCCAACCAGACCCAACCAGTGCCAGGGACAAGCTACAACCGAGGTACGTGCCCTTAGTGGGAACCAAAACTGAATCTCTCTGGACCACAGGCTGACACTCTAACCGCTGAGCCAAACTGGCTAGGGTCTACCTATTGTATTTTGACAGGTGAAATATGAGAATTTGTGTTTCGATTTGTTTCTACTTGCTTATTATAAGTACTCAAGCAACTAGTAAAAGCTATTTACATGAATACTTACTAATTCTGGTTAATTATAGGAAATAGTACTGCTGCTTTGATACTGACCCAGAAGAACTTCATTTGGTTTTGGAAGCATTACAAAATTTTTGGTAGTTTTATCTTTAAATTGTATATGACTTAGCCAAAATTTTTTTAATAAGTTGTATTTGTTGACCGAAGTTTTCTAGAGTACAGAATATAGCCACCCTGGAGGAATGTTTGTTATATTGAACAAGTATGTCATAATACTGTAATTATGAAGCAACTTCATTTTTCTCTCCCACTGTCCATTTACGTTTACTTACTGGGCCTAATTTTTCTCCTGTCTTTAGATGAAAATTCTGATAGAGGATAGAGTCATAACTTTTTTGGTCACTCTTAGGTTATAAAAAGTCCTACTGTGCAGTCCCTTAAGGTCATAAAACAGTGTCATTTCAGTAATTAATATGTCCAGTCAAATCCAAACTTGATTTACAGTTGAAGCTTCTTACCTCATTCAGCCCTGGTGTATTGCTGGTGTTCAGGGAAGGGGATATGGTAGGCTTCTCTTCTTTGTCCACCTAGGCTTCCTTCCATACACTACCTCCTAGCCCCCAGCCCAGCCAGGGATGTAGTAGTGTTGCTGGTGGAAATCGTGTTCTTTCACCGGATCTCAAGAAAAGCTTTTCTGCCCTGGCCGGTTTGGTTCAGCGGTTAGAGCGTCAGCCTGCGGTCCAGAGAGACCCGGGTTCGGTTCCCGCTGCAGGTTGTCCCCGGGTTCGGTTGGCTGCAGTTTGTCCCCGACCCTGGTTGGGTCGTGTGGGTGGCGGCCACTCGATGTGTCCCTTTCACATCAATGTTTCTCTCTCTTCCTCTCTCTCCTTCCCACTCTATCTGAGTAAAAAATGGAAAAATGTCCTCGGATGAGGATAAAAAAAAAAAAAAAAGAAAAGCTTTTCCTGGACTGACACACGTGGCAAGATTTAGTCAGGTGGAAATAAAAGGCTGCCCCTCCAATGTCCCATTTCCATCTGTCCCACCATGGAAAAAGTCCAATCTTGTCTTCATCAAGGTCAAAACAAAGGCCAGCGTCCAGAGTTTCTGTTTCATATTAAAACTTAGTCCTTTGGAGCCCTCTCAGTCTGCTGCAGGTCCCTGTTGCTAGACTCACATGGTCGAGGGAGGGAGGGAGAGAGAGAGAAGGGAAGAAGATATTCTTTGTTACCCTGGGGTTATTATCTTGGGCTTGTGAAAGACCAGGAGCTATTTCTTTCTTTCTTTTTTTTATCTTCACCGGAGGACATTTTTGTATTTATCTTCAGATAGAGCGGGGAGGGAGAGAGGGAGAAAAAGAGAGAAACATCTACGTGAGAGAGACACATAGAGTGGTCGCCACCCACAAGACCCCAACCAAGGTACAGGCCCTTAGCAGGAACCAAACCCGTGTCTCTCTGGACCACAGGCCAATGCTCTAACCACTTAGCCAAACCGGCCAGGGCTCTTTCTTATTTTTTTAAATCCTCACCTGAGGATATTTTTCCATTTATCTTCAGATAGAGAGGGAGGGGGAGGGAGAGGGAGAAACATCCATGTGAGAGAGACACGTCAATCGGTTGCCTCCTGCACGACCCTGACCAAGTTTGGGGGCTATACCACAACTGAGGTACTTGCTCTTGGCTGGAATCAATCCCAAGACTCTTTGGTCTGCGGGCCGACGCTCTAATTGCTGAGCCAAACCAGCCAGGGCAAGATCAGGAGTTTGTTCAAAATAACCAATCAACTGCCTAAACCTTTGTGGCTTCCACTGGGCCCGCCTTGCCACCAATCTATGATTTTCCCAGGCTATGGGATTTTGACTTCTATTGTGCATGTGCTTACCTTCCCCTTCCTTGTTCTATTCCTTGCCCCAGTGTTCTGGGGGAACAGACCAGTGTTCCCTGGGGAGTGTGTGAAGCTGTGACTTCCTGGCGAAGCAAGCAGGCTCATGCTTCCCAGTTGATTATACTTAATAATGTCTGATTTCCTTTGCTTCCTCCCTTTATTAATAACTACTGATGCTAACATCACCTGACTGTGCTCTGGTGTTGATGGTAAGCACTGTGTGATGTTGGCAGATGTTTAAGGTTGATTCTTGTGGGCATTCTCTCCGGTTCTTTTATCAACCCCATCACCAGGGAGGGAACCACTCATCTTTGGTTCCTTTGGCAAGGCAAATGCAATTCTTGTTTTTCAGTTTTTAGGAATTCAATAACTTCATATTCTGTGCTGTAATGTGTTTGTCCTTCAACCCAGGCCTCTGGCACATACATACTGGATGTCTTATGGTGTCACACACCTGTTTCATGGTAAACACTTGCGTAGCCTTTGTGTTAACAAATTCTGGGCATGCAGCCTAATCCCCTTGCAGCCATCATTCTCTGCTCCTCTCCTAGCCCTTACCCCCAAACTGCCCCAGCCAGCCTCTCAATTCAGATTTCTCAAGGTAAGACTTCTGTCCGCTCGGGCTCCCAAACTACATATACTGCTAGTGGAATAAAAGTTGATGTGATCATTTCAGAAGCAATTTAACAACAGTTGAAGTTGAAAGTTCCTAGTAAACTCACTTCTGGGGATATACTTGGTGAATCTTTTGCACATGGTGTTTATTTCTGCTCTATAAGAGCATTAAAGTAGAAAGAAAATCTAATTCCCTCAGTGAAAGGAAAAAAATAAACAAATTATGGGTCAGTCACACAATGAGCAGTGAAAATTAGAGATCTGTCAGTTGGATAAGTCTCAAAAGTATAATTTTGGGAGGAGAAAGGGGTAGTAGTATAATTCCATTTAATTACATGTCTAAATGTGCAAAAGAACATATATTGCTAGTGTGTATAAATATAATAGCATGTATGGGAATAATGATATACACCATTATCAAGATAGTGATCACTATAGGTGAGGGAGAGAGACAAATCAATGAAAGAAACATCAATTTACTGCCTCCTGCACTCTCCCTACTGTGGATGTCCCCTGACTGGGAAGCTGTGACCTCTTGGTGCATGGGACCACACTCAGCCATCTGAGCTACACTGACCAGAGCTAAATTTAAGTTTTTATTAAAATTTGTTATAGTTGTGGTAGGTCCATGAGCATTTATCAAATTACTCTAATTCATTAGAAATTTCACTAGAGCCCTGGCCGGTTTGGCTCAGCGGTTAGAGCGTCCGCCTGCGGTCCGGAGAGACCTGGGTTCGGTTCCCGCTAAGGGCATGTACCTCGGTTGCAGTTTGTCCCCGGCCCTGGTTGGTCATGCGGGTGGCAGCCACTCGATGTGTCCCTTTCACATCGATGTTTCCCTCTCTCTCTCTTCCTCTCTCTCCCTCCCACTCTGTCTGTGCAAAAAATGAAAAAATGTCCTCGGGTGAGGATAAAAAAAAAAAAAAAAAAGAAATATTTCACTAGAAATATTTTATTTTAAAAGTAGTAGGAACACTGAAGACCAAAAATTAAGGAAAATGAAGCCAGGGTCTGAAATCACATTAGTCAGAAAAGAGAACATGCAAATCTTATATAGTAAGAGATCTAAGAAAGAATATCAATGCATTAGTAGAGATTACTGCTAGAAGCCTGCCTCGTCTAATGAAAGCATGTTTCTTCAGAGCAAAAGGTCAATGAAGATAAAATGGATCCAGAGATTTTCTCTTTTTAGAAGACAGATCTTAGTTTTAGAAGCCAGACTTATTTAGGAAATGAGTAACTATTAAGTAATTAACAGCCAAATGTCCAGCTGTTTCTTAGAAATCTTGGTTCACATAGAATTTTCTTTATTGTGTTACTAACTTAGATGATCTGTGTTGGTGTCTATGTCAGTTGTCCAAAAAGCCTGGATATTTCAGAGATATTTAGTATATCTCTGAAATACTAAATAAGTACTACTCTCACTTGCTCCTACTTGATATTAACTAGTTAAGACAAGGATATCTTAATGAATTATCACTTCTCTAATACAAGATGCCATTGACTACAAAAAAAGTAGCAGGAGCCCTGGCCGGTGTTGTTCAGTGGTTAGAGCTTCGGTCTCAGGTTTGATTCCTGGTCAAGGACACATACCTGGGTTGCAGGTTCAGCCCTGGTCAGGGAGTGTGGAGGAGGCAACCAATCGATGTTTTTCTCTCACCTGATTTTTTTTCAATCTCTCTCTCTCTCCCCACTCACCCCCTCCCTTCCACTCTCTCCAGAAATCAATGGAAAAAAATATCCTTGGGTGAGGATTTAAAAAATAAATAAGTAACATAAAAATATAAAGTAGCAGGAGGGAGTCAGGAAGTGAAAGTTGACTGTCTAGACTCCACAGCAAGGGCTGCACACTCTATACAGATACCTGTAACATTTACTCACACACCTGTACATTTTGCTCGAACCTCCTGAAGGTATTTAAGCCCTGACAGCCCCAGCACAGACCCCATTCAGATGTCCCCCTGCTACTGTGTGGAGGAAAGGAGTGCAGGGAACGTTTGCCATAGTTCGTCTAGGAAGCCGAGAGTTGATGTTTAAGAAGCCCAAGGGCCTAGCATTCTAAGATGCACATTCTAGGTCTTCCTTCCTTGGAAAGCCAGACCCTACCTCCGCAGGGCGAGACCCCAGCACGTGGTGACTCCTCCAAGGAAGAGCTCAAACAGTACGGTCTTTTTTGGCCCGTAGCCAAGCACAGGGCCCATCTGGAGCTCAAAGAACTTCTGCAGAAAGAATTAATGAACTGCCGATCTAGGTAACATAAAGACTGTGTGTAAAACAATGCTAAAAGCTATGTCGGCCCCCAAATTCAGGACGGTAGGAAATACGGACCAAACAAACACAGCGCAAAAAGAACTAGTCTACATCCGCGAATCGCCCCACTCACCCTCGTCCGGTTCTGCGCAGGCTCCACCCTCCACGCACACCCACCTTTCCCCGCCCCTTCCGGAGGCTCGCCAAGCGCATGCGCCGTCCGGTCCGCGCTTATTTGCGAAAGCAAGGGAACAGGGTCTCGCAGCCCGGAGACGCCGCGCGCTGAGACGCGGCGGGCGGGGCGGTGGCGTCCGCTGCAACTGTTGGGGCTGCGCGTGAGAAAGTGGCCGTGTAGGCACTCGGGTCGGGTAGAGACCGCCGGCGGCGACCGGTCATGGAGGGAGACAGGGTCCGCTGGTCTCCCTGAGGTGCGCTCCCTGAAATCCCGGGGAGCCGTGACCAATGGGCTCGCTGAGCAGCCGAGTGCTGCGCCCGCCTGGGCGATCCCGAGCCCAGCAGGAACCGGGTTCCGGGGCCGGGGGCTCGGCCCGGAGGCCAGAGACTGGCGGCGACGCGGCCGGCCACGGCTTCTGTTACTGCCCCGGCAGTCGCAAGCGTAAGCGGAGCAGCGGGGCCCTCTGTTATTGTCATCCCGAATCCGAAACAGACGAGGATGAGGAAGAAGGGAACGAGCAGCAGCGGCTCCTCAACACCCCTCGAAGGTAGGTGGAAGGACGCTCCCGCACCTGTTGGGCGGCTTCCGCGGCCCGGCCAGGGGACAAGTTAGGCAGCGCTTGGGGGGTGCGGCGCTCCTCCAGCCTGTGAGGAGCGGACGTGTCCTTGACAAGGTAAACGTGGGAGCCGGCCCGAAGCAAGGCAGATGGGGAGCCTTGGGAGACGCTTGGTGTTCTGGATTATAAACCACAGACGTTGCCAGAATGATGTTATGGCCCCAAGACGAGACTCAGAAACGCCAAGCCGACGCTTGCGCCTCATTAAACCTTAGACACGACCGGCTGGCCGGCCTTACGTGGTACACCTTTGTCTTCTCTGTGTGGGTGGCAGTAAAATAAGTTGTTTTGCATCCGCTGGCTTTAAATAGTACAGACGCGTTGATTTCGTCTTGAGGTGGGCACTCCCATTGTCGTCCACTCAGCGTATCGGAAATGATGACAGTACTCCTCAACTGTAAAAGTGAAGTTTATCAATAGTGTACATGTGTTCCTTACGAGGAACAGTCTTTCAGAGCCTCTGGTACTTGTAACGTTCACCGTGGATGTGTGTCAGGCTGAGCTGCAGCTTGCTCAATCTTTTTTTCGAAGAGTGGAAAACCGGGATATTTACTTGTGAATTAGAATATCATTTCTAAAATAGGATATGTTTTCACACAAACCATCTGGTTGCTCTGTTTATTTTTAAAGGTCATCAGTGGAGTCACATATACTTAATTTTTTTATTTGTTTTATTTTTACTTTTTCTAGATTTAATTTTTAATGAAGTTTTAAAAAAAAACAAAAAACGATTTAAGCCCCGCTAGTGTGGCTCAGTGATTGAGTGTGGACCCATGCACCAAGAGGTTGCCCGCCCGTTCAATTCCCAGTCACGGCACATGCCCAAGTTATGGGCCGAAATCCCCAGTGGGAGGTATGCAGGAGGCAGCCAGTCGACGTTCTCTCTCTCATGGATGTTTCTGTCTCTCCTTTTTCCTCTCTTTCTAAAATCAGTAAAGAAAAACAAAAAAAATAAAGAAATTGTACTTTCTTTTTTTTTTTATCCTCACCCGAGGACATTTTTGCATTTATTTTCAGATAGAGCAGGAGGGATTGAGGGAGGAAGAGAGAGAGAGAAACATTGATGTGAGAGAGACACATCCACTGGTTACCACCCACATGACCCCAACCATGTGAGAGACAAACTGCAACTGAGGTATGTGCCCTTAGCAGGAACCAAATCAGGGACTCTCTGGTCGGAGGGCCCATGCTCTAACCGCTGAGCCAAACTGGCCAGGATGAAATTGTACTTTCTAAAAAAATAAAAAGATTCAAAAAGTTTTGTTTACATGAGCATTATGTATTATAAAATCAAAGCATTACAGATAACGTATGTTAACAGTTTGATTTATAAATCTTTTACACAGTTTTATGTAAGAATATTTGTCCAAAAATGGACCCCCGCTGTCAAATTGTTACCTTTTTGGAGAGCCAGCATAATATAATTTTAACAGCTCAGATTTTGAGTTCTTGTCTCTATATTTCCTCGTAAGTAAAATGGTGCAGATACTAATAATTGCCTTGCAGGGTTTCACAAATATTAGAATGCATACTAATAAACAGTGCCTGGTATAGAAGGACTCAGTAAATATCTCCTTGATGAATTGACTCCCTTTATCATTACAAAATGCTTCTCTTTATACAATATAGCCACTACCACTGTATTTTAATAAGTATTTAAAAGGTATATCTTTTCCCATTCTTTCCTGTTGTATCTGTGTCTTTGTATTTAAAGTGGTATCTTAAAGACAGCATATAGTTGGGTCTTGGTTTTGTTTTGTTATTGTTTATCCCCCCCACCCCCAGGATATTTTTCCATTGTTTTTTTGGAGATAGTGGTGGGGGCGGGGAGAGAGAGAGAGAGAAAGAAAGACAGAAGGAGAAACACTAATGTGAAAGATACATCAATTGGTTGCCTCCCGTATCACCAGAGCTGGGCATCGAACCTGCAACCCAGTTACATGCCCTTGACTAGGAATTGAACCCAAGACCCTTTGGTCTTTGGGCCAATGCTCTAACCGCTGAGCCAAACCGGCCAGGGCTGGAAAGTCTTTAAAGCATACTTTTATTAGAAAATGCATATCAGAGTTAAGTATGTGTATATCAGTGGTAGATGGTTGGCTTATTTAGCCCAGTATAGATGAAGAGAGTAAGAAAATATTAAGACCTAGCATTTTGGCCACTAATGCTTCCTGAGGTTGTCTGCTGTGCTATCCCATGTCGACGGACCAACCACTCCATGAAAAGCTTGGCTTCCAGGCCCCTTCCACCTCGTACCTTTTGTCAACTGCATGTTTTACTTTACATTAACAAGATTGTTAAAACTCACCTGTTCTGCAACCAGATCTTGAGTATTTTTGTCTCAGATTGTCTCTAAATATTGAAATCTAGCAACAGTATTTGTTGTTATAACTATGTAAATATTGTTCACTGCAGAGTCAAGTAGTGTGCTAGGACTATAATTCATACTTCATGGGCCCAATGTGACAACCCTCTGGTTTTCTTTTAGAGAAATTTTCTAACCTCATAGTTATATGGATTCTTACATTCCATCAAATGCATTAAATCAGGCCCTGTTATCATGTGTATCTTACTGAGATACTGCCTTTTTAATTTTTATTTTACTTATTTTTTATTGATTTTTAGAGAGAGAGGGAGAGAGAGATAGAAACATCGATGAGAGAGAACATCAGTTGGCCGCCTCCTGCATGCAATCCCACTGGGGGATTGGGCCCACAACCTAGGCATGTGCCCTGACTGCGAATTGAACCGGTGACTTCTTGATATATGGGTTGACGCTCAACTACTGAGTCACACTGGCTAAACCAATTTCTCTCTTTTTTTTTTCTATCCTTACCTGAGGACTTTTTTTCATTTTTGTTCAGATAGAGTGTGAGAGAGAGAGAGAGAAACATCGATGTAAAAGGGACACATCGAGTGGCTGCCTCCTGCAGGACCCCAGCCAGGGCCGAAGTCGAATCTCAACTGAGGTACATGCCCTTCACTGGAATCGAACCTGTGACTCACTGGTCTGTGGGCCGATGCTCTAACCACTGAGCAAAACCGGCCAGGACCAATTTCTCTCTTTTTAATAATTTTTCGTACTCCTAATTTTCCTCAGATTGGTGTTCCTTGGTTGTCTGCTTATATTTAAGGAGGAGGAACTGGTATGTGTCTGTGTGTGTTAATTGAGTAAATAAATCTACTTCCACTAACCTTACCCTTTGAGTGGGAGTACTGACTACTATGTTGAATGTGGGTGGGGCATGCTTTGTTTTAGAGTGGAGCTTACCAAACTTTGTTTATAACACCCTAAGTGTCTCAGTTATTTTCTTCATGGCACCTTGGGTCCTAAAGAACTAAAATACCTCATAGTTGGGTCCAGCCAACTTAATAGTAATAGACTGCATGGTACTGAAAGATGTTACTGTGTTTCCTTCCAATTTAGAATATTCCACATGCCTGCCTGACTGAGTTTGCGGTGGTGTTCCAGGCGCTTTGACACACAGTTTGGGAATCATGATTTAGGGTAAATAGGTTGGGAGCTACCAGGGTATAGATCCTTCATTTGACAGAACGAGGATTGCTTTGTCTGGGACACCAAAACCTACACTAAAGCCTTAGATCTTTTTGATAGATTTGTTTTACTTCTTTCTAGAAGATCCTTGGAATCTTTATATGTGGGTTATCTGTACTCTGTGTTCATAGAGAGTGGAGTAGGTCATTAAGGGAACAAGTTTCCCCATTTTCTGCCTCACTTTCTACTTTTGCCTTTTGTTTCCCCTGAGACTTCATATTCCCAACACACACACACACAGGTTCTAAAGGGCAAATGGGCTGTAGCTTCCATCATATACCTTCATGAAGACACATCGATTGGTTGCCTCCCGCACAGCCCCAATCAGGGCCAGGTATCGAACCTGCAACCCAGGTATGTTCCCTTGACTGGAATTGAACCCAAGACCCTTGGGTCCACAGGCCGATGCTCTAAACCACTGAGCCAAACCAGCCAGGGCTGAATTGTTTCTTTTGATGCTCTATTCCATTCCAGTTTATTGTCTAACTTCCAGATCCAGTAGAAATCTCTCATCAGGTGACAAACCCACCCTCTCACCTTTCTGCTGTTGTGACCTTATTCCTTTCTGTACTTTCAATCTTTTAATGTAAATTGAGCAGGATGCTATAAGGAACTGGAAACTACATTGTCTCATTTATTTCTCACAGTAACCCAGTGAAGTGGGTATATTGATAGATACCCTTTTAACTTCAAGGGTAACTGGGCTATGGTGAAGCTGGGACTCAAACTCAAGTCTTTCTACCACTAAAGCATGTGCTATTTCTACTGCCTGTTGGGAAGAGATGTTAAATACACTGGTTCAATACACTATCTGAAACAATTTCTTCATTTTTTAAAATACTAAAAAATTCTAACTATTGGGAAAGCTGTCAGGGTTGGCCAGGAATATAAAAGATTGATCAGCCTCTACCTAGGGCTTTTTTGTATTTACTGGACCATCTTAAGCAATGATTATCAAACTTAAAAAGTTTTATTTGTTTAAATTTAATCTTAAGCAGAACTCCAAGATGTTTAGAGATATGTGATACTTCTCTGGTTGAAGTTGGGTGAGATTCCTGGCATTCACTTCTCAGCTCTCCCTGGTGGCCACTTTTCAACGGAGCATAATTTTGAGGACCACTGGTCTAAGGCTGCAAACCAATTGTCTAGTTAGGGGTGGTGGTGGCATTTTCACTAGTTTTAAAATCATTTGGTACCAAAGTAAGATTAAGTGTAAATTTTTTTTTTTTAATTACTTGGATGGGTGAAATTTTTACACATATTCTTCATTCAGTATTATTTGTAGTTGTATGGGGAGCCTCCATACTGCTGATTTCTAAATAAGTAAATAAGGAAAAATCACTCTGACTTATCTTAATTTATGGAATGGGTAATTCACTTGGTTCAAAAATCAAAAATTGCAAAAAAACGTACAGTGAAAGGTCTCCCTCTCATGCTCCCCCCATTTATGCACTATTACCCCTCTTGTGAATCTAGTACCTCAGAGATAACCACTACTATTAGTTTTTTAATGTACTTGTCCATACATTAGCAAATTTAAATATATAATGTGCCTCCGTCCTTTTACTCCAGTTGGCTCTATTTAATAAAAATTGAACAAAAAGAGTATTTGAATTATTTGCAAAATCAGTAAAACATTCAGTTTTATATATATGTACTTGCATTTCTTTTAACAGGAAAAAATTAAAGAGTACGTCCAAATATATTTACCAAACATTATTTTTGAATGGTGAAAATAGTGACATTAAAATTTGTGCTCTAGGAGAAGAGTGGAGTTTACACAAAATATATTTATGTCAAGTAAGTATTTTATTTTTCTGTTTGGCTACTTTAAAAAACTCAAACTCTTTTAAGTTATGTTCTTTATATTTGCATTTCACAGTAATCTTTTACATGATCAGTGATTAACTCCTGTCATCTAATAAAAAGTCTTGTTTTATTAGAAATACGATGAACACTGTTAATGAAGCTTAGTTTGGTCTAGAAAACAGATTTTGAATTTTCACTGTCATACCAGCCTAGCAATCAATACCTTTTTGTCATTACTTCAGTAGGGTGCTCATTTTGGTGCCCTCTGTTGACAAAAGGGAAAAAGTTATTAGGGAAAAAAGTGTTAAACATCAAAGTTAAGATTGTTGAATTTGTTTAATACGTATATGATTATTTAATTGGGTGAATTTAGCTAGAATGTTGCTTTGTAGTTGACACTGAATGTGAATGGAAAGTTCTTGACATTTGCTCTTCCTTCTCTCTGGAAAAGTGCAATTAAATTAAAGACAACATCAAAAACATATGTAGATTAAGTCATTTAGCTGATAAACTTATTTGATTTCTGTGCTAAAAAATATTACTATCTGCCACCCCATTTTAAAGATTCAAAACTTTTGAAATAAAAGAAAATACTGCCTTAATGGCTCAAATATTTTATTTATTTTTTTCATCAAATCTGTCTTTTCTTCAAATTATTGTTCTAGGGAGGGGGAATAGAGCAGTGAACAATTCAGTTCTTATCCTGTGGAGCTTATATTTTTCCCTCTCTTTTTCACCATTGACAGTAATTACTGGTAAGACAGTATAGTTTAAGATTTTTAGTATAAACATTTGAAAGGAATTTTTCCTCTTAACATTTTAATCATAGGTTTTTTTGTTTGTTTTTTTTATCCTCACCGGAGGACATTTCTTCCATTTTTTGTTCAGATAGAGTGGGAGGGAGAGAGGAAGAGAGAGAGAGAGAGAGAAACATCGACGTGAAAGGGACATATCGAATGGCTGCCACCCGCATGACCAACCAGGGCCAGGGACAAACTGCAACCAAGTTACACACCCTTAGTGGGAACCGAACCCCTGTCTCTCTGGACCGCAAGCCGACGCTCTAACTGCTGAGCCAGATTGGCCAGGGCTTAATCATAGTTTTTATTAAATTTTTGAACAGTTTTATTTTGCCTTAAAGTATAGAGCCTAGAGAATATATCAGCACATCAGTCTTAACTTGAGCATATGGTCCATATCTTTCTTTTTAATCTCTCAAAACAATTTTGTGACTTTAAGGATGCAGATGCCTCTTTCCATCTCGAAGGAAACTGGATATATTATGGATAGATTATAGTGCAAGCCACATGCTAAATTATAAGCCTCCTGAGGACAGAAACAGTGTGTTTTATTTACTGCTATATGCATAGTGCCTTGTATACACTAAGTACTCAGAAAAAGTTTTTTTAATAAATTAATATTTGATCCATTCTACAGTAATTCTGATTATGAGAGGTACTATCTAGTAAGTAACTAAAGACTTCATCCATTCTGGAACCTTTCTATGAATTCAGGTTCATTCTGGTATTTTCTGATTAGATAAAATTAAACTTTGGATTTTCTTTAATTTCTTGGGAATCATCCTATTAGTATTGACTTGGGACTGGTCTTGACCCTTTACAGCTGGTGAGGTACAGTGAGGATTTAACAGTTTGAGGGCTTTTAGTCTATTCCCGGTATATTTTTATTTATCCACCTTGTGTGTTGTCATATATGTATGAGAGATATTTAAATATATGACATAAGTTCTAAGTTTGAATTTAGAATGTCATTGACAAGGAAAAACATATACAAGTAATATAGTCAGAAATTGTTTTTATTAAAAAGCTAATGAGGTTCAAATATATTACTATATAGGAATTCGGTTCAGCTAGTGATATGAGAATTTGGTTTAGTTTTCATTAAGTTAGTACTAAACTGAAAGTATTTTTATAAACATGATAGTCAATTTCTTTTGTCCTATAGACATATTTGGCTGTTCTTTTTCTCTTGAAATGATATGATGTGTTAGTTTCCATAGAATAGTTGGCTTAAAGTTAGAAATGGGGAAATAATTTGGAAGGCACAGAAAGTACTAGATAATCGTTTGTTATCTTGTTTATCCTTTTTTTTTTTTTAAGTCTGGCTACTTTTCTAGTATGTTCAGTGGTTCTTGGAAAGAATCCAGCATGAATATTATTGAACTGGAGATTCCGGACCAGAATATTGATGTAGAAGGTAACTACCACCATAATTATTTCTATTATTTAAAATAATAAAAACATAACTTTTTTATTCTTTTGGTAGAAAATAAATATTTTCTTCTAACTTTGGAAGCCAGAAAAAAGCTCCATGTAATACCCCAAGGCAACAACATTATATTGATTTACTCCACCGTTTATCAGTTGTGTTCTACCTATCTCTAATCTTTTTAGTTATGTGGGCCATATCAGTCTGTTTACTTGGTAAATATATCTGCCTGGGATATGGAGGATGTAGAATGAAGGAAGGAACAGTATAACCATTTATTTTAATTACATAGAAAAGCTGGTGAATAATATTCATTGATTATTCCCCACTTATGAAGACCTTTTCTGGGAACAATAAGGGTATGAATTATATAATCAATGTTTATTTAGAGCTATAAGGATTTTTAGATGAGGAAGCTGAGACTCAGAGAATTTAAGGGACTATTTTAGATCTCAGAGCAGTTTAATGAGCCTAAATCTGACTAGTTCTCCTAATTGCTATTCCAGTGCTCCTTCGGCCCACTTTTTTTCTTTTTATTGAATTCATTGGAGTGATACTAGTTAACAAATTATACAGGTTTCAGGTACAAGAATATAAAGTAAACCATGTGAGACATAGACATGAGTACAGCAGAGAGAAGGATGGACAGGCTTAGATAGCTGTAGTGGCTGGGTGAGAGAGTGGCATGGATAAGACCATGAAGCTCTTCCACACTCGCCAGTGGTGAAGCACTGAAAGCATTAGAGTTAAGATTATTATTGTGTCTGTACTTGTACTTAATAATTGGTCTGCTCAGGGGTGTCTTTATAAAACTTTTTCCAAGGATGTCTAAATTCTGACCACTAATTAATGTCAAGATTAGATCTAGAAGAATCCAGCTCAATTTGGTAAAATAAATGGAAATTTATAACATTAATATTAAATTAGTACCATTAATCAGTAACCATTACTAGCATTTTAATTAGTGATACTTCTCTTATCCTTCTTATCCTTTAAGTACATACTAGATTTAGACATATGTCTTAGTGTGTAAAGATAGTCATTGTTATTTTTTTAAATACTGTTATAATTGTTATTTCATTCTACATGTGTGCTTTTGCTCTCAGCACTACAGGTTGCATTTGGGTCACTGTATCGAGATGATGTCTTAATAAAGCCCAGTCGAGTTATTGCCATTTTGGCAGCAGCTTGTATGCTACAGTTGGTAAGTATACACATTATTCAAAGAAAGAATTACAGTTGAATCTTTGTTTCAAAGTATCTACTCCAAAAACAAAAACAAAACTTAGCTTTTTATAATTTTAAAAATAAAAATGAATTGTATAAATATGCCATTGATGATGTCATCTAAAATGCTTAACCAAAAGCAATGTATTACAAACAACCAAAGGAATCATGATGTCTATGTACAATGAATACAAATTATTTCTGTGTAAACATCTTTAAATGACTAATGTGGAAAAAACTTACTTGTCTAAGTCCATTTACAGATTTCTATTCATTAATGACTTATTTTGACTGTTTTGAAGCAGATGGCTTATAATTAATTCATTTTAGTTCATGGGTTTAAAAAACATCAAATGCTTACTATGTAAACTTTTTCTTAATTATGAAGTAACTGTGTGTAAATGTATATAATCTATGGGTAGAAGGATAGATTTGTTCATTCAACAGAAGTGTATTTAGCAATGTGTTAAAGTAGTCATAAAGCTCCAAAGATAAAGTATTGTCCCCACCTTTAAGAAGTTCACAATATGGCCCTGGCCGGTTTGGCTCAGCGGTTAGAGCATTGGCCTGCAGTCCGGAGAGACCCGGGTTCGGTTTCCGCTAAGGGCACGTACTTCGGTTGCAGTTTGTCCCCGGCCCTGGTTGGTCATGCGGGTGGCAGCCACTCGATGTGTCCCTTTCACGTCGATGTTTCTCTCTCTCTCTCTCTCCCTCCCACTCTATCTGTACAAAAATTGGAAAAATGTCCTCAGGTGAGGATAAAAAAAAAAAAAAAGTAGTTCACAATATGATGAGTGTTGAGCAGGAGAGGGAGGGTTGATATACAAACCCAAAGGTAAAGTAAGAGCTGTCCAGTGTCATATGTATGATAATAAACATCCTGTAGGATGTAGTGGATGTACAAAGTGGTCCGTTCAATGTGGTGGTATCGAAAAGGAAGTTGTGTGCCCTGGCCAGTTTGGCTCAGTGGTTAGAGCATCGGCCTGTGGTCCAGAGAGACCCGGGTTTGGTTCCCGCTAAGGGTGCGTACCTCGGTTGCAGTTTGTCCCCAGCCCTGGTTGGTTGTGTGGGTGGCAGCCACTCGATGTGTCCCTTTCATGTCGATGTTTCTCTCTCTCTCTCTCTCTCTCTCTCTCCTCTCTCCCTCCCACTCTATCTGAACAAAAAAATGGAAAAATGTCCTCAGGTGAGGATAAAAAAAAAAAAGGAAGTTGTGTTTGAGGTTGAGTCTTGCAAACTGAAAAATGTATTTATTTTGCAAAGTAAGAAGAGGGAGAGCATTTCAGACAGTAAACTAAGACCTAGTGATGTGGAACTGTGGAGAATTAGAGAATCTGAGTAGAACATGGCTCTAGCATAGAATATAAGAAGGGTTGGAGAGAATGAGGCAGAGGGCAGGTTATGAATGTCCTCTATACCTTTTTATATATAAGTACCTTTGGAAGATTTTAATCAGGGGAAAGACAAAGTTAAGCTTTAAAAAGAGTGCTTCAGGCCCAGCCGGTGTGGTTCAGTGGTAGAGCGTTGACTTATGCACCAAGAGGTAGCCAGTTCAATTCCCGGTCAGGGCTCATGCCCAGGTTGTGGGCTTGATCCCCAGTGTGGGGTATGCAGGAGGTGGCCAGTTGATGTTCTTTCTCATCCTTGTTTCTATCTCTCTCCCTCTCCCTTCCTCTCTAAAATCAATAAAGAAAAAGTTAAAAAAAAAAAAGTGCTTCAGAAGCAATGTGAAAAGATGAGTATAAAAGCCTATTGTAATAATCCAAATGAGGGTCTAAATTAGGGTCATAACATTAAGAATGGAGAGGAAAAACTGAATACCAGAGAGATTAATCAGGGATAATCCACTGGACTTGGTGACAAAGATGTTAAGAGGAAAAGGGAAGAGTCTAGAGTGACTTTCAGGTAAGTTTAAAATCCTAACGGAGTCAGCGATTTATTTTGATCTTTAAAAAAAGTTAATGAAGTTTTTCATTATGTGGCATTTGTATACTGATTTATTTGAAGTATTAGTTAATAGCTTTCTAAATATACTTGGTTGAAGTTATTTTGTTTTTTAAAATGTTTGATCCTTACAATTCTTATTTCCACTAAAAATGCTTTATTTTCTAACTTTAGTCTATTTTTGGTTTTGTTCTAAATCCACTTTCTGCATTATCTTTATGACTTAACTACTTAACCTAATAATATATTTGCATGAATATGTTTAAGAAATTTGAGTAAACAGTAATAGTATTCTTTCCATATATTGAATAAAGTTGGTTTGAAATCTTCTATGTAAACATTTTAGATTAAAATTTCAATGTAAATTTAAAACAATATATTTGATTTAAGTACATCTCTTAGATATTGATATGTTTTAAATTTTAAACACTTTGTGATGATTCATTGTTTACTTGCCTAGCCCATCACATGGTCTGTATAAAAGAGATCTTAATTTAAAAAGAACTGGCAAAATAGAATGTTGCTTAAATTTGCAGAGGTCCCAGGGAAGGGAAGAATAGAAAAGAAAATACAAATATTCATCTCTGCCTTACTACTTTTACCCCCTCTCTTCCATTTTTAATTCCAAGTATTTAGTTGAATACTTGCTGGATTTTTTTTTTTTTTTTTTTTTTTTTTTTGGTATTTTTACTGGACTTATGAAAACTTAGGCTTGCTGCACTTTAATGAGTTTTCTTTCTTTTCTTTCTGACTTTTTTTTTACTTTTTAATATGTAAAAGCACATGTTCAGAGCTAATTTTTCCCACATGAAATGGGACTTTCCAGTGCTTATTTATATTTACAGGATGGTTTAATACAGCAGTGTGGTGAGACAATGAAGGAAACAATTAATGTGAAAACTGTATGTGGCTATTACACATCAGCAGGGACCTATGGATTAGATTCTGTAAAGAAAAAGTGAGTTACCCTTTTTGTATTTCCTTCCATCCCACTTTTGGGAATTTGGCTGCTTTGGTTTCCTAAGAGAATGTATAGTGATAAGAAAGAAAGAAAAAACAGATTGGGGAATAGAATTTTGTTTAAAAGTTCCTTTTTACATTTGGACAAATTAGTAGATTCCTCCAAGTCTTGTCTTTGTTAAGTGACCATGGGTGGGTTATACATACTTATAAAAACTGTGGTCACTTTTTACAGTAGATTTTCTATAAAATCTCTCAAGTAGTAGGCATATTAGACATCATATCAGCACAACTACTGACAATGTTTTTAACTCTTAAGAATTGCAGTACCCATTTTCAAATTGTAAAGAAGGTAATGGAAGTACGTAAACCCTTTCATAAACCATTTAACACAAACTTGAAGTGAGGTTTTCTTAAGTTGAAATGCTCTTCTTAATGTAAAGGGAATATTTCCTTAATAATTGTTGACAAAAATAATACTAAATTTTCAATTGTTAAATTAAAAATTTTGAGCATGTCCTAGCAAGACTAATACTCTGTTTTTACTTTAACTGTAAGTCGTACTTAATAAATCATAAATACATGATATATAATGTAATAATTCCATGTTTTCATTTCAGGTGCCTCGAATGGCTTCTAAACAATTTGATGACTCATCAGAATGTTGAACTTTTTAAAGAACTCAGGTATTTGAATTTAAAATAACTTTGTAATCATTCTAAAGTATTGTTTTTCATTTTTCAAAGTATGCAAGATATTTTTGTATAAAACAAAAATATATTAATTAGGAAAAAGTAAACAATTTAATGAAAGGTATCTTAACTGCATCCATGAATTGATGAAATGCTACACAAATTATAAATGATACAATGTATATTATGTCAACTGTTTTAATCTATACTTTCGTTGTTGTTGTTAATCTTCACCAGAGGCTATTTTTCCATTAATTTTTAGATAGAGTGGAAGGGAGAGAGGGAGGAGAGAGAGAGTGAAACATCAATGTGAGAAAGACATTGATTAGTTGCCTCCTGCATGATCACGACCAGGGCCAGGTATCAAACCTGCAACCCAGACATGTGCCTTTGACCAGGAATCTAACCCTTGAACCTCAGTCCTCAGGCTGACACTCTTTTTTTTTTATCCTCACCCGAGGACATTTTTCGATATTTTGTTCAGATAGAATGAGAGGCAGAGAGAGAGAAACATCGACGTGAAAGCGACACATCGAGTGGTTGCCACCCACACAACCCAACCAGGGCTGGGGACAAACTGCAACCAAGGTATGTGCCCTTAGCGGGAACCGAACCCAGGTCTCTCCGGACCGCAGACCGACGCTCTAACCGCTGAGCCAAACCGGCCAGGGCCAGGCTGACGCTCTAACCTGCTGAGCCTAACCTGCCAGGGCTGTTTTAAACAATTTTAATAGAAAAATTCATTGCTGCTATAAAATTATAGAAAAGTCTCAAGTGTTACCTCATTTATGCTGGGCTCTTAGAGAACCTAACAGTTTATTTTTTAAAACCATCTTTAGCACCCAGCTGGTGTGGCTTAGAGGATTGAGCGTTGCCCTATGGGCTGAGAGGTCCCGGTTCAATTCCTAGTCAGGGTATGTGCCCAGATTTCGGGCTTGATCCCTAGTGGAGGGCATGCAGGAGGCAACCCATCGATGTTTCTCTCTCTCATTGATGTTTCTATCTCTCTCCCTTCTCTCTCTAAAAAAAAAAAAAACCAATAAAAACATAGAAAAACAAAACAATATCCTTAGCCTTGACTGGTGTGATTCGGTTGGGCATCATCCTGTGCCCCAAAAGGTTGCTGGTTTTATTCCCAATCAGGACACATGCCTGGGTTTTGGGCTTAATCCCTGGTAGAGGGTCTGAAGGAAGCAGCCAACTGATGTTCCACTTTCACATCAATGTTTCTCTTTCTCTCTCCCTCCCTCCCTCTCTAAAAATCAATAAAATATTTTTTGCAAAAACAAAACATCTTTACCATTGAGAAATTAAGTTTGAGGGGATTGTAAACTTTTTGATAAGCCTAATGAAATTAAATTTATAATTATATTGGCCTTTTGAATTAAGTCTGCTTACTATTACTTTCTTCCTTCATTTTACAAATACTTCCAGAATGTCCACTGTGAATAAAGGTACTCTGTTAGAGGCTGTGAACGATGCAGAGATGATTGTGTAATGTTCTCTGCCCTCAAGAAGCTTATTTGTAGTAATTGGGGAATCTGAGAAATTCAGGGTGAAAATGATCTTTAAGAGGCCAGTAAGCTTTATAGTCATTTTCAGGCTTGCATTTTCTTTACAGTGGTGCTTCTGGGACAGGGTTACAAATATCACTAAGTAGTATGTGACACTCCAATAGAGATGTACAAAATCAATGACTTATCATTGCATAGCTTCCTGAGATGTCAGTTTTACTGATTAGGGGTGGTGAAAGACATGGAGAGACATTGGGAGATAAACATTTTTATCTTTAACTACATTATGGAGTAGAGAGTTCAAATTTCTTTGAACTTTCAATATAAAGTACAAGATTTAATAGAAATGGTATTTTTATGGCCAGACCACCTTCCACTTTCCTTTTTTCTGCCCTTTAGTACTTTAGTAGAAAGTGTAATTCTACAAAGAAGAAGAAAGAAGCATTATTCTACAAAAAAAAAAAAAAAAATCATCACCTAGTGATGTCATGGCATAAACAAAAGCTCTGTAATATGTGTGGTTTGAAAATCATTAGAAACACTTGAATTTTTTTCTGTTATTATGTTGAGCATCTTTTCATGTACTTATTTGTTACTCATATATTTTCTTTTGTGAGGTGTCCATTCAGATATTTTTTTTTTCTGTTATAATTTCTCACTGAGCTTTTTCAAAAGGAAGATATATCATAGTGGTCTTCTGAAAAACTCAGATGTTCTTTCTTTTTCTGACTTGAAGGAAAGAAAGAAACAACTGGTGATATTATTTTCACTCTAAATTTAAAGTAACATATTTCCTGATCTTACTCTCTTATAATAAAAACAGCCCGACTAGTGTGGCTTAGTGGACTAAGCGTCAACCCATGGACTGAGAGGTCCCAGTTTGATTCCTGGTCAGGGAACATGCCGGGTTGCAGCGGGTTCAGTCCTCAATGCGGGGCATGCAGGAGGCAGCCAATTGATGTTTCTTTCTCACATCAATGTTTCTATCTTTCTCTCTCTTAAAAAAAAAATCAATAAAAACATATATTAAAAAAAGGATAGTCTCAGAGTACTTTGAAAACATCATTAAAAAATAATAATAATAACCCTGGCTGGTTTGGCTCAGTGGTTAGAGTGTTGTTGGCCTGCGTTCTGGAGAAACCCGGGTTCGGTTCCTGCTAATTAACTGGATTAATTAGCAGATCAGAACTCTTTTTGTTTTCCTATCAGTGTAAAAAAAAAAAGACCTTTCACAACATACTGTCTGAACTATCCCTGTGTTTAGGTACATTGTTTTCTGTCAAAGATTCTTTGTCTTGGGCAAAAGACTGATTTAATTTTTAATTCCACATTTTCTTTTGATAAGAAAGACAGTTTTGCCCTGGCTGGTTTGGCTCAGTGGTTAGAGCGTTGGCCTGCAGTCCAGAGAGACCTGGGTTCGTTTCCCGCTAAGGACATGTACCTCGGTTGCAGTTTGTCCCCGGCCCTGATTGGGTCGTGTAGGTGGTAGCCACTTGATGTGTCTCTTTCATGTCGATGTTTCATTCTCTCTCTCTCTCTCTCTCTCTCTCTCTCTCTCTCTCTCTCTCTCTCTCTCCCCCTCCTCCTCCCACTCTATCTGAACAAAAAATGAAAAAATATCCTCGGGTGAAGATAAAAAAAAAGACAGTCGATGTTTCACTCTCACATTAATGTTTCTCTCTCTCTCTCCCCTCCCCTTTCTCTCTCTAAGCATGTTCTCAAGTGAAGATTTTAAAAAAAAAGTTTTTAGTTCCACCAGCCTCTTTTAGCCTCTGCATGAAAGATAAACTCACTACCTCTATTTTATCTTTTCTAGTATAAATGTCATGAAACTGCTCATTGGTTCATCTAATTTATTTGTGATGCAAGTGGAGATGGATGTGTACACAGCTCTCAAAAAGGTATTGACCAAGTATGATATGTGTAGGACATCACCTCAGCATTGATTATAAAAGTGGGAAACCAGAAACAGCTAATGTCCAGTGATAGGGAATGGTATAAATTTAAGAAAAGTACAAGGAAATATGCAAAAATGTTAAGAAATCTTTGTGTTTAGGAATTTGGTGTCATGATGAGAAATTTTAATTTCGTTCTTCATACTCTTCTATGTTTTTATTCCAGATTTTTTCAACAACAAATATGTTATTTACATAATCAAGAATGTTAAATGTTTTACAGTTGACTCTTGAACAACTCCGGGGTTAAGGACACTGAAACCAACTTCCCCTACTTTGCAGTCAAAAATTTGACACACCATGCCCTGGCCGGTTTGGCTCAGCGGTTAGAGTGTTAGCCTGTGGTCTGGAGAGACCTGGATTCAGTTCCCGCTAAGGGCACATACCTCGGTTGCAGTTTGTCCCCGGCCCTGGTTGGGTCGTGTGGGTGCAGCAGCCGCTCGATGTGTCCCTTTCACATCTATGTTTCTCTCTCTCTCTCTGTCTCTCTCTCTCTCTCTCTCTCTCTCCTTCCTACTCTATCTGAACAAAAAATGGAAAACATGTCCTCAGATGAGGATGAAAAAAAAAATTTGACACACCAGCCCTGGCCAGTTTGGCTCAGTGGTTAGAGCATCGGCCTGTGGTCCAGAGAGACCTGGGTTCGGTTCCCGCTGAGGGCACATACCTTGGTTGCGGTTTGTCCCCAGCCCTGGTTGGGTTGTGTGGGTGGCAGCCACTCAATGTATCCCTTTCACGTCAATGTCTCTCTCTCTCTCTCTCTCTCTCTTCCTCTCTCTCCCTCCTACTCTATCTGAACAAAAAAAAAAAAAAGTGGGAAAATGTCCTTGGGTGAAGATTTAAAAAATTGTCTCCCCAGAAATTTAGCTACTCACAATTACTGATGGCTTACTGTTGGCAGAAACCTTACAGATAACATACACGATCGGTTGACATGTATGTTATATGTATTCTGTATTCTTACAATAAAATAAGCTAGAGAAAAGAAAATGTTATGAAGAAAATTTTAAGAAGAGGAAATACATTTACAGTTGTTCAAGAGTCAACTGTATATGGTTTCCAGAAATGTTTTCAAAGTTGAACTTTAGTTGAATTAATAACTATAATGAAATTTTCACACGTGCTTTTTCTAGAAAATGTTGAAAATCTTCTTTTAAAGACCTTATTCGTATTCAGGCATATGTTTCATCCCATCCTTTTCAAAGCTTTCAACATTTTGAATGTAATTTTATTTTCACAACTCTCTGAAGAGACAAATTAGCCATTCCTTTTTTGTAATTTTTTACTTTTAAGATTATTATTATCATTTTTATTATCCTTGTTCTATAGATACTAAGACTTAGAATTCTTACATTTACTAAGTGGCAGACTTGAAGCAGAACCCAGGTATTATGAGTCCCAATCCATTACTTTTCCCACTGCATAATTTTGTCTTTAGCCTTTTGTCCCCAGCTTGGAATCTACATTTAACACAGTTGTGAAATCTGGGAATGAGACACCTTCTAGTTGTGTCATTGTTGTTGTTTGTTTTTATGGTAAGATGAGATTTTTTTACTATTTTCTTCAAGAAAGTTTAGTAACAGGTTATCTACTCATTAAAGGAGTGGTAGCTCATTTCTGTCTGAGCCACTGGTAACATTCATACTTTCCTGTTGTTACTGATGTTACGCCAGTAATGATAAGTGCTTACTGTGTGCCAAGCACTATTCAAAGCATGTTACACATATTACTTTTTTAATGTCCTATGAGGTAGACATATTATCATCCTCATTAAACAAATGAAGAAATTAAGGCCCAGAGAAATTAGGTAATTTGTCCATCTATTAAGTAGTAGGGTCAGGATTTAAAAGTCCATGTTTTTTACTATTCTGCATACTGTCTCAACAGCAATAAGACACTAAGAAACTCCTTTTGCCCTTGTTTAATTTCTTACATTTATAATCTCACATAGTATGTAGTGAAACTGAGTTAATTGATGAGCAGAATAAATTAGTATACGTTTGTTAATGTAACATATATTAAACCGTTACCTTTTTAATAGTATAGCTACAGTGTGTTTGAAACCATAAATACTTTCAAGGATTAGTGTATTCTTTGTCACACACTCACGTAGTTTTTATCATTAGACAACAATTAATGCCATGATTATTAAAGCTTGTAGGTATGTCATGTAATAGTTCTACTTCTTTTCACTGCTTGTAATGAAAATGAAATTTTTTAGATATTATATTTTAAGGTGGAAGCAGTGTGAAAACGTAAACTCATTATATGATGAAATCTTGTCATTTTTTTCTTGCGTACTTTTTTAACCTAGTGGATGTTCCTTCAACTTGTGCCTTCTTGGAATGGATCTTTGAAACAGCTTTTGACTGAAACAGATGTCTGGTTTTCTAAGAGGAAAAAAGGTATACCGGAAATTTTTATTGAGAACTTATTTTTTTAATTGAAATTTATTAAAATCATTATAGACCTAGAAAATTTTAGTGCTGGAGAAGACCTTAGCAATTATCTAATTATTTCCACTGAGAAAATTAAGGCTGGATAAGAAAAATGCCTTACTTAGAAGTAACTGGATTATTATTGCTCGAACCATGTTTTGATCCCTGAAACTATTGTTTTTTGACTTTTTCTTTTGTTTGACCACATTGAATTTCCCTAAAAAATTAAACCCTGTGTATTAGGTAACAGTTATTAATATGGGGGTCCTACGGACAGGCTTCTGTGTGTCACCTCTGAAAGTGGATGCAAAATTTTGTATGTCTGTGTGTGTTACATTTTGGGAGGAAAGAGTTTCTGTACCTTTTATCAGATTCCCAGGGGAGGTTGATCTAAAATTGGTTAAGATAAACTGCTATAAGGTCTTTTTTTTTAAATCTGGATAGAGGTAGAACATGCAATATATTTATTTTTTACTTTACTAAAACATACAGGGAAAAAATTTAATGGCCCTCAGGTATAAGGAAGTAGATAACTCATCATCCTTAGTTCATGATTATTTTCTTAGCTTACTGTCATTTTTGGTCCCTGTATAGCCACCTTTTTTGTTTATTTTTAATGTTATATCAAACCTCCAGAAATTAATCCTCACTTGCTAGGCCATTAATAACTGCAGTCTGCTCATGTGCTTCTTTCCTGATGTGTTTTCCCAACCACTGTCTTGAGTTTTGGGTTTATTATTCCCTTGATTTAAAAAAATTGTTATTGTGTACGTATGGATGTCTTATAGTACATAATATAGTGGTGTGCTAGTAAACTGGCTCTCTGAAAAAACAATTCCTAATTTCTAGCACTTTTTAAATTTTGATTTTACAAATTCCCCAACATGGCTGATTGATTTCAAGCTACCAACATGACATCACTGCATGTGGAGTTGGGAAGAAATGCATACTGTCAGCTCCTGTGAGCCAGTACGAGCCAGCGCCAGCACAACCCTGGACAATATATCATTTTGTTTTAGTTGTTACTGAACTATTTCATATTGTGGATTTGATATTTATTTCCTTAAAACAAAAAATTGAACAGCTCTTTATGTGTTTATTGGCCGTATGTTTTCTCTTCTGTGAAATATCTGTGCAGGTGTTTTCCTGTTTTAATATAGTATTTCTTAATGATTTGTAGGCATTCTTTATATATTCTTGAAATCAATTCTTTGTCATAAATATGTGTTGCACTTATCCTCTAGTTTGTAAGTTATCTTTTTTTTTTACCCTCACCTGAGGACATTCTTCCATTTTTTGTTCAGATAGAGTGGGAGGGAGAGAGAGAGAGAAACATCGACATGAAAGGGACAGTCGAATGGTTGCCACCCGCACGACCCAGCCAGGGCCGGGGACAAACTGTAACCAAGGTACGGGCCCTTAGCAGGAACCGAACCCAGGTCTCTCTGGACCATGGGCCGATGCTCTAACCACTGAGCCAAACCGGCCAGGGCTGTAGGTTATCTTTTTTACTTTCTTAAAGGTGTCTTTTAATGACTAGAATTGTTTTTTTTTAATCCTTACCCGAGGACATTTTTACATTTTTTGTTCAGATAGAGTGGGAGGGAGAGAGAGAGAGAGAGAAACATTGATGTGAAAGGGACATATCAAGTGGTTGCCACCCACACAACCCAGCCAGTGCTGGGAACAAACCGCAACCGAGGTGTACGTGCCTTAGCGGGAACCGAACCCGGGACTCTCTGGTCTGCAGGCTGACGCTCTAACTGCTGAGCCAAACCGGCCAGGGCAAGAGCACTAAATTTTAAAATGAAAAACTTCTAGTCAGCCCTGGCCGGTGCCCTGGTTGGGGTCATGTGGGTGACAGCCAGTGGATGTGTCTCTCTCACATAGACGTTTCTCTCTCTCTCTCTTCCCCCCTCTCTCCCTCCCACTCGATCTGAAGATAAATGCAAAAAAAATATCCTTGGTGAGGATAAAAAGAAAATTTAGTGCTCTTTGTATTTTGTTTAAATAAATTTTGTAGAATTATTTTACATAGTGAGATTTCCTAGCTTAGAGCCAGATAAATTATTTTTCTATCAAGCTCATGAACCAAAAACATCTAAAGGACCATACCAATAAAACCTAACTTGATTTCCTTAAAGAACAAAATGCTAGCCCTGGCTGGTTTGGCTCAGCAGTTAGAGTGTCGGCCTGCGGTCCAGAAAGACCCGGGTTCGGTTCCCGCTGAGGGCATGTACCTCAGTTGCAGTTTGTCCCCAACCCTGGTTGGTCATGCGGGTGGGCCACTCAATGTGTCCCTTTCATGTCGATGTTTCTCTTTCTCTCCTTCTCTCTCCCTCCTGCTCTATCTGAATTAAAAATAAATAAATAAAAGAACAAAATGCTAAACTTATATCTTAAATTATGCCTTAGTGCTACATTATGATAATTAAAGAGGAATCAGATAAATTATAGAGGAGAAATTTTAAACAGAGGGAGAGATTTTAAAAAAAAACTGAAAGAGATAAGGAGGGCCAAGAAGCTAAAAAAACAAAAGGACTCAATAGAAACAGTAGATGTTAGGTAAATGTTGACATAAAACATCCTCATTTGAGTTCTGGGTGGCTTACCTATAGTAGTCCATCAAAAGAGAAATTCTGTAGCCAAAGTGCCAGAAACCAGAATAAGAAACTGTATTTATGAGTCTGTTTGTGTTCTGGTTGTTCATTTATTTTGCGTTTTTGTCTTTGTTTTTTTGTTTGTTTGTTTTGGTTTTTTTTGTACGTGCCCCTAGCTGGAACCAAACCCGGGACTCTCTGGTCTGCAGGCCGATGCTCCAACTGCTGAGCCAAACCGGCCAGGGCTTCTTTGTTTTTTTAAATTTATTTTGTCTGGTATAAGTATTGCTACCCAGCTTTTCTTTGTTTGTTTTCATTTTCATGAAATATCTTTTTTTTTTTTAATCCTCATCCGAGGACATTTTTCCTTTTTTTTTTTTTTCCTCACCCGGAGGATATTTTTCCATTTTTTGTACAGATAGAGTGGGAGGGAGAGAGAGGAAGGGAGAGAGAGAGAGAAACATCGACGTGAAGGAACACATCGAGTGGCTACCACCCACACGACCAACCAGGGCCGGGGACAAACTGCAACCGAAGTACGTGCCCTTAGCGGGAACCGAACCCGGGTCTCTCTGGACCGCAGGTGGACGCTCTAACCGCTGAGCCAAACCGGCCAGGGCTGAAATATCTTTTTTTTTCCTCCCTTTACCTTCAGTCTTTCTGTGTCTTTCAATTTGAAGTGAGTCTCTTGTAGACAGCTTATGTAAGGGTCTTATTTTGTTATCCATTCAGCCTCCATGTCTTTTGATTGAAGCATTTAATCCATTTACATTTAAAGTAATTGTTGATAGATATCTATTTATTGCTATTTTATTATTCATATTTTTTATCTTTTTTCTTCTTCTTAAAGAAGACCTTTTAACATTTCTTGTAATACTGGTTTGGTGATGAATTCCTTTAGTTTTTTCTTGTCTGGGAAGCTCTTTACCTGTACTATGATTCTAAAATGATAGTTTTGCGTATAGAGTAATCTTGGTTGTAGGTTCTGGATTTTCATCACTTTGAATATTTCTTGCCAATCCCTCTGGCCTGTAAAATTTCTGTTGAGAAATCAGCTGATAGTCTTATGAGAGCTCTCTTGTAGATAACTAACTGCTTTTCTCATGCTGCTTTTAAGATTCTCTCTTTGTCTTTAACCTTTTGCGTTTTAATTATGATATTTCTTGATGTAGGCCTCTTTGGGTGCATCTTGTTTGGGACTCTGCACTCCTTAGACTTTTATGTCTATTTTCTTCATCAGGTTAGAGAAGTTTTCCATCATCATTTTTTCATATAGGTTTTCAATTCCTTGCTCTCTCTCTCTCTCTGTTCTTTTCCTGATTCCGTCATGATGTGAATGTGGTATGCTTAAGTTATCCTAGAGGCTCCTCATACTATCCTCAGTTTGGGAGAGGGTCTTTTTTTTTTTCTTTCTGTTCTGATTTGGTGTTTTCTGCTTTGTTATCTTCCAAATCTCTGACTTGATCTGCTTCATCTACTCCAGTGTTGATTCTCTATGATGTATTTTTCATTTCAGTTAGTGTAGTCTTCATTTTTGACTGGTTCTTTTTTATGCTTTCTGTCTCCTTTTTTATGTTTCCTATCTTTTTGTAGAAGTTCTCACTAAGTTCATCTACTCTTCCCCTTGTTCATTGAGCATCCCTATAACCAGTGTTTTGAACTCAGCATCTAGTACATTGCTTGTCTCCATTTTATTTAGTTCTTTTCCTGAAGTTTTGTTCTGTTCTTTCATTTGGGACATGTGTCTTTGTCTTCTCATTTTTCCTGCCTCTCTGTATTGGTTTATATGTATTAGGTAGAGCTGCTACATCTCCTGGACTTGGTAGAGTGGCCTTATGTAGAACTTGTCCAATAGGGTCCAGTGGTGTAGCCTCCCTGATCACCCAAACTGGGCACTCCAGGTCTACCCTCCCATGTGAGCTGTGTACACCCTCCTGTTGTAGTTGAGCCTTGATTGTTGTTGGTACCCCAATCGGAGGGATTTGCCCCCAGGTCAGTTGGCTGTGAGGATTGGCTGTGACCACCATGGAGGGGCTAGCTCTATAAAGCAGGACTTACTTCTGCAGGGTTCTGATACCCACTGAATCTGTCCCTTGAGTGTGTCGCTTGTGGAGGTGGTTGGGTGGTGCTTTGATGTGGTCTGAAGCTGTTCAACAGGTGTACTGGCTCTGGGGCCTCCAGGAAGGTTCAGGCCAAGGTCAGCCACCACCTATGCCCTGCTTGGGGCCACCTAGCATGAGCTACAAAGTGATCTACAGATGGCTGCTACTTGTGCCAGGCGTGGAGTGCCTAGGAGAGGCAAGCTGCAAACCAAGGCTGGCTGCCACTAGTGCCAGGCCTGGGGCCACTTAGCAAGAGCTATGTGGTACACCAAGGCCAGATGCTACTTCTTTGAAAGATTTTAGGAAAGTCCAAAACATGAGCCAAGATAGGCCATTTGTATGGAAAAGACACTGGAAACAGCTTAGATGTGCCTGCAAGTTCAGTATAGTAGGGTCTCCAGGAATCAGCAAGGTGAGGCTAAAAGTATTAGCCAGATTGATGGAGATTCAGATATGGCACCCACCTGCCAGCTCTGTGTGGGGAGTGCCCAAAAAGGAACAATGGCCTCTGCCAGCTTCTGTCTGGTATGAAGGTGTTCCTCCAGCTCTTGCCCCGATGCCAGACAGCTCAGTTTCTCCCTATATGTTTCTGGTTCTTCAGCACTGGAACTCAAAGCAAGTGAGACTGAGTAAGTCCTTGTGCAGGCCCTCTAAGAGGCTAAGTCCAGCAGCCCTCAGTCTCAGCCACAATCCAAGCTGGTTTTTATAGCCAGAAGTTATGGGGACTTCTCTTCCTAGCATTGGACCCCTGGGCTGGGGGGCCTGGTGTGGGACTGGGACCCCTTACTCCTCAGGGAAGACCACTGCATCCAAGATATCCCTCTTGATTTTTACCTGCCACCCACGGGTGTGAGACCAGCCTGTTCCATGTCTCTGCCCCTCCTACCAGTCTCAGTGTGGCTGTTTTTATATCCAGTTGTAGGGCTTCTGTTCGGCTAGATTTCAGGTAGTTTTGAATGATAGTTGTTCTGTAGTTTAGTTGTAATTTTGATGTAATGGTGGGCGGATTCGAGTACTGCATTTACCTGCTCTATCATTTTGACTGGTTAAGCCATATACTTCTTAAACTTGTATTATTTAACAATAAATACTATCCATGTGTCGCAAATCCATGACTACACTGTCTTTGTATTTTGTATTTGAATAGAGAATTAAATTAACTAGTGTTGCCCTGGCCGGTTTGGCTCAGTGTTTAGAACATCGGCGTGTGGTCCAGAGAGACCCAGGTTCAGTTCCTGCTAAGGGCACGTACCTCGGTTGCCATTTGTCCCCGGCCCCGGTTGGGGTTGTGTGGGAGGCAGCCACTCAGTGTATTCCTTTCACATCGATGTTTCTCCCTCTCTCTGCCTCCCACTCTATCTAAACAAAAATGGAAAAATGTCCTCGGGTGAGGATAAAAAAAAAAAAATTAACTAGTGTTCATCGCATGTAGCTAAAGCATAAGTTAGAAGAGTCCTAAGAGACATTCCATGACCTGTGTATCTTTTGAAGACCCTTAAGTGAGGCATTTAGACTCTATAATTCCACTGGAATTTTCAGTGCCTTGGAGAGGGTGTCCTGAAGAGATACCATAATCCTAACTATCATTCTCAAGCATTCCTTTCCCACCTTGCTGCACTGTAAGCTCCAAACCCCAGAATGGTGTATAACTGAATTATACCGAGGTTCTACTTGGGACCAAAGTTAATTTCCTGGGGCTTTTTTCTGTAAAAATTTGTTTTCCTTTATTGATTTTAGAGAGAGGAAGTGAGAGGGAGAGAGAGAGAGAGAAACATTGATGAGAGAGAACATCCATTGGCCGCCTCCTGCATGCCCCCCACCGAGGATCAGGCCCACAACCTGGGCATGTGTCCAGACCAGGAATTGAACTGGCGACCTCTTGGTGCATGGGTTGATGTTCAACCACTGAACCATACCTGCTGGACCTTGAGGCTTTTTTCTAAATCTCCCCAAGGTTTTATCCATATACTTGAGGTTTATAAAATCCTTGAAAACTTCGAAATTAGCGTATTTGTATTCTGATAGACGTGTGTGTTTGTGTGTCCCCGAACCCATGCAAACATTTAATTAAAAAGTGAATTAGTAGATTTGAAAAGAATGGCTAATTTAATTTAAAATGGTGGTTTTTTTTATAGATTTTGAAGGTATGACCTTCCTTGAAACTGAGCAAGGAAAACCATTTGTGTCAGTATTCAGACATTTAAGGTTACAGTATATTATCAGTGATTTGGCCTCTGCAAGAATTATTGAACAAGATTGTCTAATACCTTCAGGTAAGAGAATGTGATGAAATTATAATTTTAAGTAATATATTTCTGATTATAATAATAATATATGTCATAGAAAAGAATACTTAATAGAAATTATCCTTAATCCCAGGAAGGTACACATTTTTATACCAAAGCTGAATCATACCATGTAGGCAATTTTCTGTATTCACATTATATATTTTTCTATAACATTGAAAACTCTCCAGAATATTTAAGTGGCTATGTAGTTTTCTGTAATATGGGTATTCTTTAATTTGATTAACTAGTACTGTATTTTGGACTAGACTTTTAAAAATGGCCTTCATAGTATTCTTTAAAGGTTATAACTTTTTTTCCTATTAATACTCTATAAATTTGCTTATTTTCTTTTTTCCTTATTCTAATCTTAAACCTCATGTCAAAACAAATGTAATATTTTTGCTAATTATAATTTAAATTTTCTGAAACAATTACTGATTTAATATTCTAAGTTAAATCTCTAGTGCTTGTATAAGATTCAGTTTAGTACTATATATGCATATAAGAAGTATAATATAGGACTGGCTTTAGCTTAGCAGTTCCTTCAAGTTGAGCTCTCAGCTTGCTAACTACTCTTGCTCTGCAAGGGTGGTTCGAGACCCACAGGTGCTCTCCAGCCCTTTAAAAAAAAAGAAGAAGAAGTATAAAGTAGAATTTCTGTTTGAAGATTTATTTGTAAACATTAGTAATAGGTTGGTCTGAAAAGTTGTAATTATCTGATGCCTCAGTTTTTAATATAGCTGTGTGTTTATAGATTTAAATTGTTCTTATAATCTCTATACATATTTAGAAAGGTATTCAATGAAAAGCAAACCTGGAGTAACATTTCTGATATATTTGAAAGTAATGCATTTTACAAAATCACTCTAACAGGTTTATAGACACTTTCTATTAATTTAATTTATTATTTTATCCTCACCTGAGGATATTTTTGCATTTATCTTCAGCTAGAATGGGGGGTGGGGAGAGTAATATCCATGTGAGAGAGACACATCAACTGATTGCCACTTACACGACCTCAACCGGGGCTGGGGACAAACTACAACCAAGGTACGTGCCCTTAGCAGGAACTGAACCCAGGACTCTCTGGTCTGAGAGCCGGTGCTCTATTCGCCGAGCCAAACCGGCCAGGGCTCTATTAATTTTATATGAATCATTTTTATAATATTAATTTTAGAGAGCCAAGATGAGAAGGTTTTCATGGCTGTGGGGGGTTTTAGACACAGTTTCTCTGAAGTTATATTCTCTGTAGTATAGCAACTCTATAGTAGTTTTAGTGTGTGTGATATACGAGGCCCTAGCAATGGTGTAATAGTGGATGGCAAGGCTAATTACACTCTAATCTTACTTTTTAAAAAATATATATTCAGAGAGAGAGGAAGGGAGACAGGGTGACAAGGGGGTGGGGGAGAGAGATATTGGTGTGAGAGCTAAACATCCATTGGCTGCCTTCTGCACACCCCCTACCAGAGATCAAGCCAGCAACCCAGTCATGTGCTCTGACCAGGAATCGAACCAGCAACCTTTCGGTGCATGGGATGACACCCAACCTACTGAGCCATACCAGCCAGGGCTAATTGTATTTCTTTTTAAGGCTCTTTAGAAATGAATTTTGAAAAAGGTTAAAAAAAGAAAGTCTATTTTAAAGTAATTTAATTTAAGTGTGTCTTTGATGCAAGTAGATAAGCTTTATGTTTTTGGAATGCAAGGTGGTAGATATTAGTATTTTTAGTCTGAAACATTATATTCAGTGTAAAATTGAAAACAATTTAGATCCCATATTTCTGACTAGATTTTGCCATTTTTTCTGACTTAAAATTATAGTGGGGCTTTTTTTTTATTTTAGTATATGCCCATTTTACAGTTATAAAAGGATAAATAGGTTTTCCTATATGCCAATAAAAATTATAGTTTCAAAAGCAGAATATAAATTAAAATGATATCCTGTGCTGTTTGTGAGAGAGTAAAAAGTGGCCACATAATTTAAATTATCTAGACAGTGTGTGCTCTCGGTAGCAGTATATCCTAAAATTTTTGATTACTTAGCTAAAATTTATTGATCATTTTTCAGAAATAGTGCCAAATACATGTTAACATTATTCAAAGTTTTGCATTCTGGGGAGTTTTACTACATCCATCTTGACCATCTTTAGGACAAAAATTTTAGAAATATCTTTAATTCCAAGTTAAATCATGATTTTGTATAGAAACAGTCTATTTTAGGATTGAACTATGTTGAGCACAATTGAACTCCATGATTTTGAGGAACTAGATCTATCTTAGGTCAGATTATTAAATCTGTTTATTCCATACTTTCCTGTCATACTTCCCTCTTTCTTCATATCTCTAACTTATCTTGTTATCATTCCTCCCAAACATTTCTGTTATGTGCTCTGGAACTAGGGTCAACAAACTCCAATATCTCTTTCTTCCATTTATTTAGGTCTCCCAGAGGATACTATTTTCTTTCTATAGAGGACTTTCTGTCAGTTAAGACACCCTGCCCCAGTATAGGGGTAGGAGTTCAGATAGTCCTAGCCCCTCAATTATTTCCAAAAATTTCCAAATAATTTCCAAAAACGATTGCATATGATCCAAGTAACCCTCCATCCTTTCTTTCTTGGCTTCTCCACATTCATTTAAGACTTGGACACAGTCACACAATGTGTTTATATGGTCATTCCATTTAATATCCTAGGTTCCTTATTGTTTTTTTACCTCAATTCCAGTAACATTTATATTTTCTAAACATTAGGCACTCACCACCCATGGAAACACCATGCATCTAGTAACCCTGAGTTTCTTATCATCAGAAATCTGGTAGTTTTCAGGCTATATATAATCTTCTAGCATGTTCATAGCCTCATTCCCTTTACACCGTTATTTGATTCCCAATCCATTTTAAGCCCTTCATTTTCTAACAGTCTTCAGACCTCTCCTGCTGTTTTTAGCCCTGGATTTCATGAGCCTCTTTCTCTCACAATTATCTTTAACTCTTTGTCCTTTATTTGGCAATTCCTAAAACTAAATTAAACCTTCTTGGTTCCTATACCCTCTGTTCTGTGCTGAGTACTGTAGCAGAACAGTCTACAACTTTTGTATGGGTGCCACTGCAGAGTCACATTTCAACACTAAGCTTGGACCTCAGGACTCCTTATACTACTTTTACGTAATTGGTCAGTCCTCTTTTTCATTCACTTTAACACATGTCAAACCTCTGACACTGTTCAAGCCTCCAATCCACTCACCTCACTGTCAGCATGGAAACTCTCCTTCTGCTTTTTATATAAATTTGAGGTACTCAGATAATAATTTGTTCAAATTCTTAGTTTTCTCACCTGTCTGTTCTTCCCCTCCTGTCCCAGAAGTTGAGGTGCTCCTTCCCTGTTCAGGCCAGCCTTCTATAATCCTGTCTAATTGTTTGTTCTGGAATTTTGCCTTATCACTTAATCTGTATCTTAAACCTTTTTTCCACCTATTTTCCCTCAGGCTATAAAGTATCGCTTTTATTAAAAAGCAGAACAAGCCCTGGTTGGTTTGGCTCAGCGGACCAAAGAATTGTGGGTTCGATTCTGGTCAAGGGCACGTACCTTGGTTGTGGTTCATCCCCGGCCATGGTCGGGGTCCTGCAATTGATGTGTCTCTCTCACATTGGTATTTCTCTCTCTTGCTCCCTTTCCCCCTCCCACTCTATCTAAAGAAGTTTGAAAAAATACCTTCGGGTGAGGATTTTTTTTAAAAAAGGCAGAACAAAATACCCTCTCTTCATTCCAGGTCCCCCACTATAGCAACTGTTCTTTCCCTTCTAAGCTACTTTCTTCAGATGCTATCTCTGTCTCCCTGTCTTTCAGTCACATCTCAACTCACTAAATCTGTCTTTTGCCCTCAGTATTTCATTATTTCATTTAACTAGCAAAAGTTAAGATTGTCCGTTTTGTAAAATCTAGTGGTTTCATTAACTTCTTGTTTTAACTTCTATTATATAACATAACCTTTGAAATTTATCAAGGCAATTGTCCCCATTTTTTAGATGAAGAAAAGTATAACTAACTATCCTGTCATACAGCTAATGAGAAGCAGAGCTCAAATGCAGAAGAACAAGTCTTGTTCTAAAGCCCATTTTGTTTTCACTACATCTCATTGGTTATCTAAAAGAATTCTATTTATTCTCTTCAAGTATATACAGTTGTAGAAACTTGACCAATGGTGATTTGGTAACAGAATCATCATTCTTTTGAGTGTGCTTATTACTTGTTTGGCTTTTGATAACAAAATATATTTTCCCTTATTTTGTGGACAAGAAAACGGATATTCTGGGAACTTTTTATATCAGAAATTAGTTACAGGAATGATGGGGAAATCTAATGCTTACTATTTTTGTGAATTAAAGAGATCATTGTTAAAGCATTATAAGTTTTTAAAAAAAATAATAGCTTTGAATTACTCAGGATAGTAAATTTGTCATCTTTTGGAACTAGATTTTTAGGTTATATACAAGAGTGCTTTTGAGCCATACTTCCCCATAATTTGTACTCATACTAAGAGTTCAACTTTTAGGCTGATTTTTGCTATAAGCTTTAATGGTTATAAGTAGATTTTTGTCTGTGTATATACTTAAAATACTATTTTTTTATTTTGTTTTGTTTTTCTTTTTAAATTTTTATTAATTTTTAGAGAGAGAGAGAGAGGAAAGGAGAAGGAGAGAGAGAGATTGATCGGCTACCTCCTGCACACATTCTACTGGGGATCAAACTGGACATGTACCCTGACCAGGAATTGAACTGGCAACCCTTCAGGGCACAGGACAGTACCCAACCAAGACACACCGGCCGGGGCCACTTTTTTTTTTTTTTTCACTGAAAAAATAAAATGCTGGGCAAGTTAGGAATGTATTTTTTTGTTTCTTAGTTTATAAATCTAAGACATTAGGTTTTCAAAAAGTATGTTTTTAGAGGCCCTCTTCCCAATATTGTTTAAGGCATAAGAAATAAAACATTCTGCCCTGGCCAGTTTGGCTCAGTGGTTAGAGCGTCGGCCTGTGGTCCGGAGAGACCCGGGTTCGGTTCCCGCTAAGGGCATGTACCTCGGTTGCAGTTTGTCCCTGGCCCTGGTTGGTCGTGCGGGTGGCAGCCACTCGATGTGTCCCTTCACGTCGATGTTTCTCTCTCTCTCTCTCTCCTTCCTCTTTCTCCCTCCCACTCTATCTGTACAAAAAATGGAAAAATATCCTCGGGTGAGGATTAAAAAAAAAAAAAGAAAGAAATAAAACATTCTGACTTATTTATTCTATTAGAAAAATACTCTGTTCACATTAAAAACTGCTATAAACTAGGTCTGCAGCTGCTGGTCCATAGCACTGTCAAATAACACCTTGATGTGTTCATTTTGAGTTTTTGTTTTGGACTTTGGTTTGGTAAAGTTTAAAAGAAGTGCTTAGACTTGTTTATACTGAGTAGAAGTTTCTTAATGGCACTTTTTCATAACCTTTCCACTGAACACTTACTGTCTTCCAAGAAGGATTCTGGCAAGTTCTGTCTAGTATATCTACCTTTTGGAGATATGACTGCAAATAATCATATTAAACACTTCATCTAGAAACAGGTTTTACGCCCGGCCGGTTTGGCTCAGTGTTTGAGCATCGACCCATGCACCAAGAAGTCACCGGTTCGATTCCCAGTCAAGGCACATGCCCAGGTTGTGGGCCTGCAGGAGGCGGCCAATGGATGTTTTCTCTTATTGATGTTTCTACTCTCTCTCCTTCTCCCTTCTCTCTCTAAAAATCAATAAAGAAAGAAATTTTTTTTTTTAAGTTTTACTTATTTTCACCTCATGTGTTTCAAACTCATTTTAGCAGGGATTCTTGTTTTTTTTCTATGTATTAGCTGTCAACATTACATTTGATTTAGTGTTCTGTCGACTTATTTTTGGACTGCTGCTACTGGATGAAACAGCAGTGACTAGAAAGGTTTCTAGTACGACTTTTTGCTTTTTTAGATTAAGGCAAGAAAGGAGTGATAAAAATATGTACCCATTTTTTTTAACTTGTTAAAATGCTTTTGGTTTTAAAGAAGATTATTTAAAGGTTGTTAGAACTTAAATTTTAAAACATTTTCATGGGATATATCTTACATGATATTCGAGAATATATATTTGTAACCCTTTAATTCCAATTTTATAAGTGAATCACGAAAAGCCATATTCTGTCTCTAGATCAATGAATTTCAGACTGTAAACATAATCATTAGTGAGGTGAGATCATTTTTATGGGAAAGGATCAGCTTTAAAAAAAATAAATAGAAGAAGAAAAATTTCAAATCTGAATGCATTGCAAATAAGATACATAATATGTGTGTATGTGTACTGAGTCACATAAACTTTACTGCCAAGTCTTTACCTACTGAAGACAAATTGTCTGTGGCCTGGATATTTAGCAGTTATTCCTTATAATAGCAAGAATATTATTTTGGGGAAAGAAACATTCAAGAGTTTTGAGGAAAGGTACCAATAAATCAATGTAAGTCATCTGGATACCTTTATTAGAGACTTATGAAGTGAAAATCCAGATTTTAGTCCCACTAGGGTTTCACCATTCCTTTATTTTAGATAGAGATTATGAACTTAAAAAATAGAAAAACTGCCATGGCCAGGTAGCTCAGTTGGTTAGAACATCATCCTGATATGCCAAGGTTATGGGTTCAAAGCCCCAGTCAAGGCACATACAAAAAACAACCAATGAATGCATAAATAAGTGGAACAACAAATCAGTGTTGTTTTTTTCTCTCTCCACTTCTTCCCTCTCTAAAATCCATAAATCAAAAATTTAAAAGAAAAAGTCAAGCCCAGCTGGTGTGGCTCAGTGGCTGAGCATCGACCCATGCACCAGGAGGTCGCCAGTTTGATTCTCAGTCAGGGCACATGTCCAGGTTGTGAGCCTGGTCCCCAGTGGGGGACATGCAGGAGGCGGCCAGTCGATGTTCTCTCTCACTGATGTTTCTTTCTCTCTCTCCCTCTCACTTCCTCTCGCTCTAAAATCAATAAAGAAAAAAAATTTTTTAAGAAAAAGAAAAAGTCAAAAATTTACATCATAAAAGAAAGAAAAACTATCCTTTTGGGTTGGGAATAAATAAAAGTAGCAAAAAATAAATATGGTACTAAAGCCAATTCTATTTATATTTTTAATAGATCTATGGTCTTATCTAAAATAATTAAAATTTTAGCTTACACAGACTTGGTGGGGAAAATTATGCTTATTATTAAAGGAAAATATCTATAATTTTTGTTCCACTTAGAATAATTTAAATTAGAACATTTTATTTTTAATAATATTTATCTAGCCCTGGCCGGTTTGGCTCAGTGGTAGAGTGTCAGTCTACCAAAGAGTCTCAGGTTCAATTCCAGTCAAGGGCATGTACCTTGGTTGCAGTTTGGTCCTTGGCCCTGGTCAGGTAATGCGGGAGGCAACCAATTGACGTGTCTCTCTCACGTCAGTGTTTCTCTCTTGCTCCCACTCTATCTGAAGATAAAAATAGAAAAAAGTATCCTTGAGTGAGGATTTTTTAAAAATAATAATATTTATCTAAGTTTAATATGTCAAAATCATGAATCAGATGCATGATTCATCTGATAATTTAAAGATGGTTTCTTTCTCATTAATTAGTTATTTTTGGATAATAAGGGAGTAATCCATTAGTTTTCTATTAAAAATTTTGTAAAAACTGAAAATATTGCTTTAGGGTATATTTCTTACAAATGAAAATTATTATGAGTTATTAAATGTAAGAATATATTTTAACTAAAGATTTAAATTCTAATTTTAATGTATATAATCTAAGTAGAATCTATCCTAAGACAAAGCAAAATGGTACTTACCATTCTAAAAATTATTAAGCCATATTGTTATAGCATATTTATAAAATATCAACTACCAGCTTTATTTATTGCTATTCGAAACTTGAATTTAGAAATAGGAACAGTCCCCGGCCCTGGTTGGTCGTGCGGGTGGCAGCCACTCGATGTGTCCCTTCACGTCGATGTTTCTCTCTCTCTCTCCCTTCCTCTCTTTCCCTCCCAGTCTATCTGTACAAAAAATGGAAAAATATCCTCGGGTGAGGATAAAAAAAAAAAAAAAAAGAAATAGAAACAATTTTATCAACTTAAAAATTTTAAATCCTTTATATTCCATGTTTTTTCTTATTCTTATTACTATATATTTATTTTTACATTTTAGGATGGCTGTCTTCTGTGTATAAACAGCAGTGGCTTGCTATGCTCCGGGCAGAACAAGACAATGAGGTGGGGTAAGTATGTTACATCATATCATTGCTCATTAGGGGAAAAAAAACTTGGGCTATACATTTTTAAGTGCATTCATCATATTGAAAAATCAGTAACAATACTGAAATCAAGAGCTATTAAGTAGAGCAAAGATCATGTAATCAGTTTTATTTCTAATATTTCTATAACATCTATATTTATTTTTCTGGTCAATTAGTATAATGGAATGTTTGAATTTTCATTTGCTATATTAATGAAATTGAGTAATTCAAATCCTTTTCTTACCTAGTGTTATATTATAATTTTCCTTCAACATATTGAAATATTACTTGGAATAATGCTTTCATAAAGCATAATTTCATATTATGTATATGTAAAATCAGTTTTCTTATTTGTGGTAGTATTGTCAAATTCTGATTAATAGGTTGTTGTTTTTTTAAGACTTTTGAATCTATAATTAATATTATCTGGTTACAGAGAGCCTTACCCAATAGTATGTGACCCCCTGCAAAATATTTAAGGGAAAGAAAATTATCTCTTCTTTCAATTCATAGTACTTTGCAGTTTACAGAAGTACTTCCACGTTTATTATTTGATCTTTATACTAGTTCCTTGGTATGGGCAAAGTGAAGAGACAAACCATGTGTGAGTATATTTAAGAGGCCTAAAGAAGATTAATATTTTTGCCTTAATCCCTTTTAACCATTTTTGTTTTATCCTCACCCAAGGACATTTTTGCATTTATCTTCAGATAGAGCAGGAAGGAGAGAGGGAGGAAGAGAGCAAGAGAAAAAAACATCAATGTGAGAGAGACACATCAACTGGCTGCCGTCCACACAACCCCAACCCGGGTTGGGGATAGACTGCAACCGAGGTACATGCCCTTAGCTGGAACCAAACCCAGGACTCTCTGGTCCATGGGCCGACGCTCTAACCACTGAGCAAACCAGCCAGGGCCCTTTTAACCTTTTTTTTTTTTTTATCCTCACCCGAGGACATTTTTTTCCATTTTTTGTTCACATAGAATGGGAGGGAGAGAGAGAGAGAAACATCAATGTGAAAGGGACACATCGAGTGGCTGCCACCCGCATAATCAACCAGTGCCAGGGACAAACTGCAACCGAGGTATGTGCCCCTAGCAAGAACCAAACCGGGTTTCTCTGGATTGCAGGCCAATGCTCTAACCGCTGAGCCAAACCGGCCAGGGCTTAACCTTTTTTTTGAAGGTTGGACACTTAACAGTAGTGCATTTATTTCTCTGTCCTGTCGCAGCTCAGAAGAAGCTGTTCATTCATTGATGAGTAGTAGGTTCCCAAACACCTTCAAGCAGAAGCATAGCATAGCAGGCATATTTCTTTCTGGAAGAGTTTATGATCTTCCCAGCCATGCCATCTGGGGAGGGATAAGGCTTGGTGAGGGTTCAGCTGGTAGGAGAACAATGACTGGAACAGGTTGAAGACCTGTTTGGCCTCCGGACAAGGGCTGGAGGGGCAGCTTTCTCCTGGACAGACGTGCTGGTGGAGGTCGTTTTTCCTTTGGTGAGCCCTTCCTCCACAGGGCAGGGAGACAGCTCCTTAACCATTTTTAAAAACGATTTTTTAGCCCAGTTCATGTGGCTTGGTGGTTGAGCATCGATCCATGCACCAAGAGGTCACCGGATCAATTCCCAGTAAGGGCACATGCCGAGGTTGTGGGCCAAATCCCCACTGAGAAGCATGCAGGGGTTGGCCAATCAATGTTCTCTCTCATCAATGTTTCTATCTCTTTCTCTCCCTCCCACTCTCTAAAATCAGTAAAGAAAACAAAAATTTTTTAAAGATTTTTTCATTGATTTCTAGAGAGAGAGGGAGGAAGGGAGGGAGGGAGGGAGGGAGGGGGAGGAAGAGAAAGAGAGAAACATCAATGTGAGGGCGAGACATCGATCTGCTGCCTCCTGCATGCCCCCTACCAGGGATTGAGCCCTGACCTGGAATCCAACCAACAACCTTTCAGTACACGGGTCGACTAACTGAGCCACACTGGCCAGGGCTAACCCAATTTTATATACCAAAGAGCTTCCTAAAATAATGGCCTAGTTATGTTTATAGCCAAACGATGAGTGTATGAAAGTGTTATATGAATTCATGATAATAATTTTGAGATTATCCAAAGTTCTTAGTTCTTCTTTAATTTATATCCCATCTTTTCCCAAATATATTCACAGCATACTTATCTTATACAAACATAGTAAGATTATTGAAACAGAAATAATAAATCAAAAACTAAAAAATGAAAGTTAATTCTTTTTTTTTATCCTCACCCGAGGATATTTTTCCATTTTTTGTTCAGATAGAGTGAGAGGGAGAGACAGAGAGAGAGAGAGAGAAACATCAACGTGAAAGGGACACACCAAGTGGCTGCCATCCACACAACCCAACCAGGGCCAGGGACAAACTGCAACCAAGGTACATGCCCTTAGCGGGAACCGAACTGGGTCTCTCTGGACTGCAGGCCAACGCTCTGACCACTGAGCAAACTGGCCGGAGCAAAAGTTAATTCAGATTTGAAGCATTTTCTAATGGATGAAATACCTCATAAATCATTCTACTTCTTTTGTGTATTCAGTTTTTAAATGTTAGATGTTCTTTTGTAAAGGTTTTTCTCATCTATATCTTTATTGAGTTTAGTACAGAGTTTCACCTAAAAGACTGAGTTATAATAGTGTTTTCTTGCCCTCAGAAGTATATAATTAATTATATTGCCCCTAACGAAGCACTCTATCTACATATATTGAACATCTGCTCACTCCTGCAGGGCTATTAAAGTGAGGATTAAATTTAATCAATGCTTTTTTATTTTTTTGTTAATCCTCACCTGAGGATATTTTTTCTATTGATTTTTTAGAGAGAGTGGAAGAGGAGGAGAGAGACAAACATGGATATGAAAGACACCCATTGATTGGTTGCCTCCTCCATGTGCCTGACTGGGGCCAGGGGTCAAACCTGCTACCCAGGTATATGCCCTTGACCGGGAATCAAACCCATGACCCTTCAGTGTGAGGGCCGATGCTCTAACCACTGAGCACACTAGCCAGGGCTAGTGCATTTTTATTTATACCACAACACATTTGTTTTTTAAATCTAATAGCAAGTTTCTCTGTTTTTTTAACTCACAATTCTTTTTCAATTATTAGTTGCTTATTTCCCATGAGATTTTATGATTTATATATATTTCTAGGCCTCAAGAAATCAATAAAGAAGAACTAGAGGGAAATAGCATGAGGTGTGGTAGAAAGCTTGCCAAAGATGGTGAAGTAAGTATGAGTTGTGACTCTTAATAATTCTCATACAAATTGCACTACTATTAGTGTAAAATATACTTTCAATTACTATCATAACACCTTAGAAGAGCTTTTTTGATACAGTTTCTGCAGCATGATCTCCTGAATAAGAAGGTACAAACTCACTGGTGATTGATTATTCGGCCTAGCATCAGTGTTGAACTTTCTGGGTCCAGACAAAAGATATGAGAAGAAGATCCCTCAGCAATATAGAAATTAAGATAAGCAATTATATGGGAGCTATTACATAGTCTTAAAAGTGATTCTATTTTACAGTTACTCTGAATCAAGCACATTAAACCCTTTAATTGCTACCCACATTAAGAATTACATTTTTCATCATATGATCTCACTTATTTCTGGAATATGATGAACATAACAGTCTGAGGAACCGGGATAGTCCCACAGACGTGGAGTGGGGTACAGACAACAATCCCCAGAGGAGGGGGGCAGGGGAGATAAAACACAGAACTTATATGTATGTATGCATGAACAATGGGCATGGGCAACAAAGCTGGGGACAGGGCAGGGAGGAAGAGGAGGGGGTATTAGTGGGGGGAAAAGGAGAAACATCTGTAACAAAAATTAATTAATTAAAAAATAAAAACATTGTAAAGTGAAAAAAAATTACATTTTTTATTACCACCCAATATAAAATGTATATAAGTGAAACAAAAGCATTATGAATCAATACTGCTGCTGTGTCCAAAGATCCTATTTTCTATTTAATTTCTTTTGAAAGCTGATTGTGACTCATTAAATTGATTTTCCAATCCACTGATGGGACATGAACTACATTTTTAAAAACTCCACCCCCTTCAGAATCTCCATTTCAACTATATCATTTTTTGACTTGACCTCTTATCTTTCTAGCACTTCCCTCTAGTACCTGGCTCCAGCATTTTTTTTTAACTCCTTTGGGATGTACAATATATTGTTTTTACTACCTTTCCCCATCACCTTCTCACCACATTCCTACTTTTTTTTTTTTTTATCCTCACCCGAGGATATTTTTCCATTTTTTGTACAGATAGAATGGGAGGGAGAGAAAGGAAGGGAGAGAGAGAGAGAAACATCAACGTGAAGGGACACATCGAGTGGCTGCCACCCGCACGACCCTGGGGCCGGGGACAAACTGCAACCGAAGTACGTGCCCTTAGCGGGAACCGAACCCGGGTCTCTCCGGACCGCAGGCTGACGCTCTAACCGCTGAGCCAGACTGGCCAGGGCTTGCTTTTTTTTTTTTTTTAGTTCTCACCCAAGGATATTTTTCCACTGATTTTCAGATAGAGTAGTAGGGAGTGGGGGAGAGAGAGAGAGAGAGAGAAGCGTCAATACAAGACAGATACACTGACTATTTGCCTCCCACACGACCCCAACTAGGGCCAGGGATTGAACCAAGGTACATGCCCTTGACCAGAATCAAATCCATGACTCTCTGGTCTGTGGTATGATGCTCTAATCACTGAGCAACTGGCCAGGGCTCTACTTCTTTCTTTACTTGACTTACATTCTATGTTCCATCTTAAAATTGGTCCCTTGGCTTGTTCTCTTAATGTCCCTCTGTCAAACTCACCTGGCTAAACCCCAATTCTTGTTAAATCCCAACTTTCCATAAACTCATGCCTGCTTCCAAACAGGTGAATGTGACTAAAGGAAAACACTATACCCCAGCAGGTGTTTGTAACTGTAAATTTCAAGCAGGTTTTGGGTGTTGCATGGTGATCTTCTAAATGTCCATAGTGAATGTATCCTCCCACTCTTTGAGTAACTCTCATACCTTCTCAAAAGAGCAGTGCAACTGCCCTCATTCTTACTGATGACCTTGCTTTCTTTCTTCATTTGGAAAATAAAATCAAGAGGAAGAGCCCTGGCCGGTTTGGTTCAGCGGTTAGAGCGTCGGCCTGCGGTCCTGAGAGACCCGGGTTCAGTTCCCGCTAAGGGTGCATACCTCGGTTGCAGATTGTCCCCGGCCCTGGTCGGTTGTGCGGGTGGCAGCCACTCGATGTGTTCCTTTCACATCGATGTTTCTCTCTCTCTCTCTGTTCCTCTCTCTCCCTCCCACTCTACCTGAACAAAAAATGGAAAAATGTTCTCGGGTGAGGATAAAAAAAAAAAAAAGAGGAAGAGAGTCTGTACATCCTCCTACCAATAAATCTACCACTCTAGCTGCATCTGTAACCATGTGCCGTGCTTTTTCTCTTAATAGAATAGATGAACTATCTGCTGCTATCCTTGTCCATCACTTCCCTCTCCTGCGTCATCAGTTTTTCTCTTCTACTGATCATTCTCGCTTAGCATATAATGTGCTGCAGATCACCCATCTTAAACCATATCCTGACCTCACGTTCCCCTCTAGTTACCACTCCATTTCACTGTACCCCTTTGAAGCAAAACTCTTTGAAAAAAAGTTGACTGTGTTTATTGTCTATACTTCCTGTTTTCTGATACTCTCTTGAATCCACTCTAATTCATTTACTCCAGTAAACTCCAGTGATGCTACTGTGATATTGTTAGTAGTGATTTCCACATTGCCAAATCAGGTAGGTAGTTTTTAGTCTTCAGAAAGCTCTTGGCATTATGACACATCTGTTTACTCCTTCTTGAAGATATTCTCCATTTGATTTCCAGGACTGCATACTTGGCTGATTTTCTTCCTACTTCATTGTCTACTCCTTTTGAGTATTTGCTAGATCTTTATCCTCTTTCTCACCAAATATTGGTGTGACTAAAGGCTCAATATTTGCATTTCTTCCTTATCTGTGCTCACCCCTAAGTGATCTCACCTTGTCCCATGACTTTGATGATTTCTAACTCCAGATTCATATGTCCAGCTACTCACTTGACATCTTTTTTAGAATCCTAATAGCATCTAAAATATCCAAAGAGCCCTGGCCGGTTTGGTTCAGCGGTTAGAGCGTCGGCCTGCGGTCCTGAGAGACCCGGGTTTGGTTCCCGCTAAGGGCGCATACCTTGGTTGCAGTTTGTCCCTGGCCCTGGTCGGTTGTGCGGGTGGCAGCCATTCGATGTGTTCCTTTCACGTCGATGTTTCTCTCTCTCTCTCTCTCTGTTCCTCTCTCTCCCTCCCACTCTACCTGAACAAAAAATGGAAAAATGTCCTCGGGTGAGGATAAAAAAATAAAATAAAATAAAATAAAATATTCAAAGAGTCCCAAGCTGAACTCTTTGATTTTCATTCCCAAACTTTCTCCTTCCTAAATATTCTCCAACCCATCAATGGCTCCTCTATTGCACAAGCTCCAAACTTTAAATTCTTCTTTCTTTCATACCACATCTGCTATCCAAAAGAAATTCCTCCAGGCTCTACCTTCAAAATATATTCCTCACATGTATACACCACTACCACCCCCAAGTCCTAGCTACCATTATCTCTTGCCTGGGCTGTTGTGGTAGCCTCATAACTGTTCTCCTTGTTTTTACTCTTGTTCTTCTACATTCTATTTTTCATACAACAGCCAAAGTCATCTTTATAAAGTACAAGTTGGATCATGTCACTTCCTTCCCTAAAACTTTCCATTAGCCTTATACCACACTTAGAAGAAATCCAAACTTTTCCTTATTGAGGTCTACTAGGCCCTACATTTTCTGGCCCAATTGACTCTCTGAATGTATCTCTAGCTTTTGTCCCCCTCAGTTACTGTCCTAGCCACATAACCATTCTTGGTATTTCTGAGATATGCCAAGCATGTTTTTTCCCTCTAGAGCTTTGTACTTGCTGTTCTCTTTAAGTCACTCATTGCCCAGATAGCCACCTAGTCTACTTTTTAGTTAACACATGACTCCACTCATCTAGTATCTTTCCCTGACCACCTGTCTGAACAAGCAGGCTCTCCAACTGCAAGCCCCCCTCCTCTACCATGTTCTCTTTCCTGACATTCTGTTCAGTTTCCTTTTTCTCCATTCCATTTCAGGTGTATTATTAATCTACTCCTTCCACAAAACCTATAAACATATTAAAATATACATTCCACTAAGGCAGAAACTTATTTATTGCTATTTCTTCAATGCCTAGAGAAGCACCTGGCACATAATGTATGTGCTCAATAAATATTAGTGAACTATTGAATTAGCATTGTAATTCAGAGTGTTAACCAAACACTTGAAGCCCTAACTTTATTTCACTGTCCCACACCATCTTACTTAGTAGTCACTCACTATTAAACAATAGAATAAACAAACCTGTGACCCTAATGATGGTATTTAAAATTACTCAGTTGTGTATCTGTTGGTTACTTACTTAAGGTATTTTAGAGTATTTTTAAAGCAAGGTGTAGATATCAATGGGTTCTTACTACCTCCATCTAGACTCCTAGTCCCTTAACCTATACCTACTTAGAGTTGCAGTGAAAAGCCATATTACTTTTGATAGAATTACATCCTAGAGATACAATGAAACAGATCATGAAGAGGCAATATTAGGAAAGTACCTTAAGAAACAATGATCATAAAGGCTTCATTTTTGGCTTTGATATATACTATATCTGTATGGTAAACCTTTACATATATATTCACAGATATATTGTGTGTGGAAAGCCTTAAGGGGAAGGCACTGACAGAAAGTATGGACCCGTGAGAGAAAAGTTTGGATTGAGTTAGAGGGGAAAAAGGAACATTTTTTTTTTTTATCCTCACCCGAGGACATCTTTAGATATTTTGTTCAGATAGAGTGGGGGGGAGGGGGGAGAGAGAGAGAAACATCGACGAGAAAGGGACACATCGAGTGGCTGCCGCCCACACTACCCAACCAGGGCTGAGGACAAACTGCAACCGAGGTACATGCTCTTAGCGGGAACCGAACCCAGGTCTCTCCAGAACGCAGGCCAATGCTCTAACTGCTGAGCCAAACCGGCCAAGGCAAAGAGGGACATTATGAACTTCGACTTAGTAGCATAATAAACTGAAGTAAATTTTTCTCTCTTTTATTTCTTAGTACTGCTGGCGGTGGACAGGTTTTAACTTTGGCTTTGACCTTCTTGTAACTTATACCAATCGCTACATCATTTTCAAACGCAATACACTGAATCAGCCGTGTAGTGGATCTGTCAGTTTACAACCTCGAAGGAGCATAGCATTTAGGTAAGTTGAGATTTTCCTACCCTATTCCAACTCACTCCCAAAGAAATATAAAAAAAAATGAAATAAAACCTTGATACTTTACACCAACAATAGTAGAACTTTGATAAGATCCAGTATATATGAACATGCAAGGAAATGATAAGGCTCCATTCCTATAATGTATTAATAATACAAATTACAAGATTTAGATCTAGTATGTCAAGGAGAAAGAACAGGAATGTAATAGGAATGATAAAGGATTAATACTGGGCTTGAAGCTGAAGTTGTTGCCTTGCTGCTATTTCTAGCAAATAAAAGGTCCAAACTGGAAATACAGCAAGGTATTTTTCCATGAAAACATGCCTGGTAGAATCCTTCACTTTCTATAAGATTTAATTTGTCCAACTTTGCCTGATAGTTGAGCCAGCAATATTTTTCTGGCAAGGATGCTGACAAATTGGAAAATTGTTTAATGAACAGATTTCTTTTTTAAGTCACATATTTATACTTACCTTACAGCATATACAGAAATAACTCTTGGAAGAAAATATTGGAGAAAAGCTTCCTGACATTGGATTTGGCCATGATTTCTATAATATGACACCAGAGCACAAGTAGCAAAAGAGAAAGATAAATTGGACCTCATCAAAATTAAAACTTGTGCATCAAAGGGCATTATCAACAGAGTGAAAAGGCAACCACATAATGAGAGAAAATATTTGCAAATCATATGTCTGATAAAGAATTAATATCCAGAATATACAGAAAACACCTGAAACTCTACAACAAACAACCAGATTTTAAAAATAGGCAAAGGATTTACTTAAACATCTCTCCATAGAAGATATAAAAATGACCAATAAGCCCATGAAATGATGCTTAACGCCCCTAATCACCAGGGAAATGCAAATCAAAACCACAATAAGATGCTATCTCACACCCATTAGAATGACTGTTACCAAAAACAAAACAGTGTTGGTGAAGACATAGAAAAGTTGGACCCTTGCATATTGCTGGTGGGAATGTAAAATGGTGCATCTTTTTTTGGAAAATGGTGTGGTATTTCCTCACAATTAAACAATTACCTTAAGATCCAGCAATTCTTCTCGGTATTTATTCCCAAAAAAATTGAAAGCAGGGGCTTGAATAGATATTTGTACACTCACTTTCATAACAGCATTATTCACAATAGCTAAAAGCAACCCAGTGTTCATTGAAATATGAACAGATAAAATGTGGCATATCCATACAATGGAATATTATTCAGCTTCAAAATGGAAGGAAATCCTAACATGCTACAGCATGAACCTTCAGGACATTATGCTAAGTGAAGTAAGCCTGCCACAAAAGAACAAATATTATATTATTCTACTCACAAGGTATCTCCAGTAGACAGAAAGTAAGACACTGGTTGTCAGGAGCTGAGAGGTAAGGGGAAATGGAGAATTCATGTTTATTAAGTACAGACTTTGAGATGAGGCAAATGAATAAGTTTGGGAGATGGATTGTGTTGATGATTGCAGAACAATGTCAGTATATTTAATACCAAGAACTAGACACTTAAAAATGGTTAGATGATAAATTTTATTAATATACTACCACCATAAAAAAAGATATTTATAAATTATTTTTATTTCAGATATGTATAATAGCACAAGCTTGTAAATCTAAGTAGAATCAGTTTACAGTTTGAAAATACTTTTTAAATTTTTTTATCAAAGACTTTTAGACAATATGGAAAACAAAAAGAAATATTAAAGTGAGAGAGGGCTTATTTAAATTAATCTGTGGTTTAAAAAATTGTATATTTATTTTTTTATTTGTGGGTTGTTTTTTTTTATCCTAGATTACGTTTGGCTTCTTTTGATAGTAGTGGAAAACTAATATGTAGTAGAACAACTGGCTATCAAATACTTACACTTGAAAAGGATCAGGTATGTTTGATTACTTTTCTGTTGTTTCATTGTAGTTTTAGTGTTTTGAATCCTCATAGAATTAACATTCTTTTCTTTTTTTCCATTGATACTTTATTTTATTATTATTTTTTAGAGAAAGTGGAAGGAAGGGAGATAGAGAGAGAGAAACATTGATGTTGAGAGAGACAAATCGATTGGTTGCCTCCTGCATAGCCCTGGTCGGGGCCCAGGAAACTTGCAATCTAGGCATGTGCCCCTGACTGGAATTGAACCCATGATTCTTTGATCTGTGGGCCGATGCTCTAACTGCTGATCCAAACTGGCCAGGGCTAGAATTAAAATTCTTAAGTAAAATTAACACTTGATTTAAATGTTGATTTGAAAGATTTTTGGTTTGGTTTGGTTTATTTTTGTTAATTCTCACCCAAGGATACTTTTCCACTGATTTTTTTAGATAGAGTAGAGGGGAAGGAGGGAGACAGAGAAATATTGAAGTAAGAGAGAACATCTATTGGTTGCCTCCCACATGACCCAGACTGGGGCAGGGATTGAACCTGCAATCCAGGTATGTGCCCTTGACCGGGAATCAAACCCAAGACCCTTTGGTGCCTGGGCTGATGCTCTAAACGTTGAACCGAAACAACAAGGGTGGTTTGAAAGTTTTTTTGAAGGTAAAGATGGAAGTACCATATTCACTTCTGCATAATTTACCCCATTCTACTAGAAGTTCAACTAAGACAAAAAAGAAAACACAGTTTGATTTTGAGGAACAGAGAAAAGCTTTAATAGGGCAATAGTTATTTGTACTAAATACCATCTTCAAAAAGTTATGAATCTTAATTGCTTCATCCATTGTGTTCATAAAGTGCATTTATTTATGCATTAATAGCACATACCGTGAAGACAATCCAGTTTGTCTCTATATAATTTCTGAATATTAAGAGAACATTACAGCCCTGGCCGGTTTGGCTCAGCGGTTAGAGCGTCGGCCTGCGGTCCTGAGAGACCCGGGTTCGGTTCCCGCTAAGGGCGCGTACCTTGGTTGCAGTTTGTCCCCGGCCCTGGTCAGTTGTGCGGGTGGCAGCCACTCGATGTGTCCCTTTCACATAGATGTTTCTCTCTCTCTCTCTCTGTTCCTCTCTCTCCCTCCCACTCTACCTGAACAAAAAATGGAAAAATGTCCTCGGGTGAGGATAAAAAAAAAAATTAAAAAAAAAAGAGAACATTACAGCGATTCTCAACCTGTGGGTTGCGACCCTTTTGGGGGTTGAACGACCCTTTCACAGGGGTCGCCTAAGACCATCGGAAAACACATATTTCCAATGGTCTTAGGAACTGAGACACTGCTCCTCTATCCATCCCCAGGCGGGTCTGCCCACATGCAGATATGCTCACGTACAACATGAGGAACTGTATTAAAGGGTCGCCGCATTGCTAGCACAATAGGTTTGTAAAATAACAGATACCTGTAATGTTCCCAGATTCTCTAAAGCCATTTGTTTCTTCATATTTCACATGCATGTTGAAGTTTCAAAATGTCATGATGAGAAAATAAACTATTTTCAAAAGTAAATGTCCAGTTTGGCTCAGCAGTTAGTGTTGGCTCATGGACCAAAGAGCCACGGGTTCAATTCCAGTCAAGGGCTCACATACCTCGATTGCGGTTCAGTCCCTGGCCCTGGTTGGGGTCCTGTGGGAGGCAACCAATCGATTTGTCTCGTTCACATCGATGTTTCTCTTCCTCCCTCCCTCCCTCCCACTCTATCTGAAGATAAATGGAAAAATATCCTTGGGTGAGGATTTTTAAATTTTTTTTTTTTTTTATCCTCACCTGAGGACATTTTTCCGTTTTATTTTGTTCAGGTAGAGTGGGAGGGAGAGAGAGGAACAGAGAGAGAGAGAGAAACATCAATGCGAAAGGAACACATCGAGTGGCTGCCACCCGCACAACCGACCAGGGCCGGGGACAAACTGCAACCGAGGTACGCGCCCTTAGCGGGAACCGAACCCGGGTCTCTCAGGACCGCAGGCCGACGCTCTAACCGCTGAGCCAAACCGGCCAGGGCGGGTGAGGATTTTTAAAAAGTAAAATGAGAGCCATTAAAATATTGCCAAAATTTATTTCTATTAACACAAACCACCATCTCGAAGAATATATTATTTCATTAAAGTGTTCAGAGGGTATAGTTTATATAAATTATCAGAAATTAGCAATTTTCCTCAAACTGAAGAGACTCTCATAGAACATCAGAATTTAGCATTGCAAGGATCCCTGGAGTAATAGTTCTAGCCTCACATACTCTGTATCAGCACTCTTATAGAGGGTCCTCCAATCATTGTAGGAACTCTGGCAACAGAGCTGACTCTCATGTGGTAGTATTTGAGAAGGTAGATATATAACAAAGTTAAAGCCTGTATTGGAATTCTCTGTTGTTCCCTCTGTGCACTCTGGAGCTACATGGAAGATGACTATCTTTACCTTCTACCTAGAACTTCACAAAAAAATATCATGGCTCTAGCCCTGGCCGGTTTTGCTCAGCGGTTAGAGCATCGAGAGAGACCTGGGTTCGGTTCCCGCTAGGGGCGAGTACCTCGGTTGCAGTTTGTCCCCGGCCCTGGTTGGTCGTGCAGGTGGCAGCCACTCAATGTGACCCTTTCACGTCGATGTTTCTCTCTCTCTCTCTCTTCCTCTCTCTCCCTCCCACTCTACCTGAACCAAAAATGGAGAATGTCCTCGGATGAGGATAAAATATATATATATATATATCATGGCTCTGCCCGACCTGTGTGGCTCAGTGGTTGAGTGTCAACCCATGCACCAAGAGGTCGCTGGTTCAATTCCTGGTCAGGACACATGCCCAGGTTGTGGGCCCGATCCCCGGTGGAGGGCATGCAGGAGGTAGCCAGTCGATGTTCTCTCTCATTGATGTTTCTATCTCTCTTTCCCTTTCCCTTCTTCTCTCTCTAAAACCAATAAAGAAAAAAAATTTTTTTTTTTAATATCATGGCTCAAAGCATCCAGAGACTTGAAAAGCACTCATCAAGATAATAGTTGTATTCCGCGTGTTCCTTGATTCATTCGTTCAGCAAACATTTGTATTTCTACTGCATGTTAGTTTCCATGCTACAGGTAGAGGAAATAAAGAGTTGCTTATGTTATATAGCTTAATTTAAGTAGTATGGTAGAGGTGAGCTCATAGTAATGTGTAACATTGAGGGAGAAGTCTCTAACCCTTATTATGAGGTTGGAGCAGGTATGGTTTTTGGGGGAGTAGAAGAAGGGAAGACAGCTCAGGGAAAACCTCCTCTCCTGGAAAAGTTGACAAGTGAATGGATACCTGAACCTGGGGAGCACATGGATCATTCAAGGAACTGAAAGAGGTTTGGAAGAGTTCAGTAGGACTAGAGCCGGGGCATGATGGGCTGTGGATTGAGTTTGGACTATTCCCTGAGATCTCTAGAAAGTTATGGAAGGATTTTATGTGGGGAGTTTTATATGTATGTTTCACATAGGTTATAGATGTTTACTATGGAAAAATATAAATAAGCGAAAAGAAAAACAATTCATATCTCACTTAGAAATGACACCAAAATTAGATCCTACTGTTAACTATTTGTAACCTTCATTTTTCCCACTTTGTTGTGCATAGCTTTTCTTGTCAATAAATATATATCTACATTTTTTTTTTTCAAATCTTCACTCGAGGATATTTTTCCATTGATTTTCAGATGGGGGGGACGGGGGGGTCATTGATGTGAGAGAAACACATTAATTGGTTGCCTAGGGTTGGGGATCAAACCGAAACCGAGGTAGATGCCTATGACTATAATCGAACCCAACACTCTCTGGTCTGCGGGCCAATGCTCTAATGGCTGAGCCAAACCGTCCAGGGCTTTTTTTTTTTTTTAATTCACATATTATTTTTATTACTGCATATTATTTTTTGCATATACCATAATTTAAATAATTCTTCCTTTTTGGGTTTTTGGGGGTATTTTTTTTCTCACTATTATAAAAAATGTACAGCTCTGGCTGGTTTGGCTCAGTGGTAGAACGTTGGCCCACCAACCAATGAGTCGTGGGTTTGATTCTGGCCAAGGGTACATACCTCGGTTGCAGTTTGACCTGGGCCTTGGTCGGGGTTATGTGGGAGGCAACCAGTGGATGTGTCCCTCTCACATCGATGTCCCTATCTGAAGATAAATAAAAAAATATTTTCAGGTGAGGATTAAAAAAATGTACGTGTTTTTTATTTTTTTAAAGTAGTAAATTCCAAGAAGTAGAATTCTTGTCAGATAGTGTATATGTTTCCTAATAGCCAAATTGCCCTCTAGTAATACTATTCAAATTCCCTCCAGCAGGAGAGTATAACCAACATTAGTGTATTATCATTCTTTCTAATCTTTCCCCAATATAATAAGTGTGCACAAATTATATTTAATTTTCATTTCCTTAGTTATTGGTATAGTTGGTTTTTTTGCTTGCTTATTGGTCATATTATCTTGTGTAAATTGACAATTTATATTATGTATGTTTAAATTTTTATTACAGTGTTTGTTTTCTTATTAATTTTTAACAGTTTCAATATATTAAGAGTGACATTTGTGATATACTGTAGTTTTCCCATTTTGTCATCTATTTCTTAAACTTTATGAAGTAATCAATCAGTCTATTCATTTAATGATTTTCCCTTTTGGTGTTTTGCTTAGTCTTAAGAGTTAGGATTATATATAGTCATCTGTACTTTTTTCTATTCCTTTTATTTAGTTTTTTACATTTGAGTATTTTAGGATATATCTGAAATGTATCAGATTTATCAATATATTTGAATCGCCATTTTTATCATATACTAAATCCTTATGTACTTGGTTTCATTTCTAAACTTTCTCTTATGTTTTAATTATTTCTTTGTTGTGACAACAATACATTGTTTTAACTGGACTGACTTTAATTTTAATACCTAGTAATACCCACTTTCATTCTTGTCTTCTCAAAAATCTCTGGGTTCTTTGTGCAAGATTATTCTGTATGGGGTATAGAATCATTTTGTCAAGTTTCCTATAAAAAATTCCTGAGGATTTTGATTTACATTTGTTAGTATATACAGTCGGCCCTTGTTTATCGCGGTTAATCAGTTCTGGACTCTACCACAATAAATTAATTTCCGCAAAGTAGGATTCTTTATTTATACACAGTCGTCCCTCACCACTTCCCGCTTCGACCTTCGCAGCTTCACTCTGTCGCAGTTTTTTCAAATACTATACTATACTACACTATATCTGAAAAACCCGCAATAGAGTGAAGCCGCAAAAGTCGAAGCATGAAGTGGCAAGGTACAACTATATTTGTTAAATATATACAATAATTTGTGGAAAGTTGATATCTTTCTTTCTGGAATATGTTATTTTCTGCATTTATTTAGGTATTTTCTAAATATTTTATATTTTTTAAATATGTTTTTTTTGTTTGTTTGTTTGTTTTTTTAGTCCTCACCCGAGGACATTTTTTGATATTTTGTTCAGGTAGAGTGGGAGGGAGAGAGAGGAACAGAGAGAGAGAGAGAAACATCGACGTGAAAGGGACACATCGAGTGGCTGCCACCCACACGACCCAACCAGGGCCGGGGACAAACCGCAACCAAGGTACGTGCCCTTAGCGGGAACCGAACCCGGGTCTCTCCGGACCGCAGACCGACGCTCTAACCGCTGAGCCAAACTGGCCAGGGCTTTAAATATGTTTTTATTGATTTTTTTTAGAGAGAGAGGAAGGGAGAGAGAGATGGAAACATTCATGTGAGAGAGAAACATCGATCAGCTGCCTCCGGCACACCCACTACTGGGGATGGAGCCCACAACCTGGTCATGTGCACTGACCGGGAATTGAACCCGGACCTCTCAGTCCATGGGATGATGCTCAATCCACTGAGCCACACTGGCCAGGCTAAGTATTTTATATATATATATATATATATATATATATATATATATATATATATATATATTTATTTATTTTTTTTTTTTATCCTCACCCGAGGACATTTTTTGATATTTTGTTCAGATAGAGTGGGAGGGAGAGAGAGAGAGAGAGAAACATCAATGCAAAAGGGACACATTGAGTGGCTGCCACCCACATGACCCAATCAGGGCCGGGGACAAACTGCAACCAAGGTACGTGCCCTTAGCGGGAACCGAACCCGGGTCTCTCCAGACCGTAGGCCAACGCTCTAACCGCTGAGCCAAACCGGCGAGGGCAGTATTTTATATTTTAATTGCCAATATGAAATGAATCCTCTTTTCTAATAGTTTTTGATGACATATAGAAAACTAGTGATTTTGCCCTGGCCCGTTTGTCCCCGGCCCTGGTCGTGCGGGTGGCAGCCACTCAATGTGTCCCTTTTACATCGATGTTTCTCTCTCTCTCTCTCTCTGTTCCTCTCACTCCTTCTCACTCTACCTGAACAAAAAATGGAAAAATGTCCTTGGGTGAGGGTAAAAAAAAAAAAGAAAAACTAATGATTTTTGCATATTTTGTAACTGTCCATCTTACAGGACTATGCTAACTAGATTTACATTATAGAAGGCTCTCTCAGCAATGTGTAAGTATTTGAGACATGATAATGGCAGGAAGGCGACTTAGAAGCGATTGCTATAATGCAAATAAGAAATGATAATAACCTTAACTTAAGGAAGGTAGCAGTGGGGATGAAGAGATGTTAATAGGTTCTAGAAATGAAGCAGTGCAGTTGAAAGAATTTGGTTCCTAATTTTGCACGAAGGTGAGAAAGTAGTCAAAGAAAATTCCTGGTTTTCTGAGTTGGGCAACTTTGATTTATAGTAGTAGTTTTTCCTGAGATTTGAATTATAAAAAGGAAAATGACACCCTGGCTGGGTAGCTCAGTTGGTTAGTGCGTCATCCTGATACACCAAGATTACAGGTTCGCTCCCAGGTGAGGGCACATACAAGAGTCAACCATTGAGTGCATAAATAAGTGAAACAACAAATCAGTGTTTCTCTATCTCTCTCCCTTTCCCTCTCTAAAAAAAATCAATATAAAAAAGAAAAGAAATGAATGAGACTTAAGTGAGGATGAAGAGATGATAAATTCAGTTTAAGGTATATTTACTTTGGGAGCCTTAAGGTGAAAGTTTGACTGGCAGGTGGGTCACTAGGTCTGGAGTTTTCAAGCATTGCCTGGGCAAGAAATAAAGATTAGATGAGATAACCTACAGGAAATGTATAGAGAATATAACAGGATGGAAACCTAGGGAACACTGGTATTTAAGGGGTGGCCAAAAAAAAGTAATCTGGTAAAACGCTTAAGAGCTGGGATAGGGAGTCAGTTTAGTAAATATGCCTTCACCTGGGTTATTGCTACAAACTTTGACTAGGCCATGGTGACTCAAGCATCTATAGGCCACCTATGCTTTGACATCATTCCTCTCTGCTATCCCTATCAGCACCGTCAGCCCAGGTGATTGTCTCATCTGACCCGTCATTTTACCCATCTTATTCACTTTCCCTGTTTTAGAGAATATAGAGAAATTGTGTACGCGCGCTCGTGTGTGTGTGTGTGTGTTTGTGTGTGTGTGTGTGTGAGAGAGAGAGAGAGAGAGAGAGAGATTTGTAGTCTCTACCTTCTTTTTTTTTTTCCAACCCTCACCTGAGGATATTTTTCCATTTATTTTCAGACAGAGTGTGGGGGGGGGGGGGACATCGATGTGAGAGAGACACATCAATTGGTTGCCTCCAGCACCACCCCAAACAGGGCCAGGTACCAAACCACAACCGAGGTACGTGCCCTTGACCGGAATTGAACCTGAGACTCTTTGGTCCACAGGCTGACACTGTAACTGCTGAGCCAAACTGCCCAGGGCTTCCCTACCTTCTCTCTACCCAAATTTATCTTTTTGCTCCATCAACACAGTAGCTATGTCCAGTTGAGCCTATATCAGTCATGCAAATGTTCCAGTTTCAGTTTCTCTTTATTCCAGAAAAACATTCCAGAAGCACCTGCCTCAGTAAAAAAATTAAAAACTTTTAAGTGTTTAAATCTAGTCTCCAGAATGTATAAAATAAGATGAAACTAATGCATATTATTGCAGAGAATATATCCAAGTATTAAATACTCTGATGACTTATTCTGTTCACCAAGTGCTATAAAGGGTTCCAAACAATACATCTGTAGCATGAGTGATGGTTACACTTGTTGCTTTCAAGTATATTATCAACTCCTGTCTCTTTGGGATTTCAAGACATTCTCATGTGTATTGCGGTAACTGAACTTGAAATTGATTTTACATGGTGCTTTATATTCCAAGAGACAAATAACATGTCTGCATTAGAGACCGTGGGAAATCTTACATAAGAATGGGAACCATGACTGTTGTTGATAATAATGATGCCCCACCTTCATCCTAATTATTTGCTATACATAAGAGCCCTCAGAAATTGAAGCCAAATGAGAAGTCTACATATTTCTGGACTCTGTTCATAAAATATGTATGTACTTGACAGAAATTTTTCAATAATGAAAATAACTACGTTAATGAGTACTTCACATATGACTAGCTTTGCTGAGCGCTCTGTGTGAATTGTATCATATAATCCTATGAGACAGGTACTCTTATTGTCCCTATTTTAGGGTGAGGAGGCTGCAGTTGACAAGATCAGTGACTTGCCCCAGGTCACACAGCTAGTGGGTGGGAGTTTTGAGATTTGAGCGCTGACTCTCAGACTACAGATGCAGGCTCTTAACCACCACACCGTCTCCTTCAGTTCATACAATTAAACTGTTTGGTTTTTTGTCTGTTTGGGTTTTTTTAATATTACTATCTACTTGTCATTAAAGCAACAAATTTGTTTTATAGGAACAAGTAGTAATGAACTTGGACAGCAGGCTCCTGATCTTCCCTTTATATATCTGCTGTAATTTCCTGTATATATCTCCAGAAAAAAGAACGGAAAATAATCGTCATCCAGAAAATCCAGAAAACTGAGGATCTTATCAGTTGGAAACAGTGGCACTTTGAAAATTTTTTCGGCCAGCTTTAATTGAATGGCCCTATTTGTTCACATCTAAGGTGACTAATAATGACAAAGGCCTTATGAACTGTACAGATAATACAGAAGACTATTCTTATTATATTTCTATGCATATATTAAAAAACATTTAAAGCCAAGAATATATCTGTCAATCCATTTCTGTTATAAAGATGTCAGCTTGTGCTTTTTTAAATTTAGCATCAGTAAAAAATGGCAATAGGTAAATTTCACATTTTTCTGCAACCAAATATAGATTTAATTTTTAGCTTAAACTTTGATTCTGTATAATGTTAATGTACCTCGGTTATCCATCTGTAAATCTATTTTTGTCTAAAAGAATGTTAAAGGAATACTTTGAAAGACTAATTATAAACGCTTTTTCAATTGATGCGTTTAAGGCTGTCTGATTTTTTCAACTGCTCTTTGTGATTCCTCCTGTTATCCTCCCAATATGTAGTTGTTATTAATCATTAAAAACTTTTTTCATGGCTTTGGAGACTAACTTGAGAAAATTTTTATTTAACGTAAGCATTTTTAGGCTATTTTATTTTGCTTTTAATTTAGCTTTCCTAGGATTTTAACAATAAAAGAATCAGCTGCAGACTTTCAAATGAACTGGAATGGGGGAGAAAAATCAGTGAGTCTGAGTATATTCCTTTGCCTTACATGGTCTTTTTGTTTGTTTTGATATTCTATACAGCTTTATTATTAGATTCATAAGATTATTTATATACCACATATTACACTCTAAACATTTTCATATTCTCTGACCTTTGGAATTATTTTTGTTCAAATTTTAGTTGAGAATCCTATTTCCTACTTAACCTCTGAATTAAGTGCCTTTGAGTTACACATGCTAATAGAAGTTTCATAGTAAATATAAATAAGCTCAGAGGATGTCATACAGAAGCTGGTAAAGCATTCATGTAAAAATAGAACTTATTTTTGTCAAAATGAGATGTACACTTGTCATGATATATATATGTTGGCATCTTGTGTTTACCACTATTTTAAAAATAGCCATGCTCGTTTTCCCAGTCAGAGTGAATTCTTTTTGTGGTTAATGTATATTTTTCGTATGTTTTTTAAAAATGGGAACCACTTTTATGTATCTGTACAAATAATAAACACCCATTTGGAAAAAGAATAAATAAGCTCTTATATGAACTAAACAAAAACAAAAACAGTTGAAACCAGAATTTTTTTTTTTCTTTTTAGATATTTTCCAATTAGATTTAACTTTTGGAACTTATTGATAGTTTTTCTTCCTCAGTAATATGTCCATAGATTTATAAAATTCATTTGAGCTTTCAAAATTCATCCTGGTTAGCAGCTGTAAGAAAGAAAGATCTCTTATCCTTTGAGATGAAATGGAGGGACCTGGAAAGTATTATCCTAAGTGAAACAAGCCAAGCAGAAAAAGACAAATACCACATGATCTCACTTATATATGGAATATAATGAATATAACAGTCTGAGGAATAGGGTAGACCCAGAAACACAGAAGTAGGGTGCAGACTGACAACCCTCAGAAAAGGGAGTGGTGGGGGGTGGGAAGAGATAAACCACAGAAGTTATATGCATGTATGCATAACCAATGGATATGGACAACAAAGCCAGGGATGGGGCGGGGGAGATGGGGAGGAGGGTTTCAATGGGGTAAAAAAGGAGAAACATCTGTAACAAAAATTAAATTAAAAAGAAAAAGAAAAAAAGAAAAAAATAATTCATCCTGGTTAATTTAAAGAAAGCTTTTAAATGCCTCCCCATCCTCTGCCCGCAGAACTGCGGTTCAAATGTTTCTAATACAATAATTTTGCTGCATCAAGAGGCTACATTTCTCATTCTTATATTTGGCTATAATTATATATTGGGTTTTTTCCTATCTTATAGCATCAGAGATTTTTTACCGTTTATATATTTAAAAATGTAAATGTCAATCTTCAAGTATTTTAATAATTGAGTTTTTACAAATCTTGGGAGTAAAGATAAAGTTTTGAGTATATTAGTGAGTAAAATTAACCATTATATAAACTACCCAACTGGAATTATATATGGTTCTCTTTTTTTTATCGTATATGGTTTTTGTCCGTTTATTCGTTCCTGTCCCAATTGCTTGTGTCCTTTACAAACAGAATAATTATTTCTTTAGTCACAAGTAGGTTGTATTCTCATTTGAGATACCAGTGATTGTCAGCTAGTACTTCACATTGACAGCAAAGATCCACTTTTGTTTTCATACCCAATACTTTAATGTTTGCATACTTTTTACTCTTTTCAATAGGAATATTTTCAATAAAGTATTGATAGTATCAGTTGACAGATCATATAAACTATTATATATGAAAGCTTGCTTTATACCCTTTACCAAGTTTTTTCATAAGCTTCTAAGGCTAAAATAAAATACCCAGTAAAAATTATTTTAGCCCAGCCAGTGTAGCTCAGTGCATTGAGCGTCATCCCATGGACTGAGAGGTCCTGGTTGATTCTCAGTCAGGGAACATGCCTGGGTTTTGGGCTCGATCCCCAGTAGGGAGCATGCAGGAGAAAGCCCATCGATATTTCTCACATCGATGTTTCTCTCTCTCCCTTCCTCTCTCTAAAAAACAAAATCAATAAAGACCTATTTTTAAAAATTTGTTTTAGCTTGACTATCAGTAAAGAATAAGTCCTAAAGAAAATATTCTAGTCCTGGCAGGTATTGCTCAGTGGTTAGAGTGTTGGCATGAGAATGAAAGGGTCACAGTTTCAATTCCCGGTCAAGAGCACATGCCTGGGTTGCAGTTTCGCTCTCTGGTCCTGGTTGGGGCTCTTGGAAGGCAACAAATCAATGTCTCTCACATCAATGTTTCTTTCTCACTCTCCCTCTCTTCTCCCACCCTCCCTCCCTTCCATTCTCTCTAAAACAAAAATCAATAGAAAAAAATATCCTCAAGTGAGGATTAAGAAAAAAAATAAAAATAAGTGAGAAAATGTTCTACAGTCTCCATGCTAAAGTATTAAAGAGGGCCCTGGCCGGTTTGGCTCAGCGGTTAGAGCGTCGGCCTGCGGTCCTGAGAGACCCGGGTTCGGTTCCCGCTAAGGGCGCGTACCTGGGTTGCAGTTTGTCCCCGGCCCTGGTCGGTTGTGCGGGTGGCAGCCACTCGATGTGTTCCTTTCACATAGATGTTTCTCTCTCTCTCTCTCTTCCTCTCTCTCCCTCCCACTCTACCTGAACAAAAAATGGAAAAATGTCCTCGGGTGAGGATTAAAAATAAATAAATAAATAAAAAATAAAAATAAATAAATAAAAAATAAAGTATTAAAGAGGGATATGAATGTACCTCGCCTTTTAATTTTATTCATATTTTTAATCTATATTATTGATTTAATCTATATTATTGCAGATGTCCCTCTGTTTCCCCCATTGACATCCTCCTCCCCCTCTTCACCACACTTGTCTGTGTCCTTTGGTTATGCATGTATGTATATATAAGTTCTTTGGTATATCTCTTCCTGCCTCACAGCAAGAAAGAAAGATTTCTTTTTCTTTTTTCTAATTTTTTTATTTTTTGGAACGTGCCCCTAGTGGGAACCGAACACAGGACTCTCTGGTCCACAGGCCGATGCTCCAACTGCTAAGCTAAACTGGCCAGGGTGAAAGAAAGACTTCTTTATCTTTCTTTTTAAAATATATATATATATATATATATATATATATATATTTGGCTTGAAAATTAAATGAACAGTGGCAGTCACTAGCTTTCTTTTATTATTCCTCACCCTAGGATATTTTTCCTGTGATTTTTAGATGGAGTGAAGTGAAAGGGAGGGAAAGAGAGAGAAACATCAATGCAAGAGAGACACATCAATTTGATGCTTTCCAAAAGTACCCCAACTAAGGCCAGAGATGGAACCTGTAACCTAGATACATACCTTTGACAAGGAATTGAACCTGCATCCTTTGGTCATGGGACAACACTCCAACCACTGAGCCAAAAGGCCAGGGTGTCCCTAGCTTTTTACCAAGTGTTTAGCAGTGAACATTTTATTAAATTTCAAGTCTTTGAATTGTTAATGAACAATTTTTGATATCATATGTAAAAATAGGGTTACCAAGAGTCACTGTAGCTTTCTAAGTTTAAGTTTATTAAAATAAATTTTAACATTTACTTCCTCAGTAACAGTAGGCACATTGCAAATGCTTAGTAATCACATATAATTAGTGGCTGCCATATCGGTTGGTGCAGATATAGAATATTTCCATTCTGGAAAGCTCTATCAGATAGATTTGATCTAGAATAGTGGACTGTAAATATTGAAACTATGTCAAAGGTTTTATTCCCTTAAAAATGAACTTACAAAGAATAGAAAAGATGCCCTGGCCAGTGTGGTGCATTAGTTAGAGCATCGGCCTGCACACCTAAGAGTCATAGGTTTTAATTCCTGGTCAAAGAAGGACACTTACCTGGGTTGCAGGTTCCAGTTGGGGCCCATGCAGGAGACAATCAATCCATCAGTCTCTCTCACATCACTTTTTCTCTCTCCCCATCTCTCATCCCCCCTCCCTTCCACTCTAAAAATAAATGGAAAAAATATCCTTGCGTGAGGATTAACAAAAACAAAAGAACAAAAAAGAAACAAAGGAAAAAATGAACACATGGGACCACATCAAATTAAAAAGCTTCTGCATGGGGAGGAGGGTGTCAATGGGGGAAACAAGGAGAAACATCTGTAACAAATAAAATAATAAAAAATTTAAAAAGCTTTTGCACGCACGGACTTATCGGACTCTCTCCCTCTAAGCTCGGAGGGGAGGCAGCTCGAGGGGCACCAGAGAATTACAGGGAGGAACTGAGCTGTTTGGCACTGGAGTGAGGGCTGGAGAGGGGGCTTTCTCGGGGACAAACGTGCTGTAAGAGGCCTTTGTTCCTTTGGTGAGCCCTTCCCGGGGGCGGCAGACAGTCGCCATATCTGGGACTCCAGCAACCTGGCTCACACTGGTAGCCCCGCCCTGGTGACTCCCTGAGGCCCCGCCCCACCCAACTTTCAGGCCCACCCAAGCTGTTGCTACTTGCTTAACCATAGGATTGGCCTGTCTTGGATCTTGCTTCAGGTTTTTCCTAAATTCTTTCAAACGAGCAGCATCGGGTCTCAGCGAGCCCCATACCTCTCATTAAGTAATACACTGAAACAAACACAGGGAGGCAGCAAAATGAGGATACAAAGAAACAGGTCCCAAATGAAAGAACAGAACAAAACCCCAAGAAAAGAACTAAGCGAAATGGAGATAAGCAACCTAACAGATGCTGAGTTCAAAATACTGCTTATAAGGATGCTCAATGAACTCAGTGAGGGCCTCAAGAGCATAAAAAAGTACCAGTCAGAAACGATCGCTGCACAGTTAGAAACGAAGGAGGCTTTAACTGAAATAAAGAATAATTTACACAGCTTCAATAATAGAGTACGTAAATCCAAGGAGCAAACCATCGATTTGGAATATAAGGAAGCAAAAAACGCCCAACCAGAACAGCAAAAAGAAAAAAGAATCCAAAAAAAATGAGGATAGTGTAAGGAGCCTCTGGGACAACTTCAGGCGTGCCAACATTCGCATCTTGGGGGTGCCGGAAGGAGAAGAGAGAGAACAAGAAATCGAAAACCTGTTTGAAACAATAATGGCAGAAAACTTTCCTAACTTGGTGAAGGAAACAGACATACAAGTCCAGGAAGCACAGAGAGTCCCAAACAAGATGAACCCCAAGAGGCCCACACCAAGACACATCATCATCAAAATGCAAAAGGTTCAAGACAAAGAGAGAATCCTAAAAGCAGCAAGAGAAAGGCAGCTAGTTACCTACAAGGGAGTTCCCATAAGGCTGTCAGCTGATTTCTCAAAAGAAACTTTGCAGGCCAGAAGGGAGTGGCAAGAAATATTCAGAGTGATGAAAACCAAGAACCTACAACCAAAATTACTCTATCCTGCAAAGCTGTCATTTAGAATCGATGGACATATAAAAACTTTCCCAGACAAGAAAAAGTTAAAGGAGTTCATCACTACCAAACCGTTATTATATGAAATGATGAAGGGTCTTTTTAAAGAAAAAGATAAAATGTAGGAACAAACAAAATGGCAATGAATACATATCTATCAACAATGGAATCTACAAACAAAATGAACAGGAAGAACAGGAACATTCTCATAGATACAGAGAATATTTTGTTGGTTGCCAGTTGGGAAAGGGGTTGGGGGAATGGATGAAAAAGGTGAAGGGATTAAGAAGCACAAATTCATTGCTAGACTGACAAACCTCAAAGGGAACGGGGTTGGGGGGGTGGGAAGAAATAAACCAAAGAACTTATATGCATAACCAATGGACACGGACAATAGTATGGGAAAAGGTGGGAGGGGGGCGGGAGTGGGGAGGAGGGGGTCAATGGGGGAAAACTGTGGAACATCTGTAATACATTTTACATCCAACAATAAAGATGTGGAAAATAAATAAAAATAAAAAATAAAAAATAAAAAATAAAAAATAAAAAAAAAAAATAAAATAAAAAAAATAAAAAGCTTTTGCACAGCAAAAGAAACCATCAAAATGGAAAGGGATCCCACTATATGGGAGACCATAATCTCCAATGATGCATCAGATAAGGGGTTAATTTCCAAAATATATAGAGTGCTCATACAACTCAACAAAAGGAAGACAAAGAACCCAATTAAAAAATGGGTAGAGGAACTAAATAGACACCTCTCCGAACAGGACATACAAATGGCCGAGAGACATATTAAGAAATGCTCAAATCACTAATCATCAGAGAGATACAAATTAAAACAACTATGAGGTATCACCTCACACCTGTCAGAATGGCCGCCATCAACAAATCATCAAACAACAAGTGTTGGCAAGGGTGTGCACAAAAGGGGACTCTAGTACACTGCTGGTAGGAATGCAGACTGGTGAAGCCACTATGGAAAACAATATGGTGTTACCTCAAAAAATTAAAAATTGAACTGCCATTTGACCCAGTGATCTCACTTCTAGGAATATACCCTAAGAAGTCTGAAACTCCAATCAAAAAGAATATATGTACCTCTATGTTTATAGCAGCACTATTTACAATAGCTAAGATCTGGAAACAAACCAAGTGTCTATCAATACATAAGTGGATTAAAGTCTGTGGTACATGTACACAATGGAATACTATGCAGCTGTAAGAAAGAAAAATCTCTTATCCTTTGAAATGGCATGGAAGGACCTGGGGAGTATTATGCTAAGCAAAACAAGCCAAGCAGAGAAAGACAAATATCACATGATCTCACTTATTTGCAGAATAAAATTTACTAAACAAACTGCTGAAGAAAATTAACCCAGACACATAGAGGTGGGGTACAGACTGACAAACCTCAGAGGACGGGGGAGTTTGTGAGGGAAGAGAGAAACCACAGAACTTACATGCATGTATGCATGACCAATGAACATAGACAACAAAGCTGGGGATGGAGTGGAGGGAGATGGGGAGGGGTGTCAATGGGGGGAAAATGAGAAACATCTGTAACAAAAATAAATTAATAAATAAAAAATGGAAAAAAAGAACAAAAAACACAGAAGAGAGCCAGGGTGCAAATGACAGATAACTTGTCAATCACCTAAAATGATATGTTGAGTCATCATTTCAAGCAATGTGGATCTAATCACTTGACTGCATTAAAAAAAAAAAAGGCAGAGTACAGTTCTCTCCTCAACCAGAGTCTGAAATTCATCTCAAGGTCCAAGGTCCAGGTGTATAAAAGCAAAGTCTCAAACCTCATCAATCATTGTTAACTAGTGGTCAGACTACATCTAATTAGGGGGGAAATTACTGACTCAACAGCAGGCATCCATGTGGAATGATAAAGTAGGATGCTTTTGTAAAGGCTGGTGCTTTTATATGAAACAGGACTGGCAAAGGTAAAACAAAATTTAACCAACGCTAGAGATAATATATTCGCAGAGAATCACAGATGGTTAATGTTGGTTTTTACATAAGGTACATACATACTTTAAATACAGTTTGCCTTTCTTGAAAAAAAAAAAAAACCAATAAACTGGTTGGTTGGGGAGGAACCTTACACGTAAGTGTGGTCACAAGTGTTGACCTTACCCCAACCTCCCCACTCAAATCTTATCCAAATGGCCTTTAGAATGAGAGAACTTCAAGCCATATATTAGGAATATAGAGGATTTCTTCCAGATACAGTACTGAAGATACATAGTGCTGGATAATGTACATCCTGAGACAGGGCAACGTGATCAGTAAATAAGGAAGCCCTAGCAGAACCCAACTTCTATCCCACACCTTAGAGAGGAGGAGCTATTTGCTGGCTAAGGTTGATCTCAGGATGTCCCTTTACAGAACTTAATCCTTTGTTTTTTCTCTTTCTCTTCTTTACTTTTTTCCTCTGTGCTGACTCATTCACATCAATATTTAAAGGGGCTCGGTTTCTCCTATCTTTGAAAAACCCTCAGTCACACATTCACCTCTACCCACTACTATATTTTGCCCTGCACCACCAAACTCCAAAGGGTTCTCCAAACTATCTTAACTTCATATGCCATTCACAACTCAACTTCACTAAAACTTCCTGAGTCAACAAAGACTTTCTCGCTAAATCTTATGAATTCAATGTGTTTGGAAATTTTTTGTTCACTCCTTTTAACTATCATTTAAAAGTAACCACTTTTTCTCCATTAAAAAAGCAGCCTTCTCTTTAACTTCTCTGCTATCACTCTTGCCACTTTTCCTTCTGTTTTTCTGGCCGTTCCTTAGTCTACTTCAGGGGTTTTTCCTCTGGCTATCACCAGGCCCTTTTCTTTCCTGAGCTGGCACCAGGTGGGTGATTTCATGCACTCTCAGGGCTTCAAATGAACATCTGTATTCTGATTATTCCTTTTTCTGTAGTTCTAGCCTACATCTATCTCCCTTCTGAGTTCCAAACACACATCTAGTTGGCATCTCCTCTTGGGTGTTCAAAATGGCATTTCCAATTAGCACATCCTGACCTGAATGTATCTTCTTTCCTCAGAATTTATCTTACATGCCTTATCTTAGCAAATGATGTTCCATGTACCTAATTTCACAAACCTGAAACCTCGATGTCATTCTTGAATCTTCTAATTCCCTCATTTTCTGCATCTAAACATTGCCAAGTTTTTCTAGTTTCACCAACTATTTATCAAATTTCAACACTTTCCACCATACTTACTGATACCATTCTAGTACAGGCCACTGTAATTTTAAGCTAGATGATTGTACCAGCCTTATTATATGCCCCCAGTCAAGTCTGTACATTATTCAAAAGTGTTATTTGAATAAACTCAAATATGATTCCTTCTCATCCTTAAAACCTTCACAGGCTCCCTATTGCCTTTGTTTCAGGAAAACCATCATAGTTTACGAGTCTATTCTAACCTTGTCTTTCCATTTCCACTCCTTGTTCCCCGAGTGGCTGCCATACCTTTGGTTCTCTGCATAGCCTATCCTCACCCTTGCATGTGCAGCCTCCTCTGCCTCAACCATCTCTTCCACCTCTCCCCACTACAGACATCACCCCATTCCACCTGGCTAATTTCTATTCTTCCTTAAGGTCTTGTTTGGACATCATTTCCTTCTAGAAACTTCTCTTGACAACCTTCAAACCACTCAGGAACCAGTCTTATGTGCCCTCATAATGTTCTTCCACCATCAGTGCATGTTCACACTGTTTACTAGTTTGTGTCTGTCAGTGGCCCGCTGTCTACTCAAGAACAGGCATGTGTTTTTTTACTGATTAATGTTCTGGTACAAAAGTATGCAATAAATGTTGGTATGAATAACTATTTTTTTCTGATATTTTCTGATGTTTTGACAACTGGGGCATTGAGAGAGTGCCTTTCAATGGGCAGCCTATATCCTCCTTTCTCACCTTCTTTCCCACTTTCACACGCTAGGCAGTATTCCTCTAACCTAGTGACTCTGGGGCCAGGTACCAAACAACTGGTCAGCCGCTGCATCCAAAACCCGCTGAAATTCAAACCCGCCAATCACAAAGCCGCTTACCCTGCCTCTCCAATTCCGTCCTGTACAAAGCACGGTCTCTTACCCTTGCCTTCCTCTTTCTTCCTCTGCTTCCCGACCCAACCTGGTGCTTCTCCATGTGGACCTAAACTGATGCGAATGCAGTTTAGAATTGGTTTGATATGAAATATTTTGTGCATGTGGATAAGAACTAGAAAGAGAAATGGGTGTGGGGGGATGAAAACTGTGTTAGGGTGGTGGGTATACGAGTTTTTCCAGATTTCTAATAATAATGTCAATTAGCAAACTTGAATGCGCACCGTGAATACAAAAGAAACGGCCAAAATGGGGCTTGAGGAGTTAACATCTTGGTTTTCACAGGTATCTCTGAGCTCAAAAGCGCGCCGCGCGATTCCGGGCTGGCTTTGCGCAGCCTCTCTTCTTTAGAATCCGGAACTCTGGCGGGTCGCTCAACGTTTTCCAGTCGGCGGTGAAAGCGCAGTTCCGGCTGTCCCGGAAGTTCTTTCACAGTCGTTCCCCAGGCGGTGGTAGAGGAGGCCTCGAAATGGATCGCAGTCGCAGTCGCAGCCGTAGCCGCAGCCGCAGCCGCAGCCGCAGCCGCTCTCCACTGATGGGTGAGTCCAGAAGCAATTAGGAGAGTTTGGCCTCTGTTGGAGGCGCATCTTCCCCTTTTCCTATTTCAGTACGAGGGCAGCGGAGAGGTAGGCCCTGACTCCGGAGAAGGAGACGAGCCTGCGGGGGGGGAGGGGAGTAACGAAGACCTCGGCCCTCATGTTTGAAAGCATTATTGTTCCCCCTTTCTAAAATAAAGTTTCGCTGGTTTTCACCCTCCATTAGTAACTTGGTTATTCCTGTGACTAGCTAATTTAGAATCAGATCAGGGTTCCCTCATTTAATTTCTGGGTGACCATGTGCAAGTCATTCAACCTTTCTGATTCCAAATTACGGTAATTAAGTGTTGGGGGTAATATTACCTAGCCTTAAAACCTCAGAGGAAGTGGGGGTGGAGGGTTGGAAGAGATAAACCAAAGAACTTATATGCATAACCAATGGACACAGACAATAGTGTGGGGAAGGCAGGAAAAGAGTGGGAGCAGAGGGGAGGGGTCAATGGGGGGAAAGGGGGGATATCTGTAATACTGTAATACCTTCAACAATAAAAATTAAAAAATAAAATATATAATAAAACTGGTATGAGAATTAATGTCACGTTCCATAACACTCAGCATGTGGTACTACCTGGATTTTAAATGTTCAATATAGCCCTGGCCAGGTTGTTCAGCGGTTAGAGCTTCCACCTGCAGACCAGAGAGTGATGGGTTCTAACTCTCCTAATTGCTTTGCAGGGTTCGGTTCCTGCAAAGGGCACCTACCTCGGTTGCAGTTTGTCCCTAGCTCTGGTTGGGGTCATTTGGGTGACGACCATTGGATGTGTATCTCATGTTGATCTCTCTCTCTCTCTCTTCACCCCTCTCTACCTCCCGCTCTATCTGAAAATAAATGCAAAGAAATGTCCTCGGGTGAGGATAAAAATAAATAAATAAATGTTCAGTATAGGTTCCTCCACTTATAATAATAGGGAAATCGATATTTTAAAATACGTTTTTATTGATTTGAGAGAGAGACAGAAAAGGAGGGAGAGAAACATCCATTGGCTGTCTCATGCAAGCCCCCTACAGGGGGTGGAGCCTGCAACCCAGGCATATGCCCTGACCTGGGAATGAAACCAGCAACCTCTTGGTGCATGGAATAGTAACCAGCCAACTGAGCCATACTGGCCAGGACACGACATTTTTTTTTAACATGGATTTTTTTTCCCAGCCGGTGTGGCTCAGAGGTTGAGCGTCGACCCATGAATGGAGAAGTCTCTGGTTCAATTCCCAGTTAGGACACATGCCCAGGTTGTAGGCCTGATCCCCGGTGGGACGCATGCAGGAGGCAGCCAATCAGTGTTCTTTCTCATCGATGTTTCTATCTTTCCCTCTCCCTTCCTCTATCTAAAATCAATAAAGAAAAAAAAAATTTTAATACATTGATTTTTGATTTTTTGATTTTTTTTTTAGAGAGAGAAACATCAACTGGCTGCCTCCTCCAATTTCCCCACTGGGGATGGAGCCCACAACCCGGGCATGTGCCCTGACCAGAAATCCAACAGGGACCTTTTTAAGATTTTTAAATTTATTTTTAGAGATAAAGGAAGGGATAGGGAGAGAGAGAGAAACATTGTGAGAGGGACAGTTGCCTGCTTCTTGCACGGTCCATACCCTTCAACCTAGGCATGTGTCTCTACTAGGAGTCAAACCAGCAATCAGTCTTGGTGCAGGGAGGAATACCCTACCAACTGAGCCACATCTAGGAGGGCTGAAAAGCCATTCGAATCTTCCATCCAGAAAGCTCACCACCTAGGATCTTCTGATCCTCACCCCCATAAATGAGACGATGCCATATACTCTGATTTAGACCCTCTGTTTTGCCCCCTTGTTAGTTTTTATCACCTTCAGCTAGTCAAGGCTTGATTTTCATAAAAGTTAAATGAGGCTGGGATCCACATATATTGAGCACTTAAGATGTGCTCAGTCAGAATTAGGAAATGCTGTGTTACTGTAGGATACACACCGGATTTACTTGATTTAGTATGGAAAAAAGGTAAAAATCTCAATAATTTTTTTATATTGGGTACATGTTGAAACGATAATAGTTGGAAATATATCTAGTTAGTCTAATTAAAATTCTGATAAAATTAATTTCACTTGTTTTTTACTGTTTTAATTGTCACTACTAGAAATGGCTCGCATTATATTCATATTGGACAGTGAAACTCTAAATAGTTTAGTTAATCTTTGGCTCTGCAATGTTGTTTTTTGTGTGTTAGAACCTAAGCGGTCCCGGTCCGCTTCCAGGGAGAGAGAACAAGGGAACCAAGAAAGTTCTCAGCCCCAGGAGAAAGATGAGAAAATGAGCCAGTCCCAGGAGAAAGATGAGAAAATGAGCCAGTCCCAGGAGAAAGATGAGAAAAGGAGCCAGTCCCAGGAGAAAGATGAGAAAAGGAGCCAGTCCCAGGAGAAAGATGAGAAAATGAGCCAATCCCAGGAGAAAGATGAGAAAAGGAGTCAATCCCAGGAGAAAGATCAGAAAAGGAGCCGCTCGCAATCCCCACACAGAAAACGCTCCAAGTAAGTACTGAACATACCCAGAGGTTTTACCACAAGTCCCAAACAAACTAGTTGTTGCCCTTAACTTTGTTTTCTTCACTATTAAGGCAATACCCGGTGTCATGAAATGAGGGCAACTTAAGCCCACCTCATTCTGAACCTAACATTTCCATTGGTAAATGGGGTTAGTCAGTCTTTACTCCTAGAGTTGCCCTGAGGATTAAATGAGAACTAGTACCAGAAAAGCACCAATCTTGGTGATTGGCAAGAATAAGAAATAAGCATCAATTGCTTTTTAAGTCAACTTTTTAAGTGTGTTTGTGTGTAATTGTTAGAAACTGTTTAGTTACATTTTTCTGCCTTACAGAAAATATTTTAGCCCTAGGTATACTAAGACTGTGTTTTTTGTTTTTTGCTAACAATCAGGGCCTAGGCAGAGCCTTCTAACCTATTCTATGTCTGGTGGTTCTCTGGATCCTGGCTTTTGCTCAGCCTTTACCTTTCAGGCACTCATGTATATCTGTGCTGATTGACACAAGTGGCCAGGTATGTCTGTTTCTGACATCTTTACTTATTAAATATTAGATCCCCAAGACGACACAGATCCACATCTCCTTCCCCTTCTCAACCGAAAGGAAGAAAAGATGAGGAACCAAAGGAAACAAAGAGTGAAGAACAACAGATTACTGGTAATGTTATTAACTAAGTAACTGTAGAACGAGTAAAGCCTTATTTAGATAACTTCAGTCATGATAAAATTATAAAAGTGTAATTTTTTTTTATTATTGATATTTGAGAGAGGGGGAAAGAGAGAAACATCGATGAGAAAGAACATTGATTGGCCGCCTCCTGCATGCCCCCTACTGGGGATCGGGCCCACAATTGGGCATGTGCCCTGACTGGAAATTGAACCAGCAACTTCCTGGTGCGTGGGTTGGTGCTCATCCACTGAGTCACACTGGCCAGGCTAAAAGTATAATTTTGAACATTGAAATATATTAAGTTTTTTATAGTGTTCATTGCATATGATTTTGAAATTTTTGTTTTAATTGTATCTTAGTGAGTTCCTGGTTATCTGTGGTGCTCCTGGTATAGGAACAATAATTAAAAATGTGAACATATTCTATTTTGGAAGTACCTTCAAAACAAGTGTCTTGTGTGATATTAAAGGCGGTCCTATCTAAAAGCTTCAAGCCAAACCTTTTAGCCCTGGCCAGTTTGGCTCAGCAGTTAGAGTGTCGGCCCCTGGTCCAGAGAGACCCGGGTTCAGTTTCCACTAAGGGCACGTGCCTTGGTTGCAGTTTGTCCCCAGCCCTGGTTGGGTTGTGCAGGTGGCGACCACTCGATGTGTCCCTTTCACGTCAATGTGTGTGTGTGTCTCTCTCTCCCTCCCACTCTATCTGAACAACAACAACAACCAAAAAAATGGAAAGGGTGTCCTCGGGTGATGATAAAAAAAAAAAGCATAACCTTTTAAACAGTCTCTACTGATAGAAGGTAGAGAGAGAGCAAATTCCTTTCTTACATCTTAAGTTACATTCTGCCCGAATTGACGGGGAATTTTTTTTATTAGTCTCAAGTCTTTAGCTGATTGTTTTATATGTTCTCTACTTGTAAGGTAGGATGACTAGTATTCTTTTGCCACCTTTCCTTTTATATATATAAAATGATAGAGTTTTGAAAAATTATCACTTATTTTAGCAGAGGAAGACTCAGAGGGCAAAACAGAGGAAGAAATAGAAATGATGAAGGTAATGGGATTTGCTGCCTTTGACTCCACTAAAGTAAGTAAATCTCAAAGCCAGTTAAGTGTTCTGATTTGAATTAACCCATTACAACTGTTTTATTTTTCCACATTCTTTTACTATAGCCTTTGTAATTTCTTTCATTGATACAAGTTTATTCAATTAAAAGACAGTAACTATCTATGTGGAAGACTAATGCACAGAGAGGCAAGCAGTGAGGTGCCATTGGAGCTAAGGTATTTAGAGGTGATTCTTTAGGTGTTGAGAGAAAGCAGTGACTTAAGAAAAGGAATGCTAGGCTTATGGGTGTTTTAGAGAGATGACCGAGGGCAGCATTGCAGCACAGATGGGAGGCAGGTTAGATTGGAGGAAGGGAGAACTGCTGAGTCCTGCATGTGAAAGATGATGAAGGCCTGTGCTGAGAGGAGGGACCAGAATATTGAGAACCATTCAGCCAGAGTTAGGGGTGGTGGGAGTCCGAGTGAGCAGTCAGTGGTGACACTGAGGTGACAGGCTGAAAGACTGTGGTAGAGTTAACCAGGGAAGAGGAAGTGCTGTGAAACATAAGAAGGAAATACCAGATGAAGATGATGTTGGGTAGCTGCACACATACCTCATAGCTCAGAAGAGGGGTGGATTAGAGATTGAATGCTGCCTAACCATCATAATACTGGAAAGAATTAGGAAAAGGGGGGGATTGTGGAGAGGCAGTTGAAATCAGGGGTTAGAGGGAGCAAGAGGGGAGAGAGTAGAGAGAGAAGGAGATGGGGGTAAAGAGAAATGGAGGAAAGGAGAGTTAGAGAGGAAATAGAAAGGGGAGGAGGGGATTGGAGGGAGCTAGATAGATAGAGGGAGAGTGTGTGTGGAGAGGGAATGTGTTTTTAAAACCTTATTTTCTAGAATTTTAAGTCTGTTTCGTTTTATAAATGAAAATTAAGATTTTTTTGAGAAAAATAATCTACTTCCCCTAATATTGTATTCCTTTCCATTGTGAATGGAGTGGGATAATTTCACATACTGTCAGAATTTCCTTCTGATGTGATTGTGTAGGGCTTACATGTTTTTTAAAAATTACAATGTATAAACTAAAGAGCACTAAGGCGTGGCATTTTGAGGTGAAAATATTAAGCCTGTTTGGAGTGAATCAGTTGGTTGGGCAATTGCCCTTGCTGCAAAAGGTTGCTGGTTTGATCAGGGGTGTTCAGAGGCAGCTGATTTGTGTTCCAGTTTCAATTTGGTGTTCCTCTCTTCCCTCTTCCACTCTCTCTAAAAATAAACTATTCTTTTAAAAGAAAAACACATAAACCATGAATTTTGTTGGTTTGAGTACTGTATTGTTTATGTGTGACCAAAAAGGTAAACAGAGTTGTAATACTTGGGAGCTCATGGGATATCATCAAGATCTGAAAATTCTCTCTTTGGCCTATCTCATTCTTAGATAGATCTTGCCATTTAAGTCTGTCTATACTATACGATGCAGTTCATTTAATGATGTACCTTCCTGTTTTTTATATTTGTTCAATGCTTTTCTCCAGGGAAAAAGATTGGATGGCAATGTAAATGCCTATGCCATAAATGTGTCTCAGAAAAGGAAGTACAGGTATGCATAACCCCCATTATTATGTTTGTACTAATTTTATAAAATTATGTGCTTGGGAAAGAATTTATTATGGGATAGTTATGTTTGTAGGAAATATAGCAGTTTTCTATACAGTATCTTGTTTTAATCTTCCTTGTTTGTATTCTGGTGTGTTAATTTCCAATTTGCATCTGAACTAATAACTATTATAGAGAAGGGTAGTTGGGTTAAATGTTTTAGGACTGTATAGAAAGTTCTTTCTTCAAAACATCATTTTTTAAAAGTCATTAGAGTTTAATTTCATTGTATTTATATATTTTTCTTTTAAATGTGTTTTTATTGATTTTAGAGAGAGCGAAAGGGAGAGGGGGAGAGACAGAGACCGAGACAGAGACAGAGACAGAGAAACATCGAGGCGGGAGAGACACATGGATCGGCCACCTCCCTCACGCACCTCAACTGGGGACCGAAACCGCTCCGACAGAGAATCAAGCCGGCGACACTATGGATCACGGGAGTACACTAAACCATCTGAGCCACACCGGCCAGGGCTCAAATTATAGATTTTAAATAGATTTCTCCTGGATTTCTCGCCTAGATTGATGATGTAAGGATTTCAGCTATAAATATATTCTTCTGTTAAGTATACTTTTTATTAACACCACAAGAAAAACCAATTCATACTTGAAATCTCACTAAATTCCTCATGAATGGAAAAATCAAAATATCTTCAAACATTGCCCTTCTCTCTACCTTTATCACTGATAAAAGACTAACATTCCAATTAATTTAGAATGTGAATAATGTGATTTGAAAATGCTGATGAGTTAAGGAACCAGAATGAATCATCATTGTCATTCCTTTGTAAAGTTACTTCCAAATAAAATTTTATGAAGAAAACTGGTACAGTATGCAATTAGATTTACTTGATGGGTACCTTTTAGGAACTCTCCTCTATTTCCTTAAACTAGGTGTTTAGTGTTGCCTAAAATAAATATCTATTTTCAATTGATTTTTTTTTAAGTCTATAATCTTTCCAAATAATTTTGAAAGTATATTTCCATACTTCTATTTGGATTTTACAGAAATCTGAAATGCTTTGGCTTATTTTGAAAGTGAGGTAATGTGTTTTTACTGTACATTAAATGATCTTGAATACCCTAGACTTTGCCATTTTATTTTATTATTTTTATTCCTCACCTGAGGATATTTTTCTATTTATCTTCAGATAGAGTGGGAGGGAGAGAAAGGGAGTGAGAGAGAGAAACATCAACTTGAGAGGGACACATCGACTGGTTGCTTCCCACACAACCCCAACCAGGGCCAGGGATGATCTGCAACTAAGGTACTTGCCCTTGGTCAGAATCGAACCCACAACTCTGGTCCGAGAGTCTACACTCTACCCCTGAGCCAAACCGGACAGGGCTAGACTTTACCATTTTAAAGTTTATTTATAGATTTAATCATAAGCCTGTGTTTTTTTGTTTTTTGGGTTTTTTTTGAGAGAGAGACATTGACTTCTTGTTCCACTGATTTATACATTTCATTAGTTGATTCTTGTATGTGCACTGACTAGTAATCGAACCCTAAACCTTGGCATAAATGGACAATGCTCTAACAAATTGAATTACCCGGCCATGGTCGTGATTATTTTTTATAAGATGAGTTCAGATTTTTAAAAAAAAATAAACATTGAATGTTTTCTTCTTGTCATAGGCAGTACATGAATCGAAACAGACCTTTGGATTTCATTGCATGAGAATTGAACTGTTGAAGAATGATTTTTTTTCCCCCTCATCTTGATCAGAAGAGTGGATTTTGTATTTTGTGTTTCATATGCATCAAAACAGGATCACATTCCTTCCTCCTTGTAAAGTAAGAAAATTTTGTCTGACGTGCAGTTCACTTACCCTGCCTCAAAAGAAGAAGTACTAAATATTACATTTTTTTCTTTTAGGAAATATTTGGGGCAGTCATCAACCCCATTTTTTTTTTTGTCTTTATTCCTGTGGAAGCTGTATATGTTTTCTTCTTGGATGTTCGTTAGGACTTTTTAAAACACATAAAAGTAATTCGATGTAAGCTTCTCCAATAAAGCAATATTTCTACCCCTTTGTATTTGATAAATACTTTATTACTATGTTAAAATACCTTCCTACACATTTTTTCTTTTTATACATAGATTTAGGTATCATGACCCTTAGTAGTTTAAAAATTAGAAGAATGAAAATGTATAACTAGATTTTTGGGTCTTCTGAGGTTTTTTCCCCCCTCAATATCATTTATTACTTTCCCCCCATTTAAAAAGCAGTACGTGCTTATTATATTAAAAAAAAAAAAACTTGGGAGAAATCAAATAGTAAAAGAAAAGTCAAAATTACCTGTAATATACCCCCAGCAACTATTGATCTTAATATTTTGGTATATATTTTTCCAGGTTCCTATGGGTATTTCTCACTCCTACCCATGAGATCAGAGTGTGTATGCTGTTCTCTTTTGCTAATCCTTTTTCTCCCGTGTGCTGTGAATATTTTTTTAATAGTCTTACATATTCTTTGGAAACTTAGCTTTTAGTAGGTACTCAGTTGTACCATAATTTAGTATTAACTAATCATTGACTTGAACATTGGCTTCCTTCCCATGATTTGTTGTGAGTAGTATCCCTGTTACTTGTATCTTTTTGTACTTGTTGTATTATTTCCTCCATTTCAGTTCTTAGATGTGAGATAAAGGGTGTGTGTGTGTGCATGCTCGCACACACGCACGTATGTGTATGTTCTAAGGCTTTTGATGCATATATATGGCTAGAAAGTAAGTGACTGACCAGTAAAATATTAATATTCCCATTTCGTACATGTATACAAATATTGGGTGTAATAATTAAAGTTTCCAGTCTAATGAATAAAATATTGGTATTTGGTTTTAATTTATTTATAAGGAGGAAGAACATTTTAAAAATGTGTTAGCCATATGTATATTTTTTTGTAAAATGCTAATTCCAAATCTAGGTTCCTATAGTGTTTTGGCAAGCTTTTGTTTTTCTTATTTGAAGGAAGCTCTTTTTATATTGAAAATAACCATTATCCATTCTGTTTCACATTGCACTGATATTTGAGGCTCGGTGGTTAAATTTAAATTTGGTTGTTTTTTTTGTTTGTTTTATTTTTTATTTTTTTATTTTTTTTGGTACATGTCCCTAGCGGGAACCGAACCCTGGACTCTCTGGTCCACAAGCCGACACTCCATCCGCTCAACCAAACTGGCCAGGGTTTTAATTTTTTTTTAGTAACTAATACAAAAACATGGAACACAATTTAGACAGCACAGAGGATATACAGCAATGAGCTGATTGTTAATCCTTTCAGACATATTCCATATATACATAATCATATTTTATTACCTAGCCTTTTTTCACTTACTTGTAAGTCTTATGATAGTTTTCTATCAGTATGTATAATGTTGATTCTTTTTTTTCTTATCGAGTATAGTTTATTCCAGAAAGTCAAAGAGAAACATGCCATTAACAGTCTTGACATGGCTTTTGATATATATCTTTAGTTTTAGGACTCTGTTCAGCTAGTGTTTAGGTAGTTTTCAATGATAGTTCTGTAGTTTAGTTGGAATTGTTATGTGGTCCTGGGAGGAGGTAAGCACAGCATATACCTACTATACCATCTTTTTTTTTTTTTTTTTTTTTTATTTATTTATTTTTGTTCAGGTAGAGTGGGAGGGAGAGAGAGGAAGAGAGAGAGAGAGAAACATCGATGTGAAAGGGACACATCGAGTGGCCGCCACCCGCACGACCGACCAGGGCCGGGGACAAACTGCAACCGAAGTACGTGCCCTTAGCGGGAACCGAACCCGGGCCTCTCATGACTGCAGGCCGACGCTCTAACCGCTGAGCCAAACCGGCCAGGGCTACTATACCATCTTGACCAGACGTAAAGCCAATTTTTTTTTTTTTTTTTTTTTTATGAGCAGCAATTATAGTCCATTGTAGGATAGACTATAATTTCTTTTTTGATTAATGCCTCATTGATGGACATTCAGGTTTTTTCTAATCTTTTACTATTTTTAAAAATTCCATGATCATTATTATCCTTTTGTGTACATGATTTTATGTGTGTTTAGCTACATTTTTAAATCCTTCATTGCGTCTGAAATTTGACCACCTATTATAGTTCTATAAAAGCTTTCCTGAGCCAAGCCGGTGTGGCTCAGTGGATGAAGCCTCGTCCCACGGATTGAGAGGTACAGTTTCTATTCCTGGTTGCAGGCTTGATCCCTAGTGGGGAGTGTGCAGGAGGCAGCCAATTGATGTTTCTCTCTCTCTCTCTCTCCCCCTCTCTAAAAACTCAGTAAAAACAATTTTAAAATAAAATCTTTCCTGACAGGTTAATCCCTGTAAAGAAAATAATAGTAGTGTGACTGCATTGAATAATACAGTGTACAGAACACCTTGGTGCATTTAATCTCTATGAAATAGAGCAGGTATTATCTCCATTTCCCAGATGAGAAAGCTGAGGGTTTTCAGAGCACAAAGGCAAAAATCAGTGTTTGTACTACCTGATGCCCTCAGTTCTTAAATATTTGGATGTACTACATTAGCTGCACTGCTTGTAGTACCCATTGTATGAGTGTCACGGCCTTAGGCAATCGGTTTACTTTGCTTGGATTTTTTGCCACCTGAGCTCAATAGACTCCCATACCCCCACTCACCAAAATACTTGTGTATCTGTAAATTATCCATGACAAAGACTGTTTCTGACCGTATCCGTGCATACCCAATTGTTATAATAGGGAAGCTAAAATTCTGGGATAAAATAATATACCCCACACTAAATTACAGGTCTTTGGATTGTCATCTTAGTGTGTTAATAGAGGTTTTGACTTCAAATCCTCAAGGCAGCATATTTAGTAAAGAAATAATCAGAGCCCTGGCCGGTTTGACTCAGCAGTTAGAGCAGTGGCCTTCGGTCCAGAGAGACCCAGGTTTGGTTCCCGCTAAGGATATGTACCTTGGTTGCAGCTTGGCCCTGGCCCTGGTTGGGTCATGTGGGTGGCAGCCACTCAATGTGTCCCTTTCAAGTTGATGTTTTTTTTCTCTCTCTCCCTCCCACTCTATCTGAACAAAAAATGGAAAAATGTCCTCGGGTGAGGATGAATTAATGAGTGAATGAATGAATGTATGAAATAATCAGAACATCAGGTAGGTCAATAGGTTTGTGCTCTATCAGCTAACACCAAAGAAACAGAGAAGGTGGAAGTCTTTGAAAATCCCAAGATAAGACACCTCTGATCCTAAGAGAAATCTTGGTTTGAAGGATCTTTTATCCATCAGATTGACTGATTCTGTAAGAATAACAAAGATGGAAGGAACACTCTTGTCTTCCTCTAACAGGCTGCTGCCTCTCAACGGACATAAATTATGCCAAATCTTCTATTTCCAAGTACCTAAATGTTAAGAGTACTCCAGGGCAAGGCTGGTGTGGCTCAGTGGATTGAGCATTGACCCATGGACTAAGATGTCTGGGTTTGGATTCCTGGTCAGGGGCACATGCCTGGTTTGCAAGATTGATCCCCAGTAGGGAGTGTGCAGGAGGTAGCCGATCAATGTATGTCTCTCACATTGACTTCTCTCTCTCCCATAGTTTCTCTAAAAAAAAAAATCAATTAAAAAAAAGTATTCCAAGATTTGAGCCCTGGAGTATTAAGTTATCTATTTTGTGACATCAAACACCTACATACAATAACGGCTCTCAAATGTATACTTCCAGCCTGACTATTTTACTGAATTCCAGGCTTGTCTATGCACTGAGATTATTTGGCACTTCAAATTTAAAATTAACTGAACTCATCTACCTGCCCAGTCTTCTTTGAGGCTTCCCCATCTCAGTAAATAACTTACTCCTCCACTCTCTTCTTTGCCCAGACCAAAATCCTTAGGGTCATCCTTGACGACTCCTTTTCCTTCTACGTCATTCATTAGCCAGTTCTTTTTATTCAAATCTGAGATTATATTTTGAATCTACTTTTTTGTTCAGATTTATTGAGGTATAATTGACACAAAATTGTAAGATATTTCAAGTATACACGAAGTGACTGACTGGTCACTTTTCACCACCTATACTCACCTAAGCCATTGCTCTTGCCTGGACTACTGTAGTAGCCTCCTAATAACTTTCCTTCCTTCTCTTGCTGCCTCAATTTGTTCTCCGTCCAACAGAAGAGATGAACCTTTTAAAATGGGCATCAAATCATACTACTCCACTCTCTTGTACTTCTCTGTCATCCAGTCCTTACTGTGGTCCACAAGCCTGAACAGTCTGGACCCTGGCATCTGAAGCCTCACCCCCTTGTTACTGTGCTCAGTCATGCTGCTGGCCTCCTTGCTGCTCCTTGAGAATAGGTATGCAACTACCGAAGAGTCATCCCGCTTGTTCTTCCTCCTGGAATGTTCTTCCTCCCCCACAAATACCTCCTCCCAGTTTTATATTGGGTAGCTTCTTTATGTTGTTCAGGTCTCTGCTCAAAACAAAGTTGTTTGTGAATACCTTATCCAAAATAAACCCCCTTCCCTCTCTATCCCTTTATCCTGCTTTACTCTTTTTGTTTAACATTTAAAAATTGAGGTAAAATTCATATATCATGCAATTCGCCCTTTTAAAGTATACCATTTCAGTGATTTATAGTACATTCACAGTTATACGTCCATCACCACAATCTAATTCCCAAACATTTTCATCATTCCAAATAGAAACTGGACCCATTAACAGTCACTCCTCCACCCTCCCCAACACAGAAACCGCTATGTACTGTCTGTCTCTAAAGATGTGTACTCTGGACATTTTCATATAAATGGATATTTCATGTAAATGGAGTCATACAATAATTCATTTTTTTGTGTCTGCTTGTTTCACTTGTCATAATGTTTTCAAGGTTCATCAATGCCATAACATGTATCAGTACTTTTTTCTTTTAATGGCTGGATAATATTCTGTTCTATCCCATACCACAGTTTTATTTATCATTTACCAGTTGATGGGCATTTCAGTTTTTGCACATTTTGGCTATTATGAATAGTGCTTCTGTGAACATTTGTATACAAGTTTTTGTATGAATATATATATATATATATATATATATATATATATTTTTAATCCTCACCCGAGGACATTTTTCAATATTTTACTGAGATAGAGTGGGAGGAAGAGAGAGAGAAACATCGACGTGAAAAGGACACATCGAGTGGCTGCCACCCACACGACCCAACCAGGGCCGGGGACAAACTGCAACCGAGGTACATGCCCTTAGCGGGAACCGAACCCCGGTCTCTCCGGACCGCAGCCCGACAATCTAACCGCTGAGCCAAACCGGCCAGGGCTGAACATATATTTTTAATTCTCTTGGGTGAACAACGAGGAGTGGGACTGCAGTGGGTCATATAATAATTCTCTTTAACTTTTTGAAGCACTGTCAGACTGTTTATCAAAGTACCTGCACTCTTTTACATTCCACCAGCAATGTATGAGGGTTCCAGTTTTTGCACATGGTCTGCAAAGTTTCCTTTTCCTTGTAGCTTATCCATGCCTGACACACTCTATATTCATTTATTACTTTCTGGTTCTTCCACTAGACAGTAGGAAATGGGGCTTCTGTCTTGTTTGCTGCTGTAGCCCCAGCACCGCACAGTGCCTGGCCCAGAGTAACAGTCAATAAATACCTGTTGAATTTGTGGATCAGTCCAGAGACCTCTTTTCACTTGGCTACTTTCCTTGTATTTTATGTTAACCTTTAGTTGCCCAAGGAATAAATAGACATATTTTTTATGTAAAAATTTTAAAACATTATGACAAAGTGAAATCCCACTTGATCAGTACCCCTCAAACCTGGACCTGTTGCCCCTTCTTTGCACTGATCTTTCAAGACCTTTGTCTACGCATGCATGTGAGTAACAGAGTTGGAAATGAGGAAAATACATTATTTGGGATTTTAAAAATACAAATAATATATTGTTAGGGATCGTTTTATTTTATTATTATTACTTTTTTATCCTCACCCAAGGACATTCTCCCATTTTTGTTCAGATAGAGTGGGAGGGAGAGAGAGGAAGAGAGAGAGAGAGAGAGAGAGAGAAACATCGACGTGAAAGGGGCACATTGAGTGGCTGCCACCCACACGACCAAGCAGGGCCGGGGACAAACTGCAACCGAGGCTCGCGCCCTTAGCGGGAACCGAACCCGGGTCTCTCTGGACTGCAGGCCAACGCTATAACCACTGAGAAAACTGGCCAGGGTTCATTTTTAACTAATTTTTATTTTTAACTTATTTTTTATTGTTGACAGTTCTGTATGTATATTTGGCTTGGAACTTATCAAGCTGAAATTAAATGAACTATGGTAGTCATAGCTTCAGTGGCCAGCAGCCTACTTACGAATAGGCATGTGTTTTTCACTGATTAATCCTTTGGTACAAAGCTGTGCAATAAACGTTGGTGTGAATAATTGTATCAATGATGCCTCTTTCTTAATTTTCTGATGTTTTGACACCTGGGGCCTTGGGAGAGTGCCCTTCAATTGGCAGCCCTTATCCTCTACCCACCTTATTTACTAAACTTTCACACGCTAGTCAATATTCCTCTACCCTATTGACTCCAGGGCCAGGTGCCAAACAACTGGTCAGCCCCTACATCCCCAAACCCAGTGAAATTCAAATTTGCCAATCACAAATAAACCCGCTTACCCTGCCTCTCCCATTTTGTTCTGCAAAAATCACAATAGAGTCTCTTGCTTTTGCTTTCCCCTTGCTTCCTCTGCTTCCTGACCCACCCTGGTGCTTCCCCTTGTGGACTTAGCTTTCGAATGCAGTTTAGAATTGGTTTGATATGAAATATTCTGGGCATGTGAACAAGAACTGGGAAGAAATATGGGTGGGGTGGGGTGGATGAAAACTGTGTTACAGTGGTGGGTCGGCGGGTTTTTTCAGATTTCTATAATAACATCAATTGGAATTCTTTAATGCCCATCGTGAAACTAAAGCCATGGCGATAATGGGGCTGGAGGAGCGAGATAACAACTTGATTCTCTCTGGCTAAGCCCGCCTGGTGATTCTGGGCTGGCTTCGCGTAGTCTCCATTTTGTAGAAGTCGGAACCCTTGCGGATCTTGCAACGTTTTCCAGTCGGCAGTGAAAGCGCAGTTCCGGCTGTCCCGGAAGTTGTTTCGCAGTTGTTCCCCAAGCGGTGTGAGATAGAGGAGGGCTCCAAATGGGTCGCAGCCGCAGCCGCTCCCCGCGGAGGGGTGAGTCCAGAAGCAATTGGGAGCATCCGGGGCTCGTTTGGAGGCGCATTCTCTTCTCTACCTTTTCAATAGGAGGGCAGCGGAGGGGCAGGCCCTTTACTCCCGAGAAGGAGAAGAGCGTGGTGTGGGTGTGTGGATGGAGGAACAAAGACCTTGGCCCTCCGATTGGAAAGCTATCCCCCCCTTCCAAAATGTCAGCTGTTTTTCAACCTCTTATAGTTCTTTTTGTTATTCTTGTGACTGGGTAATTTAGAATCAGAGTGACCGTGTGCAAGTCATCCAGCCTTTCTGATTCCGAATTCCGGTAATTAGACTTTGGGGGTAATGTCACCTAGCTTTAAAAACTGATGTGAGAATTAATCTCACATACCATTACAGTCAGCATGTGATATTGCCTGGATTTTAAATGCTGAATGCTAAGTTCTCCAGTTATTCATAATAGGGAAATTGATATTTAGAATCCTGCGTCCTGGCAGCTCACTTCGTAAATCTTCTGGTCCTCACCCCCATAAACGAGGCAGTGCGATGTACAGAACACAGGACTTCGATCGAAAGGTGTGACTAAGACCCTCGGTTCTGCCCCCTGGTTAGTTTTCACCCTCTTCAACTAGTCAAGACTTCATTTTCTTAAAGTTTAATGAGACTGCGATCCACATATATTGAGCACTTAAGATGTGCTCAGTCAGAATTAGGAAGTGCTGTGTAACTGTAGGATGCACACCGGATTTCCTTGATTTAGTACGAAAAAAAAGTAAAACACCCAATTTTTTTTTTATATTGGGTACATGTTGAAACGATAATAGTTGGAAATATATCTAGTTAGTCTAATAACATTCTGTCAAAATTAATTTCACTTGTTTTTTACTTTTTTAATGGTCACTGCTAGAAATGGCTCGCATTATATTCGTTTTGGACAGCTCTAAATAGTTGAGGTAATCTTCGGCTCTGCAATGTTGTTTGTTTGTGTTAGAACGTAGGCGGTCCCGGTCCGCTTCCAGGGAGAGAGAACGAAGGCGCCGAGAAAGGTCCCGGTCCCGGGAGAGAGATAGGAGAAGGAGCCGCTCGCGATCCCCGCACAGAAGACGCTCCAGGTAAGTACTGAACATAGCCAGAGGTTTTACCACAAGTCCCAAACAAACTAGTTGTTGCCCTTAACTTTGTTTTCATCACTATTAAGGCAATACCCAGTGTCATGAAATGAGGGCAACTTAAGCCCACCTCATTCTGAACCTAACATTTCCATTGGTAAATGGGGTTAGTAAGTCTCTACTCCTAGAGTTGCCCTGAGGATTAAATGAGAACTAGTACCAGAAAAGCACCAATCTTGGTGATTGGCAAGAATAAGAAATAAGCATCAATTGCTTTTTAAGTCAACTTTTTAAGTGTGTTTATGTGTAATTGTTAGAAACTGTTTAGTTACATTTTTCTGCCTTACAGAAAATATTTTAGCCCTAGGTATACTAAGACTGTGTTTTTTGTTTTTTGCTAACAATCAGGGCCTAGGCAGAGCCTTCTAACCTATTCTATGTCTGGTGGTTCTCTGGATCCTGGCTTTTGCACTCATGTATATCTGTGCTGATTGACACAAGTGGCCAGGTATGTCTGTTTCTGACATCTTTACTTATTAAATATTAGATCCCCAAGACGACACAGATCCACATCTCCTTCCCCTTCTCGACTGAAAGAAAGAAGAGATGAGGAAAAAAAAGAAACAAAGAGTAAAGAACGTCAGATTACTGGTAATGTTACTAGATAAGTAACTGTAGAAAGTACAATCTTATTTAGATACTTTCAGTCATGATAAAATTATAAATGTATAATTTTTGAACATTGAAATATATTAAGTTTTTTATACTGTTCATTGCATATGATTTTTAGATTTTTGTTTTAATTGTATCTTAGTGAATTTCTGATTATCTATGGTGCTCCTGATAAAGGAAGAACAATTAAAAACGTGAACATATTCACCCTGGCTGGTTTGGCTCAGCAGTAGAGTGATGGCCCGCGGACCAACTCCTGTCAAGGGCCCGTACCTCAGTTGTGGTTTGTCCCTGACCCTGGTCAGGGTCGTACGGCTCCATATGTCCCTCTCACATCAATGTTTCTCTCACTCTACCCTACTCCCTCTCTCTCCCACCCATTCTATCTGAAGATAAATAGAAAAATATCCTCAGGTGAGGATTTAAAAATAAAAAGTGAACTTATTCTATTTTCGAAGTACCTTCAAAACAAGTGTCATATGTGATATTAAAGGTGGTCCTGCCTAAAGTCTACTGCATGTCCTTTTAAGCAGTCTCTTCTCTTTTTTCAAAAAAGAATAGTTTCTTGATTTTGAGAGAGAGAGAGAGAGGAATGGAGAGGAAGAGAGAAACATCTTGTGAGAATGCAACATCCAGTTGCTGCCTCCTGCACAACCCCTACCGAGAATCAAGCTGGCAGTGCCTGGGAATCGAACTGAGCCACACCAGCCAGGGCTAAGCAGTCTCTTCTGATAGAAGGTGGAGAATACATTCCTTTCTTACACCTTAAGTTAGATTCTGCTTAAATTGAAAAGGAATTTTTTTCATTAGTCTCAAGTCTTCAGCTAGTTGTTTTATTTTTTTTCAACTCAAATCTATTTTAATGTGAACAGTCGGGTTCTTCTGGGTTTCTCAACCCCACACCGCTGCCATCAGGTGGATCTCTCCCTGGGGTGGGGCCATCCTATATACTGTAGAACATTCTCACAGCCAGGGGCACCCCCTCCCCATTGTGACGATCCTGGCTGACCCACAGAGCTTCGGGGAGCCCAGTAGCTATTTGTTTTATATGTTCTTTATTTGTAAGGTAGGATGACTATTATTATTATACCACCTTTCCTTTTATATATATATATATATATATATATATATATATATACACACACACACACACATATATATATATAAAATGATAGTTTTTAAAAATTATCACTTATTTTTGCAGAGGAAGACTTAGAGGGCAAAACAGAGGAAGAAATAGAAATGATGAAGGTGATGGGATTTGCCTCCTTTGACTCCACAAAAGTAAGTAAATCTCAAAGCCAGTTAAGCATTCTGATTTGAATTAACCCATTATGACTGTTCCATTTTTCCATATTCTTTTACTGTGGCCTTTGTAATTTCTTCCATTGATACAAGTTTATTCAGTTAAAAGACAGTAACTATCTGTGTGAAAGACTGATGCACAGAAAGAAGCAGTGAGGTGCCATTGGAATGTAGGGAGTTTGCCTGGGATGGTGGTGAGTTAGATCTTAAAGGGAGAGGAGGAAGAGCATTTGAAATAGGAGGAGGAGCTCATGGAAATGCCATGTAGGCATGAAGGAGCATAGTATATTGAGGGAATTTCAAATTCAGTAACTGGTAAAAGGATGCTGATGGGATAGTGACTACAGTGAGGCTGGAAATAGAGATAGGAAGCAAATCACGGTCAGGGAGGGCTTTTGCTGCCCTTAGCCATGCTAAGGTATTTAGAGTTGATTCTTTAGGTGTTGAGAGAAAGCAATGACTTAAGAAAAGGAATGATAGGCTTATGGGTGTTTTAGAGATATGACCGAGGGCAGCATTGCAGCACAGATGGGAGGCAGGTTAGATTGGAGGAAGGGAGAACTGCTGAGTCCTGCATGTGAAAGATGATGAAGGCCTGTGCTGAGAGGAGGGACCAGAATATTGAGAACCATTCAGCCAGAGTTAGGGGTGGTGGGAGTCCGAGTGAGCAGTCAGTGGTGACACTGAGGTGACAGGCTGAAAGACTGTGGTAGGGTTAACCAGGGAAGAGGAAGTGCTGTGAAACATAAGAAGGAAATACCAGATGAAGATGATGTTGGGTAGCTGCACACATACCTCATAGCTCAGAAGAGGGGTGGATTGGAAATTGAATGCTGCCTAATCATCATAATACTGGAAAGAATTAGGAAACGGGGGAGGAAAAAAAGGGGGATTGTGGAAAGGCAGCTGAAGTCAGGGATTGGAGGGAGCAAGAGGGGAGAGAATAGAGAAAGAGAGAGAGGGAAATAGGGGTTAAGAGAAATGGAGGAAAGGAGAGGAGGGGATTGGAGGGAGCTAGTAAGGATAGATAGAGGGAGAGTGTGTGGAGAGGGAATGTATTTTTAAAAAGTTCCTCTTTTTTTTGCTTCTGCATTCAATCTTTTTTTATCTTATATTTCATGTTGAATGTATTGCAGATGTTCCCCCATTTTATCCCCATTGACCCCCTCCTCCCTATTCCCACCCCCCTCGTGCCTTCCCCACACTATTTTCTGTGTCCATTGGTTATGCATATATACATAAAAGTTCTTTGGTTTATCTCATTCCGCCCTCCCTCCCACCTTTCCTTTGAGGCTCATAGTCTTAACAACCAATCTGTACTTCTTAATTCCTTCATCTTTTTCACCTATCACCCCAATCCTCCCATCTGGCAAGCAACAAAAAGTTTTCTATATCTATGAGTGTGTTTCTGCTCTGCTTGCTCTTTTTTTTTTTTTTTTTTTTGTAGATTCAACTGTTGATAGATATGTATTTATTGCTATTTGATTGTTCATATTTTTGTTGTTCTCCTTCAAGAAGATCCTCCAACATTTCATATAATACTGGTTTGATGGTGATGAACTCCTGTACCTTTTTCTTGTCTGGAAAACTCTTGATATGGCTATCGATTCTAAATGATAGCTTTACAGGATAGAGTAATCTTGGTTATAGGTCGTTGCTTTTCATCACCTTGAATATTTCTTGCCACTCCTTTCTTGCCTGCAGTGTTTCTTTTGAGAAATGGGTTGACAATCTTATGGGAGCTCCTTTGTAGGTAACAAACTACTTTACTCTTGCTGCTTTTAAGATTCTCTCTTTGTGTTTAACCTTTGGCATTTTGATGATGATGTGTCTTGGTGTGGATGTCTTTGGGTTCATTTTGTTTGGGATTCTCTGTGCTTCCTGGACTTGTATGTCTATTACCTGTACCAAGTTAGGAAGTTTTCTGTCATTGTTTTTTCAAATAGGTTTTCAATTTCTTGCTCTCTCTGTTCTCCTTCTGGCACCCCTATGATGCGAATGTTGACACACTTGAATTTGTCGCAGAGGCTCCTTACACTATCCTCAATTTTTTTTTTTTTTTAATTCTTTTTTCTTTTTGCTGTTCTGATTGGATGTTTTTTGCTTCCTTACATTCTGAAGCGATGGTTTGCTTCTTGGCTTCACCTACTCTATTGATTCTCTGTAAATTAATTTTTATTTTGGTTTGTGCATCTTTTATTTCTGACTGGTCCTTTTTTATGTTGTTTATGTTCTCACTAAGTTCCTTGGAGTTCTCCTTAAGTTCCTTGAAGGTTTCACTAAGTTCCTTGAGGATCTTTATAAGCAGTGTTTTGAACTCTGCATCTGATTGATTGCTTATCTCCATTTTATTTAGTTCTTTTCCTAGAGTTTTGTTCTTTTCTTTCGTTTGGGACATGCTTCTTTGTCTCTCATTTTGGCTGCTTCCCTGTATTTGTTTCTATGTAGTAGGTAGAGTTGCTATGTCTCCTAGGCTTCCTAGGGTGGCCTATTGTTATAGGTGTCCTTAGGATCCTGCAGTGGCACAGCCTCCCCGATCACCCCAGCTGGGCTCTTGAGGTGCACCCCTAGTGTGGACTGTACACCCTTCTGTTGTAATTGAGTCTTTTTTTTTTTTTTTTCCTTTATTGATTTTTAGAGAGAGAGGAAGGGAGAGGGAGAGATAGAAACATCAATGAGAGAGAACATCGACCTGCCGCCTCCTGCATGCCCCCCACTGGGGATCAGGCCCACAACCTGGGCATGTGCTCTGACTGGGAATTGAACTGGCGACCTCCTGGTGCATGGGTTGATGCTCAACCACTGAGCCACATCGGCCGAGCTGTAATTGAATCATGATTGCTGTTGGCATATCAGTGGGAGGGATTTACTCAGGCTGATGAGCTGCAAGGACTGCCTGTGCCCACTGACCACTGACCTCTGACCACCTTGGACGATCAACCTCTGACAGCCTTGGAGGACCACCACACAGAGCAAGACTTACTTCAGCAGGGTTCTGGTACCCACTGAGTCCACTCATTGAGTGTGTCACTTGTGGAGGTGGTTGGGTAGTGGTGTTTTGATGTGGTCTGAAGCTGTCTACTGGGTGTGCTGGCTCTGGGGCAAGGTCAGCCACTGCCTGTGTTCTATCCAGTGCCGCCCGGCATAAGCTACAAAGTGATCTGCAGATGGCTATTTCTTGTGCAGGGCTTGGAGGTGCCCAGGCAAAACCAAGTTGTGAACCAAGGCTGGCTGCTCCTAGTACCAGACTTGGGGCTCCTTAATGAGAGGTATGGGATTCGCTGAGACCAGATGCTGCCTGTTTGAAAGAATTTAGGAAACTTTGAAGCAGGATTGAAGACAGGCCAATTTTATGGTGAAGCCATTGGAAGGAAACAGCTTGGGTGGGCCTGAAAGTTGGGTGGGGCAGAGCCTCAGGGAATCATCAGGGCGGGGCAAATAGTGTGAGCCAGGTTGCTGCAGTTTCAGATATGGCGGCTGCCTGCCCCACCAGAGAAGGGCTCACCAAGGGAACAACGGCCTCTGCCAGCACCTCTGTCCAAGAGAAAGCTGCCTCTCCAGCTCTCATCCCAAGGCCAAACAGCTCAGTTCTTCCCAGTATGTCTCTAGTGCCTTTAAAGCTGCCTCCCCTCCGAGCTCAGTGGGAGCAAGTCCAAGTAAGTTTGTGTGTGGGCCCTTTAAGAGGAACTACCTGGGGCTCCAGCAGCCTCAGCCTCCCTCAGCCTCAGTTCCCATTGATTTTTCCAGCCAGAAGTTATGGGGACTTTTCTTCCTGGCACTGGAACCCTGAGCTGGGAGCTTGGTGTGGGATGGGGACCCCCTCACTCCCCAGGGAGGACCTTCACAACCGAGGTATCCTCCTGATTTTTATCCGCCACATGTGGATGTGGGATCAGCCAGTCCGGGCCTCCCTCCTCCTACTAGTCTCAATGTGGTTGCTTCTTCAATTTTGTATCTGTAGGACTTCCATTCAGCTTGATTTCAGGTGGTTCTGAATGATGGTTGTTCTGCAGTTTAGTTGTAATTTTGATGTGGTTGTGGGAAGAGACAAAGTGCAATGTTTACCTACCTGCCTTTTTTGACCGGAAGTCTCTTAAAACGTTCTTTTCTAGAATTTTAAGTCTGTTTAGTGTTGTAAATGGAAATTAAGATTTCTTGAGAAAAATAATTCACTTCCCCTAATACTATATTCCTTTTAGTTGTAAATGGAGTGGGGTAATTACACATGCTGTCAGAGTTTCTATCTGATGTGATTGTGTAGGGTTCACATGCTCTTTAAAAAAGACAGTGTAGCCCTGGCCGGTTTGGCTCAGCGGTTAGAGAGTCCACCTGCGGTCCGGAGAGACCCGGGTTCGGTTCCCGCTAAGGGCATGTACCTCGGTTGCAGTTTGTCCCCGGCCCTGGTCGGTCGTGTGGGTGGCAGCCACTCGATGTGTTCCTTTCATATCGATGTTTCTCTCTCTCTCTCTCTGTTCCTCTCTCTCCCTCCCACTCTACCCGAACAAAAAAATGGAAAAATGTCCTCAGGTGAGGATTAAAAAAAAAAAAAAAAAAGACAGTGTAGCCCTGGCCGGTTTGGCTCAGCGGTTAGAGCGTCGGCCTGCGGTCCGGAGAGATCCGGGTTTGGTTCCCGCTAAGGGCGCGTACTTCGGTTGCAGTTTGTCCCCGGCCCTGGTTGGTCGTGCGGGTGGCAGCCACTCGATGTGTCCCTTCACGTCGATGTTTCTCTCTCTCTCTCCCTTCCTCTCTCTCCCTCCCACTCTATAAAAAACAAAAACAAAAAAACAAAACAAAACAAAAAAAGACAGTGTAGCACTGGGCAGTTCACTCAGCGGTTAGAACGTCAGCCTGCGGTCCAGAGAGACCCAGGTTCGGTTCCCTCTAAGGGCACATATCTCGGTTGCAGTTTGTCCCCGGCCCTGGTCGGTCGTGTGGGTGGCAGCCACTCGATGTGTACCTTTCACATCGATGTTTTTTTCCTCTCTCTCTCTCTTCCTCTCTCTCCCTCCTACTCTATCTGAACAAAAAATGGAAAAATGTCCTCGGGTGAGGATTAAAAGAAAAAAATGACAGTGTATCAGTGTAGAGCCCTAGCCGGTGTGGCTCAATTGGTAGGGCGTTGTCCCTTCTCTCTCTAAAAATAAATATTCTTTAAAACTACAAAAACATAAACCATGAATGTTTGTTGGTTTGAGTATTGTATTATTTGCTTACGTGTGACTATAAAAAGGTGAATAGGCCCTGGCTGGTTTGGCTCAGCGGTTGGAGCGTCGGCCTGCGGTCCAGAGAGACCCGGGTTCAGTTCCCACTGAGGGCATGTACCTCGGTTGCAGTTTGTCCCCAGCCCTGGTTGGGTTGTGCGGATGGCGGCCACTCGATGTGTTCCTTTCACGTCGATGTTTCTCTCTCTCTCTCTTCCTCTCTCTCCCTCTTGCTCTATCTGAACAAAAAATGGAAAAATGTCTTCAGGTGAGGAAAAAAAAAAAAAAGGTGAATAGAGTTGTAATACTTGGGAGTTTATGGGATGCCATCAGGATCTGAAAATTCTTTCTCTCTGTGGGCTACCTCATTTTTAGATGGATCTTGCCCCTTAAGTCTGTGTATAGGATCCAGTTCTTTTTATCAAGGCTTTAATGTATTCTTCCTGTTTTTTATATTTATTGCTTTTCTTCAGGGAAAAAAGTTGGATGGCTCTGTAAATGCCTATGCCATAAATGTGTCTCAGAAGAGGAAGTACAGGTATGCATAATTCCCATTATTGTATTTGAACCAATGATATAAATTATGTTTTTGGAAAGAATTTATTATGGGAAATTGAGTTTGTAGGAAATGTAGCAGTTTTCCATACAGTCCTTTGTTTTAATCATCCTTGCTTATATTCTGGTATATTAATTTCCAATTTACATGTGAAGTAGTAACTGTTATAGAGAAGAGTAGTTGGCTTAACTGTTTTAGGACTGTATAGATCAGTGGTTCTCACCCTTCCTAATGCCGTGACCCTTTAATACAGCTCCTCATGTTGTGTGTGGGCTTATCTGCATGTGGGAGGACCCGCCTGGAGACAGAGGAGCAGTGTCTCAGTTCCTAAGACCATTGGAAATACAGTGATACCTCGGTTCTCGAACATAATTCGTTCCAGGAGGATGGTCGAGAACCAAATTGTTCGAGAACCGAAGCAATGAAACCCAATAGGAAATAATGGAAACTGGATTAATTCGTTCCAAGCCCCAGAAAATGCCTATTTACTGGCCTAATTTGTATATAATATGTAGAAAAACATAAGTCTCAACAAGAAATAAAAGTGTACAGTATGTCTAAGGGTTAAATTCAGTGTAAAGCGTGACTCTCTCCACAAAGCGTGACTCTCTCCACAAAGCGTGACTCTCTCTCTGCACTCACACTGATGACGCAAGCAAGGCGCGCTGGGCCGAATGAACGCCATTCGGCTCAACTCGGCTCATCTCGGAAGTTCGAGTTCCAAATATTTGTTCGGATTCCAAGACAAAAGTTTCTCGAATCTCCTGGTCGAATACCGATTTGGTCGAAATCCGAGGCGTTCGAGAACCACTGATGTGTTTTCCGATGGTCTTAGGCGACCCCTGTGAAAGGGTCGTTCAACCCCCAAAGGGGTCGCGACTCACAGGTTGAGAACCACTGGTATAGATAGTTCTTCAAAACATCTTTTTAAAAGAGTCTTTAGATTTTAATTTTATTATAATTAGAGATTTAAAATAGATCTCTCCTTAATTACTTACCTAGATTGATTATGTAAGGATTTCTACTGTAACTATATTCTTCTGTTAAATATAGACATTTTATTAATACCACAGGACAGAACAATTCATACTTGAAATTTCATTGATTTCCTCATGAATGGAAAAGTCAAGAAGATATCTTCAAACATTGCCTTTCTCTCTACCTTTATCACTGATAACAGACTAACATTTCAATTAATTTAGAATGTGAATAATGAGGTGTGAGAATGCTGGTGAGTTAAGGAACCAGAATAAATCACCTTTGACGTTCCTTTGTAATGTTACCTTCAAATAAAGTTTTATGGAGAAAAACCAGTATAGTATTTACTTGATGGGTACCTATTTTGGACTCTGCTCTATTTCCTTAACTAGATGTTTAGTGTTACCTAAAATAAATATTTATTTTCAATTGATTTTTTTTTTAAGTCTGTGGAATCTTCCCAAATAATTCTGAAAGTATATTTCTGTACTTCTATTTTGCATTTTATAGAAATTTAAAATGCTTTGGCTAAGGGGGGGGGGGAGTCAGTGGGGGGGAAAGGAGAAACATCTGTAACAAAAATTAATTAAAAATAAATAAATAAATAAATAAATAAAATGCTTTGGCTTATTTTGAAAGTGAAGTAATCTATACTATACATTAAGTGATCTTGAAATTTCTTACCCTAGACTTTGCCATCTTAAAGGTGATTAATAGGTTTAATTTCTGAAGCCTGTGATTTTTTTTTTTTTTTTTTTTAAGAGAGTGAGGAAGGGCGGGGAGAGAGAAAGAAACATCAATTTGCTATTCCACTTATTTATGCATTAATTGGTTGATTCTTGTATAGGCCCTGACCCGGGATAGAACCCACAAGCTTGGCATATTGGGACAATGCTCTAACAAACTGAGCTGCCTGGCCAGGGCTGTGATTATTTTCTCATAAGAGTAGTCCAGAATTAAAAAACAAAACAAAACATTGAATGTTTTCTTCTTGTTATAGGCAGTACATGAATCGAAAAGGTGGATTCAACAGACCTCTGGATTTCATTGCGTGAGAATTGAAATATTGAAGAATGATTTTTTTCCCCCTCATCTGATCAGAAGAGTGGATTTTGTATTTTGTATTTCATATGCATCAAAACAGGACAGGATCACAGTCCCTTCTCCTGTAAAGTAAGAAAATTTTATCTGTGATGTGTGCAGTTCACATACACTGACTCACAAGAAGAAATGTTAAATATTGCATTTTTTTCTTTTAGGAAATATCATTTGGGGCAATCATCAACCCCATTTTCTGTCTTTATTCCTGTGGAAGCTGTGTATGTTTTCTTCTTGGATGCTCGTTAGGACTTTTTAAAACACATAAAAATAATTCGGATGTAAGCTTCTCAAATAAAGCAATATTTATATCCCTTTGTATTTGATAAATACTTTATTACTATATAAAAGTACCTCCCTACACTTTACTCTTTTCATACCTAGATTTAGATATCATGATTCTTAGTATTTTAAAAATTAGAAGAATGAAAATATGTAACTGTATTTTTGGATCTTCTAAGGGTTTTTTCCCTCAATACCATTTATTACTTTCCCTCCATTTTAAAAGCAATACATGCTTATTCTAAAAAAAAAAATAACAAAAACTTGCACGAAACTGAAAGAGTAAAAGACAACCAAAATTACCTATAATATACCCCCAGAAATAATCGATGTTAATATTTTGGTATATATCTTTCCAGGTTCCTGTGGGTATATATTTCTTACTCCCACCCATGAAATTAGAATGTGTATGCTGTCCTCTTTTGCTAATTTTTTTTATCCATTGTGCTGTGAATATTTTTTAAATATTCTTTGGCATCTTAGCTTTTAGTAGGTACTTGGTTTTACCATATTTTATTAACTAATCATTTTATTATTAACTAATCAACAATGATTAACTAATCATTGGTGAACATTCACTTCTCTCCTATGATTTGTTGTGAGTAGTATCCCTGTTACATATATCTTTTTGTACTTGTTGCATTATTTCCTCAGTTTCGGTTCTTAGATGTGAGATAAAGGAGTGTGCATGTGTGTGCGTGTTTTAAGGCTTTTGCATATATATGCCTAGAAAGGTAACAACTGACTCTGACCAGTAAAGTATGAGCATTCCCATTTCATACATGTGTACAAATATTGGATATAATTTATTGAAAGTTTCCAATCTAATGAGTAAAATACTGGTATTTGGTTTAAATTTATTTCTAACAAGGAAGAAACGCATTTTAAAATGCGTTAGCCATATATATTTCTTTTGTAAAATGCTAATTCCAAATCTTGGAACCATTTGTATTGTGGCAAGCTTTTCTTTTTATCTTTTTTTAAAAATATTTTTTCTTTATTGATTCCAGAGAGAGAAGAAGGGAGAGGGAGAGAGAGATGGGAACATCGATTGGCTGCCTCCTGCATGCCCCTCACTGGGGATTGCGCCCACAACCTGGGCATGTGCCATGAGCAGAAATTGAACCGGCGACTTTAGGTGCATGGGTCAATGCTTAATCAGTGAGCCACACCGGCCGGGCAAGCTTTATTTTTTTTTATTTATTTTTATTTATTTATTTAGGTACGTGCCCCTAGCGGGAACCGAACCTGGGACTCTGTTCCGCAGGCCGACGCTCCAACCGCTGAGCCAAACCAGGCAGGGCCAAGCTTTTCTTTTTCTTATTTGAAGGAAGCTCTTTATATATTGAAGATAATAACCGTTATCCATTCTGTTTCATATCTCACTGAAAATTGAGGTTCTGTTGTTAGATATTAAATTTGGGTTTTTTGTTTTTAATTCTTTTTGAGTAACACACATGGAACACAATTCAGACAGCACAAAGGATATACAGTGTTGAGCTAATTGTGCATCTTGTCAGAGATATTGCATATGTACCGAAACATCATATTTCATCATTCAAATGAAAAAAGGAGAAATAGCCTTTTCTCACTTACTTATAAATCTTATGTTTCTCATCAATACATATAATACTGCCTCTATTTGTTTTTTTATCAAGTATCGCTTATTCCAGAAAGTCAAAGAGAAATATTAGTGCAATTCACAGTCTTGACCTGGCTCCTTCTGTTGTATATCCTTAGTGATAGGACTCTATTTGGCTAGTGTTCAGGTGGTTCTCAATGACGGTTGTTCTGTAGTTTAGTTGTAATTTTTTTTTTGTAATTTTTTTTCTTTATTGATTTTAGAGAGGAAGGGAGAAGGAGAGAGAGATAGTAACATCAATGAGAGACCACATCCATTGGCTGCCTCCTGCATGCCCCCCACTGGGGATCAGACCCAAAGCCTGGGCATGTGCTCTGACCGAAAATTGAACCAGCAGCCTCTTGGTGCATGGGTCATTGCTCAACCACTGAGCCACACTGGCCAGCAGTTTAATTGTAATTTTTATGTGGTCCTGAGAGGAGGTGAGCACAGTGTGTAACCTACTCCACCATCTTGACCAGAAGTTTTGCCTCTCTTTTTTGTTTTTGTTTTGGTTAAGGGCAGCAATTATAGTCCACTGTAGGATAGAGACTACTCGTTTTAATTAATGCCCCATTGATGGACATTAAAGTTGTTTCTAATCTTTTACTATTTTTTATTTTTTAAAAATCCTCAACAAGGATACTTTTTCCATTTATTATCTAGAGTGGGAGGGAGAGAGAGAAACATCAATGTGAGAGAGACATGTTGACTGTTTGCCTCCCGCACGACCCTACCACGGCCAGGGACTGAACTGCAACCGCAGTACATGCCCTTGACCAGAATCAGTCCCACAACTCTTTGGTCCATGGTCCAGTGCTCCAGCCGCTGAGCCACACCAGCCAGGGCTTAATCTTTTACTATTTTTTAAAATTCTATGATCGTGCCCTGGCCGGTTTGGCTCAGTGTTTAGAGCATTGGCCAATGGACCAAAGAGTCGTAGGTTCAAGGGCACATATCTCAGTGGTGATTCCATCCCCAGGCTTGCTTGGATCATGGGCGTGGCAACCAATCAATGTGTCTCTCTCACAATGAGGTTTCTCTCTCTCTCCCTCCCTTTCTCCCTCCCTCCCACTCTATCTGAAAATCAATGGAAAAAGATCCTCGGGTGAGGATTAAAAAAGAAAATTATATGATCATTATCCTTGCACATACATGATTTTATATGTGTTTAGCTTGATTTTTAAATCCTTCATTGTGTCTGAAATTTGACCTCCTATTATAGTTCTTTAAAAGCTTTCCTGACAGGTTAATCCCTGTAAAGAAAATAATAGTAGTGTGACTGCATTGCATAATACAGTGTACAGAACACCTTGGATCATTTAATCCCTATGAAATAGAGCAGGTATTATCTCCATTTCCCAGATGAGAAAGCTGAGGCTTTTCAGAGCACAAAGGCAAAAATGATTGGTGTTTGTACTACCTGATGCCCTCAGTTCTTAAATATTTGGATGTACTATATTAGCTGCACTGCTTGTAGTACCCATTGTATGAGTGTCATGGCCTTAGGCAATCGGTTTATTTTGCTTGGATTTTTTGCCACCTGAGCTCAATAGACTCCCATTCCCCCACTCACCAAAATACTTGTGTATCTGTAAATTATCCATGACAAAGACTGTTTCTGACCGTATCTGTGCATACCCAATTGTTATAATAGGGAAGCTAAAATTCTGGGATAAAATAATATACCCCACACTAAATTACAGGTCTTTGGATTGTCATCTTAGTGTGTTAGTAGAGGTTTTGACTTCAAATCCTCAAGGCAGCATATTTGGTAAAGAAATATTCAGAGCCCTGGCTGGTTTGACTCAGCAGTTAGAGCAGTGGCCTTCGGTCCAGAGAGACCCAGGTTTGGTTCCCGCTAAGGATATGTACCTTGGTTGCAGCTTGGCCCTGGCCCTGGTTGGGTCATGTGGGTGGCAGCCACTCAATGTGTCCCTTTCACGTTGGTGTTTTTTTTCTCTCTCTCTTCCTCTCTCTCCCTCCCACTCTATCTGAACAAAAAATGGAAAAATGTCCTCGGGTGAGGATGAATTAATGAGTGAATGAATGAATGTATGAAATAATCAGAACATCAGGTAGGTCAATAGGTTTGTGCTCTATCAGCTAACACCAAAGAAACAGAGAAGGTGGAAGTCTTAAATCCCGAGATAAGACACCTCTGATCCTAAGAGAAATCTTGGTTTGAAGGATCTTTTATCCATCAGATTGACTGATTCTGTAAGAATAACAAAGATGGAAGAACACCCTTGTCTTCCTCTAACAGGCTGCTGCCTCTCAACGGACATAAATTATGCCAAATCTTCTATTTCCAAGTACCTAAATGTTAAGAGTACTCCAGGGCAAGGCTGGTGTGGCTCAGTGGATTGAGCATTGACCCATGGACTAAGATGTCTGGGTTTGGATTCCTGGTCAGGAGCACATGCCTGGTTTGCAAGATTGATCCCCAGTAGGGAGTGTGCAGGAGGTAGCCGATTGATGTATGTCTCTCACATTGACTTCTCTCTCTCTCTCTCCCATAGTTTCTCTAAAAAAAAATCAATTAAATAAAATAAACATTCCAAGGTTTGAGCCCTGGAGTATTGAGTAATCTGTTTTGTAACTTCGAACATCTTCTGTAACGGCTCTCAAATGTATACTTCCAGCCTGACCATTTTACTGAATTCCAGGCTTGTCTATGCACTGAGATTATTTGGCACTTCAAATTTAAAATTAACTGAACTCATCTACCTGCCCAGTCTTCTTTGAGGCTTCCCCATCTCAGTAAATAACTTACTCCTCCACTCACTTCTTTGCCCAGACCAAAATCCTTGGGGTCATCCTTGATGCCTCTTTTTCCTTCTATGTCATTCATTAGCCAATTCTTTTTATTTGAATCAGATAATATTTTGAATCTACTTTTTTGTTCAGATTTATTGAGGTTTATATATTTGACACAAAATTGTAAGATATTTCAAGTATACATCGAAGTGATTTGATATTACGTTGAAACTGGCCACTTTTCACCACCTATACTAACCTAAGCCATTGCTCTTGCCTGGACTACTGTAGTAGCCTCCTAATAACTTTCCTTCTCTTGCTGCCTGAGTTTGTTCTCCATCCAGCATCAGAGGTAAACCTTTTAAAACGTACATTAAAGCACGCTCCTTCTTTCTCTGGTATTTTTCTGTCATGTGGAATAAGTCTAGTCTTTACTGTGGTCCACAAGCATGAACAGTCTGGACCCTGGCATCTGAAGCCTCACCCCCTTGCTACTGCACTCAGTCATGCTGCTGGCCTCCTTGCTGCTCCTTGAGAACAGGTATGCAACTACCGAAGACTTCCCACCTGCTCTTCCTCCTGGAGTTTGCCTCCTCCCCCACAAATACCTCCACCTGCTAGTTTCCATCAGTAGTTTCTTTATATTGTTCAGGT